CCTGAATGAAATTTCGTCGTAAATCGATTCCTCGTCAAAAATAAATGAAGAAATTATATTCGCATCTTCATCATTTCGAAGTTCGAACTCATTTTTGAATATTTAATTTCTTTGTGTAATTTTGAAAAAATGGATTTCCGAAATTCGAACACTTTTTCGAAGAATATTTTCTGATGATTTTTTTTTATGAATACATCACAATGGAACTTCGAAGTTAATTTGAAATGCAGGGTTTAAATTTTCCCATCCGCCCGATGGAGCCTCCATCGATTCTATCGAAAGAATTTTTTGAAAGAGACTCTCTTTTTTTTAAACTAAGAAAATCGATTTATTTTAAATTCTATTGAAATAATTGATTTCGTTTGATGACAATCATCGTACAACAATTTGTGACATTTCTCCATACACTGCAACTTCATGCCATACTTGACATATATTATATGTTTCTAGAAAGAACTGTCGCCAGTTTTTCAAAGCGATCGAAACAGAGATTAAAATTTTTAAACGACAACGTTTCGATTGTCTTGATTATCGAATGATAGTTTATTTTTGTTTCTTAGTGTGTATAGCAGAATAAAGAAAATGCAACCGGCAATAAATACTGTTTTCACTGCCTATGCTATTGCAAATGGAACAAAGAACATGAAAAAATGTTTACACCTGTTGTCAAATAAATAATACTTTAATAGCCAAAAATGAGAACTAAGTCGCAAATATCAAGGTCAAGAAAGTAGCTGATTAAGCGGAAAAGTGTGTTATCCGAATTTAGCTGTTCATTTTGAAGAATGATTTTCGTATTTTACCGTTTTTAAGGTGAAATTTTAATATTTTTTTCATTCGTTAAAAACGAGGACATTTTGACTGATTTTGAAAATCGCGGAGGACGCGAGGATCGTTCTCAAAAACGAGGACTGTCCTACTGAAACGAGGACGTCTGTGCGCATTACATATATATGATTATCAAAATATGCATTAAATGAAATCAATTATTTTAATAAAATTGTAAATTAATCAATTAATTAAGTTTTTTTCTTTATAGTATTAGAAAATAAGTAATTTTTTTGCGCATCGAAATGCATTTTTTTACGTAGAAAAAGAGAAAAAAAGTTTACAAATATTATCGTCAACTTAACTATTTTTGAGTGATGGTGATTTTTTTAATGAAATAAAAACGGTAAATTGAATGAAAGGGCCAGTGTCACACTTGATATACCATTGGAAAGAGAGCCGAAAAAGCTACAATTTGATCAGGAAATTCATTAGTTTTGGTTGTAAAAACAAAACATTTCGGTCAATTTTCTAAGAGGTCTGATTTTTGGCAACAAAATTTTTCGGTTGCTTCAGAAATCGTCCAAAAAATGAAAAAAACCGTAAGTTGACACACCCTATTTTTTTAAAGAAAAACATGCAGTATAAACACTCAATATATGAAATTCATTGAATTTCGTTGGATTTTTAATCGTTTTCGGTCTTAACAACTACGAAAAACAATGAAAAAATGTAGAAAAATATAGAAATAGTAAAAAAATACAAATTTTCTATTTTTTCATATTTCATCGATTTTTTCGTGTTTTTTAAATCCGAAAACGATTGGAAAATCATTAAAATTCAATGAATCTCGTATATTGAGTGTTTACGATGAATAGTTGTCTCATTTTTCTGATTTTTTTTCGGATGGGTCAACTTACAAAATTGGTCGACATTTCTATATGCACGGAAAGAATTTCGCCATGTAATGATATGTGTGAAATGACTTCAGATTATGAAAATACACGAAAAACTAGTAAAGAAAGCTTATACTCGCTTTGCTGATATCTTTGAAATTGTCTTGATGATGGTCCGAAAAAATTTAGTTTTTATAAAAATGATTTTTTTTGCAAAAAATTTTTATGATACGATCCGAGCCGTTTAAGAAGCGTATTCACTCTTGGGAACTACTTTTTTATTGGTTTTTGACGTTTCTAAATCGATTGAGACTAGTCAAATTGACAATTTGTAGGTCAAAATACAAAATCGGCGGGGTGGGTCAACTTACACATACTCCCCCTATTTAGAATTTCAATATATATTAGGTTAAAAAAATATCATTCGAAAACTGTTTTTCGAATTTCGAAGATCCAGGATGGTCCCATTTGGTCCAAAATCCATTAGTCCCGAGAGACCATAGACTTAGGTGGCCAAAGAATTTGAAAGTTATGATGGCTGAAGAGAAAATTAAAAAACAAATACAACCAAAGCTGCAGAGCATCAGATTCGCTACTGATGGCGCCATCTAGATTTTCCATACCACAATGTACCGAACTAAAACGAAACGTGTGTATTTTGTTGTTGTAATCATTCACGGAGTGTACCTGCTGCGATGGTATGAATACAACAGCTCTACATTTCATGTAATAATAAATTTTCGAAAATTAGATTGCGAATATACTTTCTTTATTTAATTTTGGACGAGGAATCCATAGGTTCTGACACTAAATGCCGTTTTTCTGCACACATCAATTTCTCGTTGAAATTGAGAGCAATCTCAAATCTGTTTGTCGCATTGGAATCGGAATCGAAAATAGTTTCAAAAACATTTGGGGCGGGGGGCGAAGCAGCCCCAAGGGTTGAAATAACCCCATTCAGGTCAAATTCGACAACACTTGATTTTCGACCAAAATTTCAAGAAAATTGAAAAAACTAATGATGCCATTCGATAGCCAATCCAAATGATCAGCCTGAAAGGGGGGTCTAGGGGGGTCATTTCCCCCTCCCAGGGTTTCAAAATCGCATGTGAATTTTTTTTGTGCACTTTTTTCATTCTCGGAGTATACTCATACATAGTGGCTCGTGTTTTACGCACACAACAACAGGTCAACATAATAACACAACCTGTCAACCGGATTTCTTGAACTGTCATCGCATTCAATCTGTTTTTCAGCAGCACACAGAAGTCACTTGCGAAACAATCACCATCTAATTATTCAGTATTCTATCCAAAAATTTATTATTTTCTTCGATTTATCTCATTCAGTCCATTTTGCCAAGGGAGAAAGTTTAGTTTTTCCATAAAATCAGTTTAATTTCAAATCTAGTGGCTAACCACGGTTGAAAGACAAACTGATTGAATGCCCACAAACAGCAAACCCAATGATGCTTGCACCAAGAAAACAACCAGGTCGACCAAAGAATGCCTCAAAGAGTTTGCAAAGAGATTAAATCCACATAATCGTAGCAATACGAGGGTCGTTTTTTAATTACCCGGACTAGGCAAGAAAACGAAATAGCTTTTTGTTCATATATATTTATTTTTCAACATAGTCTCCACCCGAGGCGATACACTTTTCCCAGCGATGTTCTAACGCTAAGATTCCAGTTTTGTAGTGGTCGGCGTCAAGACCTCCAAAATACCCATTTACAGCAACAATTACTTCATCATCGTCGTTGAATCTTTTTCCTCCGAGCCATTTTTTGAGATTTGGAAAGAGGTAGAAATCGCACGGGGCTAAATCCGGTGAATACGCTGGATGCGGCAACACTTCGTATCGTAATTCGTGTATTTTTGCCATTGCAACGGCCGATTTGTGAGATGACGCATTATCTCTGTGAAAGAGAACTTTTTTCTTTTGCAAATGCGGCCGCTTAACCTTGATTTCATCGTCCAAACGGTCCAATAAAGTGGCATAATATGGTCCGGTGATTGTTTTACCACGCTCCAAATAGTCGATGAAAATAACACCGCGAGCATCCCAAAATACAGTGGCCATAATCTTTCCCGCCGAAAACACCGTTTTTGCCTTCTTTGGAGCCGATTCACCTTTTTTAACCCATTGTTATGACTGATTTTTTGTCTCTGGTGTATAGTGGTGAACCCAAGTCTCATCTGTGGTTATGAATCGACGCAAAAATTCATCAGGATTTGCTCGAAAGATTGCCAAACACTGCTCTGAAATGTCCATTCGATCGTGTTTTTGAAGCGGTGAAAGCAAATGCGGCACCCAACGCGCAGATAGCTTATGCATTTCCAAATGTTCATGCAAAATCTTAAACACCACACTGGTTGAGATGTGCAAAGCCTCTGCTATTTCACGCACCTTCAAACGATGATCATCTTTCACCATTTTGTAGACTTTTTTAATGTTTTCTGGCGTAGTCAACTCATTTGGACGACCTGACCGATGTTCGTCTTCACAGCTCGTTCTACCCCTTGCGAATTCATTCACCCAAGAATACACTGTGGTTTTCTATGGAGCAGAGTCACCAAGTGTTGCATCCAATCGGGCTTTGATATCTTTGCCCGACATATTTTCCAAACAAAAAAATTTAATCACCGCGCGAATTTCGTTTTTTTCCATTTTTTCAATTTTACCAATTTTTCTACTTTTGTTTGCTCGTTGTAAACAAACCAATGAACCGATTGACATGAAATTTGATAGGTCTTCCTAAATATGTCTGAAGTTGTACACAGTGTCAAAAAATATGGCACAGGGCTGTCCAAAATATGCGAGTCCGGGTAATTAAAAAACGACCCTCTTTATTGTAAATAAAACAAAATTCATGTACAATCATTATACAATAAAGAGTTTCAATGCAATGTTTTATTTCAAATGATAATGACATATGCTCACCGACACATTTGTTTAGGACAGTTTAGTATGATTTTTGGAAAGTTGAGTACGATTTTTGTATTTTTTTAGTACGATTTTCGGTAATTTGAGTACGATTTTCGGGAAGTTGAGTACGATTTTCGGAAAGTTGAGTACGATTTTTGTAAATAATTTAGTACGATTTTTGTCAGTTTAGTACGATTTTTGTAGGTTTTTAGTACGATTTTTGTAAATTTGAGTACGATTTTCGGTAATTTGAGTACGATTTGCGGAAAGTTGAGTACGATTTTTGTATGTTTTAGGACGATTTTAGTTTTACCCATTCAAAATGATTCGCGGTGAAAAACAGCAACATAGTATGCATATATTCTTCCATTTTTTTTAATAAATACTTTCAATTTAAAATTGCGATGATTTATTTTTTATTGCTACTATCGTGGCTGATTCTATATTCATTTTTTTGCATTTTTCCAAGTTAGGTAATGGAGTATGATAACGGTTTGAAATCATTTGAAAGACATACAGAAGGAGTTCTATCTAGGGGATCTATCTAATATAACAGGATGTTTGTTGATTGGTTAATCCGATATTGTTTTCTTGCCGTGTCGATGCCATCAATAATCCGTTAATTCATTTAGTTTCAGTCCGAGCTTCGTTCGTTCAATAAGTCACTGAGATCGTCTCTTCGGCCTTCACCGTTGTTTCTTCGCTGGTCTTGATTATTTCGTCCAACCTCTCGGTCCGCTTGCAGTCGGTTATTACGTCCATTGTTCGATTGGTCATCGCCATCATTATTACGGTTTGAATGGGTATTTATTTGATCTCTGTTAAATGTGCGTGGTCTATCATCATTGGTGTCATCGTCGTTTCTAGATCTCAACAAATCCCGGATTATGTCTTCGTTGTTTCTAGCGTTGTTTGATTGATTATCATCATCACCGTTACGATTAGAAAGGGCATTTATCTGGTCTCTATTGAATGTGCGTGATCTGTCATCGTTCCCAGGATTTTCGTTGTCGTTCCTGGATCTCAACAAATCTCGGACTCTGTCCTCCCGATCTTTCAAGTATCTGTCTGAATCTGAATCGGATTGGGGCCGGCGGTCATTATCTCTGGATTGTTGTCTGTCTTCGGAAATCAATCGGAGCAAGCTGCGCAATGTGTCTTCTCTGTTAGCTTGCAAGATTTGGCGGAGAGCTTCATTGTTATTTCTTCCATCGTTATTGTTATTGTTGTTATTATTATTATTCAAACGTTGGTCAAACTGGAATGGAACTGGTGCAGCCAAATATGCACGATTTCCATCAGACAGGTATGTACTGGCCGGTAAACGGACTAATGTTGTGGGGACATTACGAAGGATTCCAGACTGCGTCGACACTCCCGTTGGAATATAAACTTGTGCGCAGGTAATGCCAACCACACACACCGCCAATAACTTAAAATAAAATAAAAAATGCCAAAGCAATAAATAATATGATCGCTTTGAGTTGCTTGCAGAGCTATACTTACCACTTTCAGCATTCTGCCGGTTCTTAACACAAATGAAAGATGTTTACGAACTGAATGGAACGATTGAACTGATGATTGATTCGAATCGAGTCTACCTTTTATATAATCAATTGATTGAAAATTGACATGATTTTTCCATTGAAGAAGAACTATGAAGGGGGCTCATTTGAAAATAGATAGGAAAAAAATGAAGCGGTATCGATTACAATGATTGTAGAAAAATACACATTAGAATGCATGAATTTTATTTACATATGTTTTAGAACAAGTTTTACAATGAGACATGAAAAAAATGAATATTCTTATGGTGCACGCTGACGCAAGGCGACAAAAATATTGTAATTTAATTGTGATGCACATAATATTGGTTTGCTATGGGCTACATATAACCGCATTAACATAGATACTAGCCCTTGCTGAACTTGTTTCAACGATATCAATTTCGATTCGGAACACTTTAACAATTCGTATCAAATGACTTGTTGTCGTCTAAAGTTGATTTGATGAGTGTTGAGCATCTTTTGCCTTCCACAATTTCAATGAGCTTGATGAGTCGGTGTGTTGTGTGGATTTGAGTGCATTTGCTCTCTCAGCTGGCCGTTACTATAATTTCGTGTTTGATTTCAAAGTTGTGTAAACACAAAGGCACCTTCAGAACGAAATACATTTAAACATACTATCTAAAATTAAAATGCTCAGCTCGAATATTTTTTTGAACCATTTTGCTTGTGTATGTGTTAAGCTATGTAAAAAATATCTAAAAAATGTTTTAGCGATTCTCTAAATATATGCGCGATTTACATCGAATTATTTCAAAATTATAATCTCAAGTTTCCTTCTTTTTTTTCTCTTTCCGCCTTCCTCTCTCCCTCTCTCTCTCTACACGAAATACAATTAATAGTGCTGCAGTTACAATTACAATTAGAGCTAAATAGGTATTTGTTCATAGAATTTTGGTTCGGATGCAATGCGTAGATGCAAATTAAAAAAAAAATTCTCTATTCAAAGTGCTAGATTATTCAGTGCAGTGTGATCTCAAATCACCATTGGTATATATTCAAATGTAGCACCTATTTTGGTTGCAATTTTTTTTATCACAATGAAAGCACTTTTAACATATATATAAAGTAAACAATTCTACTCATGCCCCGGCTATAAAATATTGGTTGCCAAAAGGCGGGAGTAAGCGACACTCATGTAATAGCATTATTAATCAATATCCATATATGATCCACATTTGGAAGCTATTCATTGTCTATGCATTTCGATTTTCAAAGCGTTTGTGCATTGCACGTACACTTGATATCGGATTTATGGTTGCTTTACCCGATGCGTTCGCCACTCTTGCCGCCACATTCGAATTTGTTCTCGGCAGATATGGTTTCTTCGTGGAATCAGTTTGACTAGTTTCCTTATTCGAACCATTTTTCTGATCGCTCAAATTTGAAATGGATGGTTTGGTGGCAATCACTGGTTTTGCGCTACCCGGCCCATTCGCCGACAGTTTCTTGACAATCGAATTTACATTTGGTTTATGGGATTTTTCAATAGATTTTGTGACTTTAGTTGTATTTTGAATGAGTGGTTGCTCAGCTCCCGACGGTGCATTCATATAAATATTACTAGTTTCAGGTGTTGTTTTGTGGCTATTCGCTGGTGGTAATGCTGTTATGCTCCCATTTTTCTTCGGATTTTGACTAATATTTTCATAGGTGGTTTGTTCATCATTTGGAATTTTACCCTTATTCGTGGACGTTGAATAGATTGAGTTTTTGTTACGGTTTTCAATTTCATTAACAATCTCATTTAATAATCCGTTGCTGGGTGGCGGTGGCACTTCTTGGACATCTTCAATAACCGCATAAATGTTATCGGTGCTGTTATCAACTGAGCTGCCATCGCCATTCGTGTTTGCATAGATATTCCTGAGTGATGAGGCACTTGAACCCGGTAAATTGGCCGGTCTTGGTGGTGGTGGATTCTTCGGTCGATCAACGACATTGACACGTTTTGTTCCAGGTGGATGACGCATCGAACCTGATGCAAGCACATTTCGCTTCACTTGAGCTTTTTCAGTTGATGGACTTCGCATACTTTGTGACCGACCAAATGAGACTGCCTTCATCGGAGCCGATATATCAAGCTTTGTCACAGAGTTCTTTTGAGTCAGCGGCTTTTTCAATAAAGAGTTAGGCTCATTTGGCTTTTGCGCAGCATTCGGCACTGTATTAGGTTTTGGCAATGTGTTGAATGAACTATTTTGAGCACTTTTATTTGCATTGGCTGTAGCAATGAGCTCTTTTACGGAACAAGTTGAATTTTCTAAAACGGGATGAGAAATTTTTGGCCGTTCCTTTGCATCACTTTTCGAAGCGAATAGCTTCACTTCGATGGGGGTTTCTGGTGTCTTTTTAGGAGACGTATTTATATTCTGATAGCGAAACGATGATGGAGACGATTTCGGAACAGACACCGACGATGATTTTACTGTTGCCTTTTTTGGCGAATTGGATACTGGTGGCAGCGGTGCAGCACGGCTTGGTACGCATTGTTCGTTGATCGTCTCGGTTTTGGCGACTGGGTGAACGTATGCAACATTTGAGCCTCCGATAATGTTTGGCTTTGTCATTGGCAGTGGTTTTAGGGAAAATCCTTTGAAACTTCCGAAAAGTTCCCGTTTTATTGGGTCTTCATTGGCTTCGTTCGCCTTCAGAAGCGTTGCATTCATATCATCAGTGCTGCTGGGCGATAGTTGATGCGATGATGGTGCAGATGGTGGAGGTGGAGCCGGCCGATCGGGGTGATGACGAACCGAAATTTTCAGACTTGAAGTTACAATAATAAAAGAAAATGAATTAGAATATGTCTTTCACAGCAACAAAAGATAGAAACAAATAGTTCATAAGATTCTAAACTAAATCATCACACCACAGCAATTATACTCACAAGGAGCCAAAAAGCAATGACACATACTAAAAAGCAGATCCAATACACCAGATAGAAAGGAAAGCAAGAACATAAAACTAAACACTTTGAAAAGGAATAGCATAAGAACCAAACACCATATGTAAAATAGAAACAAGGTTTGTTACATGCACACAATACATTGCAATACTATATATAGAAACTATTGTTACTACAATAAGCTAATTTACAATATTAAATTATCACATTAGTAAACAATAGACATTACACCAATCCCATAACATAAATCAAGTGCTAAAAGAATGAAATAAAACAGACAGTTTTAGTGACATGTGCAAGTGTACAAATCGAATTTAATGCCAATCGGACCAAACTTGTGCATTTGTGCTAAACACCAATTTTTTGTCAGTTATTTGTAAATTTTCCGGCATTTCTACGTTATGCAAATGCTTTGTTACATACTCATTAGCTGATGTCTGATTGATAAACCATGGACGATTCTGTCGCCAATAGTAGAACAGGAACAGCGACAACGAAATAAACGGTACGACGCCCAAGAAGAAGACGTACATAACGCGAACAAAACCGTATCCGTCTGAAATTTGAACAAAAAGAAGAATTTCAAATATCGATTCAATTTGTAATTGATTCGATGCTTCATATTTAATGAAGAATTTCTTGAAAAATAATTTTAAATGGATTCATCATCAAAAAAAGTCACGATCAAAAACTATCGTAAATACAAGGCAATTCCAGTATTTCGATCAAGTTACCGTATGGATTTGAAGCTGGTCCAGAGTGAATACTTCCTCCGGCTCCCGGTGCATCACAAAACGGTGGCGCAAATCCTTTTTCACAATGGCAATGTCCAATGTTATCACATACTCCATGCTTATTACAGTCATTGTCGCACATTTTCGCTTTGTCCGCCGCACGAAGTGTTTCAATTGCGACGCATTTCTGACTAACACACAATTTCCCGTCGTCACACTTTGAGCCATCTGGTGCAAGTCCTGGATCAACGGTTTCCAAGCCCAAATCGATAACTGCCGTTCGACACGGAATAATACTACCGCCATACGTTATGAAGCTATGCGATAAAACGGCCACCGATTCCAAACCAAATTCGAGTCGTTCGTTTAGATGACGGCATTGCAACATTCCACAAAATATATCCGCTTTGGCACAACCGTTGTAAACATTAGCGGATCGATTGAAACCGCAATTCCCATGCCGTGAGCCCTCAACGTTTTTCTCATAACACTGCTCAGAGGATTTGCCGGAAGGTCCCCATAACATCTTGCATTGATCATCGCGTGATTTGCACGAACCATTGTAACAATATGCTTTACCGCCTTCACACACTTCAGCATCACGCTTGAAATAGTCGATTGGACAAAATTCGCTATTTCCATCACAATATTCAGGCAAATCGCACTCTCCAACCGCTGTACGGCATTCAAAACCGGGCTCATGCAGCTGGCACGTAGTCAAATCACAGCATTTTCCCGTAGCACACGTAGCATTCGAATAAAGTTTACATGTATACGGATCACAGCATGTATTCTTACAAACACCCGGTAGACCGCAGTCACATTCTTCGCCCGTTTCAACGAAACCATTTCCGCACGTGGGCGGTTCGTATAGATGTGTTGGGACATTTTTCAAACAGTGATTCATTCCCTGATGAATTGCCAAATTCAACTGATGTATGCTGCATTCACTCCATCGAGTTGGTGCAATCGATGAACTCGATGCCGACATAATGCATCGCTCATCGTCGCATTTACAGTCCGATGTATCATGTTCCATGCCAAAATTATGGCCCATTTCGTGTGCAATCGTTGTTGCTACGACACTAACAATTTCGCTATGATAAGTTGAAACACCCCCAGAAAATTCAAACGTGCAAATTGGTCCCTTCAGCGCTTTGCCTGGAGCGAAATTGGATAATAATTACATGTTTTATATATCGTTTGAAATTGAAAAATAATAAATTTTTGATATGTTATCGCTTCTTACCAACAACACCGCCTTCAAATTGAATTTCAGTCAATAATTGCGCATTATCGTTCGGATGATCTTTAATTAGTACTTTGCGTCGATAAGTCAAAAAATTCTTCAACGTTTTGTCTCCATCACTAGACAATTCGATTTCATTTTTCTCCGTCCACACAACAACACCGACCAATGCCACGAAAATGTTCAGCGGCGCGTAAAGCTGAAATGAGTAGAGAAAGTGAGTGTTAGTTGTTTTTAATTACGCACAATAAAACCGTTTGTTTATTCGCATTAATTGAATTTAGCTCACCGAATTGATGATGTTCGCAATATCTTTGCAGTATTTGTGAACTTTATCGAGGTTTTCGCCCATTTTTTTATACACACCGTTGTCGACAACGATCACCATTTCCACAAATGATGATCGCCGATTTGCGTTGTACGGCTCGCGTACTGGAGCTTCGGTCACAGATCGTTTGATCTATAATAAACAGCAGAAAAGTAGATTTATTAAACACCGTATAACGGACATTGACTTTCGACAAACCTTTTTCTTCGGCATTTCGGCTATGATGATCGGGTCAGCAAACACTGAATTCTTAACGATTGGATGCATTTCATCCATTTGACTTTGGCTAAATAGAACGAATAATGTTTTCAATTAGATTATTAAAAAAGTAATAAAAACTCTTAATATTTGGTTGTTATTATACCTAAAGAGATAGTGCGGTTCCTGTAGGCCACTCTCATCATTTGGATGAATGAAATAGGTGTCATTGCTGTCGTATATCATTCCAGTGATGCCATTACAAGTTGATAATACCACAATTGAATCGGGATTGTTCCGTATGCGACCCTATTTTTATTATTGCAAAGTAAACAACATCACGTGTAAATATGATTCAGTTTTTTGCGCTCTTAACAACAACGCATACTCACTTGATAGTGACATAAATTGGAATTGCTCCCGTTGAATGTTTGAATGTTTTGCGATCCGTTGGCATTTTGGGTTCGCAAAAAATGTCGGTCGGTTAATAAGCCATGGGCTAAAAATAAATCAGCAACAATCGCCTTGTCCAGATGTGTGTACTCCAAAATGATGTGGCGTGCGTGTTCGCCATTCTATGCGCGATGCGGAGAAATTGACATAGAGAAGATACAAAATTAGTAACTCCAACTCGCTGAACCGTGTAAAAAGAGTTTATATTTGAAAAAAGAAAAAAAAATCAGCGAATAGGAACACCGTCACTCTATAATCATACAGTGTGTATGTGTGTGTATGCTTCATTCGCACATTTGTTTCAAACACTGTCATTATTATGGCTGTGAACAGTTATGTTTCGTTGGCTTATTTTACAAACAATGGATAAATTGAAATTGATTTACCGTTTGTCGCGTTGATGTCAGTATTTTGCGCTGATTTGTGCCATCAAATATTATTGGCTGAATTACCGAATGCGTTTTATGTATGCTGAATATGTCTGAAAGCAATTTATACAGATTATACAATTTGATCAAGCAATCAATCTGCTTACATAATATCAATTCATAAAAATTATAATAATTTCAATGTGTAATTTGGTGTCAACGCTGCAATTCAATTGAATTATTCGATGCATTTTCATCATGCATACATAAATAAATAAATGAATGAGTCAGGGCAAAAGTGTGACTTAGATTTTTTTTTGGAAATGAAACACCGAGTGTTACATTTTAATAAAATTAGTTTTTAATGATTCACTTTGAAAAACGTTTGCGCTGATATTTCACTTGAAAAAATGTGCGCGGATATTTCGTTTAGAAATACTTTTTTGTTGGTGATTTGGTTGATAATTTTGTTTTGATAAAACATATTTCTTCAAAGTGAGACACCAGCGCTGACATTTTTCAAAGTGAATCATTAAAAATTAATTTTATTACAATGGGTCAAACTGGGTGTTTCATTTCGAATTTTTTTTTTCGTCGATGCTGAAATTTAAAAAAAAATCTTTCGTTATTGTTTCGTGTATAATCTGAGAATAAGTCTCATTTTTGCCCTGACTCATACAAATAATATCGTACACATGAAATGCTACGGCGTAGCATTGCTACGCATTTAACAATCTTCCGCGTCGAGCCCAGGTGTATTATTCAAATTTACGTTTGTAAACATAAACGAATCTTCACTTTTTTCGTGACTTGTTTTAATTGCGCGACCGATTTGTAATCCAAATTCGAAATCTGTTGAAATCAAGCCATTGCTTTATCGCACGTAAAACGAAGCGAAAAGGAGGTGATAAGAGAACAAAAGAACAAAGAGCGCAAAATAATACAAAAACAAATAGTTGAAAGAGAAGCAGAAAGAAAAAGAGAACCGAAAATGCGATCGTCAAGTGTTTTCAAAGCCGTTTACGGCGTGCTTTTTTCTGTTTTCTGTTTATATTTTTTCTGCTAATGTTTATGTTTTGACAAGATAACGTTTTGCCGTAGATTGTGCTGTGTTCAGGGTTTTTTTTCTGCCATCTAATGCACTTGGAATAGTTGAATAGTTTAGAACACATTTTAATGCAATGAACAAAGTAAACAACACCACAATATTCCAATGGTTTGAAAGGGAAAAGGGAGGGAACATGTTCTATTTCTTCAATTTCTCATCACACTTCAGTGCCTTAGAAGAGACAATTTCAAGAAGCTAATGCTAAAACTAACACACTTAATGGATTCGTCGAAGTGCACATTGAAATAATTAAGAACGTTCTGTGAAAACGATTCAGTCGCCGAGAAATAAATTTTATTTAATTGAGTGATGATCGAAGCTAGGCAATGACACACAATGTGCACTCATCATTTGCTCGTTCATTCGGCATGGAGATAGATCTATCTATATGTCGTTTACCAGTTGAAACCAGCACATATGCTAGAGCGGAATAAAAGAATATGATATCACTTGGAAACGCATACAAATCACTTGCGCCACTTCTTCCGTATTTGCTTTTGTTTCTTTGTTCTTTCCTCTCTCTCCTTCCTCTCTGTCTCTCATTTCCATCTCTTGAGATTGAATTGGTTTTAAATTTAGACATTTTCTGATTGCCCTGCAGCAATTTATCATCATTTTAGTGTCTGTGCGAAACGAAAAGCAAACTATATGCTCTATATCGCACAAATAATAAATATGAGCGAGGGAGAGAGAAAGAGAGAGAGAAATGCGTAAGCAGTAATACAGCAATAAACGTTTAATATTATGCATGAATTGAAGAAGCTGTGCAGTTATTGTTGTTGTTGTTGTTTTTTCCCATTATTTTGTTAGGTTGCACACTCGGTCGGAATGAAAAGTAAAAGAAGAGAGTGTAAAAACAAATGGAAACAACGGAAAAGTACACAAACGAGAGGAAATGTGTTCTTCATATGCGTTGAATGCACAATTACTCAGCTGCCTCCATCGCCGCCGCTGCCATAGTCTTCATCGCAGCCATCACATCCATTTGGATGTAATAATACACAAATTCATGTTATAAGTTGATATTCGTGACTACAAATCATATGGGAGACGCAAAAGGCGCAAATACATTCCGTTTTACACACACTCGCACGCACACGAATCAAAGTGATTGGGAAAAATCACGGCATCAGCAAATGAAGAAAAATTTGAATAACAATAATTGAAATTAAGTTGAACAAAAGATGTTGCAGAAATGATGATCGCTAAATTACTCACGCCGCATAGTTTAGTATCAAATAAAAGCGCATCGGATAATTTAATTAATTCGAAACAAAAAAGACGTTAATATTTCCACGAAACGACGTTTAATCATTCAAATCAAGTCCCCGAAGTGAATAGCGAATGACTCACTCACCTGTGTTTCGTACTATCTGTCGCAATTCTGGCTGCTGTTGTTGTTGTTGCTGACCGCGCACTGGAGAGCCAACCGCGAACAGTAGAACAATGACGACAACGAAATGAATAATTCGATGGAATGCAAATTCAGAATAAATCGCCAGCCCATTATTCATCATACGGTTTTGTACTATACTATTATGTTCTAGGCACCGCTGAGATCTGTTGTATTTCATTTGGGGCTGTGTCCGTAAACACTTGCCTTTTGTTTTATCAATTTCAATTTCACAATTTCGTATGCGGCGGTTTCCGTTTGTACTTCGTACAAACATGTCGCTGTTGATTTCTTTGAACAATTTTACGTGGCCATTGCACTCGCTAGAACTAGAACTGGTGTCGCGCACACTGAATTTCCTTTGTTTCATTTTGGATTTTTTTTTCATTCAAACATTTGCCCAACACAATTTACAATACTTGTGCCAATTTGTTTGACCAATGGAAAAACTATCGAAATAACCCTGAAACCAATTGGTAAAAAAAAACGAAGAGAAAACACACACGGGAGAGAAAAAAAAAACACACGCACTCACAATGGGAACGAACACTTTCAGCACTTTTTAACTCTTTTCATTTTCTTTTACACAGATTTTTTTTTCGTTTGTTTGGAAAAGATTTTCAATTCGAATGGAAAAGATTAGCAGTCGGCCGCTTTTCACAACACAATCTAACTGTTTGCACTTCACAACGGGTAATAAACAATTGAAACGAATAAGAAGAAAACGAACGCACAAACAAAATAGTAAAATTTTACTAGAGTTTAATTTAATGAATTAAATGAGAGCCAATTTTGTGTGTCGTGCAACGCTAGAGTTTATTGTGTGTATATGAACGAAGTGTGTGAGCACGACTCAACCTACTAATGTCGTTGCCTTCGACTGAATTATACATGCAGTTGACGATACACTCAAGTCCGAGAAGTGCGAATACTCGGTCGCCTTTGTCAATAGAAGCCAGCCGGTTTGTAGTGGTAATATATAGAGTGGCATGAGAGTGTATTGGTTCGGTGACGATAGTAAATAAAAGAGAAATGAAGAAGAAGAAAAACATACGGAGAGAAAGAGAGACACAGAGGCAAACCGAATGAACTGTCACTTTGTTCATCGCTCATTGTTCTCTCGAGGCAAATATTCGGTGCAAATTTGACAGCAGCACTTTAAATACTTAAAAGACTTAATAGTATTTGTGTACTTACGACGGCTCCAATTCAAATACCATTTGATTTTAGTTAATTTATTATGAAAATAATGCATTAGGTTCTCAAGGTGTTTATTTTGACCATTCACTCGCCCACAAAGTGTTATAATTTGATAGTCGTTAATTTTTAAGATGTTCTTATGGTGTGGAGACTCAAAGCTTGTAAATTTAATTCACACCTCACTACTTATATGTAAGTGTAGTGTCTTTTATGAGATGAGAAATTCTCATTCAGAATTTAAGCGAGCCTTCCATTTACCACATTCGATTCAATAAATTAAATTCACAATTCTACATTTAATTCCATAAAACTTTGTTTTTATTTCTTCAATAAATCTCAAACATTCGAATTGTTTTTAAAGAGCTGAGTGTGAAAGGCATACCATTAAACTGTGATTGTATGATGAATATTTGAAATGCATGCTGTGGAGCAACTTTAGCGTAACAGATCAACTTCGTCTGCTTCCAATAGCTGCGTTTTAGTTCATTTAGGCAGAAAATGTATTGTATTTTATGCGTGTCTGTGTGTGTGTGTGTTGTGTATATTCGATGTGTTGGTTCGGACACAATTCCACAATATCGTCAAAAAAAAACATTGTTTGTCCATGTATACTTGGAATGTAAAACATTTAAAAATTGAATAACCGTCTAATCTAATTCCAGGCTATGTAAAGTATCAACAGATGAATCAAATTCATCACAATATTCTGTGACGTGGCTCGAATTCCCATCGATGGATTATCGGTTCCCAATCCGGCTTTCTCATATGTTCGAAACTCTTTTGGACCCATCCAATCACTGATTGCAAAATAAAAATAAAAAAAACTCATCCATTATTATCAATCATAATTATTGAATAATTTAATTTACCTCAAGCCCGCTGGATTCTTCGACGCTACTCGGATCAAATATGTCGTGTTTGGAGATAAATTGTTTATTAAATAAGTTACACCGTCGGTGAAATCCTTAAGAACTACCCTTGCATTCATCCATTTGCCACCGTTGTTACGATGTTCTTCGGTTGAGACAATTTCAAATCGATATCCAGTTATATCCATCGGATCTCGTGGGCCAATCTTTTTTGCACCAACATCCAAGTCAAAAGTGTTTGAGTTTACTCCTCGCAACGTAATGTGTAGTGGTGCATTTGGTTTCGTCCCGTTGATCAGCAGAATATTTCGTTTCAACGTCCCTAAACTGTTGTTAGCCTCACACACGTAATCACCAAACTCTTTTGAACTATTCAAATGGATCTGAAAATGGAAAAACATATTGGAAACTTTTCCATTTGATGTAAAATAAGAAACAAAATTTATTATGATTACCTGTAGAATGGAGATATGTTCACCACTAGTGATTTGATAATGCTCTGGATCCAAATGTTTGTTGTTGCGATACCATCGAAACGTTGCTGAAATGGGCGAAATTGAATAGTTGCCCATGGGCATCTATGACAAAAGTTTTATGACAAAAAACACATACCCGGCGGTTGTGCTTCTGCTTCGCAAGCTAATGAAGCAGAACCCTTAACGTAACCGTACTGAATATCGGCACTCTCACGACGCACCGGTAGAATTGGCTTATCTGCAAAATTAATTTGCAAAAGTTTTATTTTATACTAATTACACTCTCAACGGTGGATAAAATCCGGCTGTTTTTTCTTACGTTGAATATTCAAACGAATAGTCTTTTCTTCGACATTACTTAATGCTGATGATATTTGAAATGCTTTGCACGTATACTCTCCGCTGTCACTCTTGGAAACATTTTTGATTAGCAAACCATCTGCTAAACTTCGATATTTCTTCGAATCAACTATAATGAAGAGCGGCAGTTTATTAGAATGGCAAACGAAAAAGTAAAGTTTCTTCCAAGATAAACATTACTATTTAACGGCTGTCCATTGTAGTAATAGGTTATTGTCGGTTCTGGGTCACCAGTGACCAGGCAATTTATGACCGCATCGTCGTTTTCCTTAACACTTTGTACGTTTTGTGGATCGAGAAATGAAATCGGTTCTTGAAGAGAGATAAGCAATGAAAATGTATATATGAATCGAACATGTAAATTAAATCAAATTCATTTGGAGCAATAGAGAGCTCTCTTACTGTACACAATCATGTTGAATCCAATCCGTTGTGGGTTGTCTTCAGCCTCGCACGTCCAATTTCCTTTATCTTCTAGCGTTATCGATGCGAAAATCAATGCTGACTCAAAGTTTTTCTCTTCAACATGCACGTTGGTACCCCGATTTATCGGGTCAACCCATGTGTTTTGGGGTGAAAACCATCGAACACGAGCACCCACTCCATCACACGTGACTATGTATGAATCGTTTTCGAAATGCACCACTTCGTTGATCGATGGCATTAATTTGGGCTCGTATATCTGTTTTTCCTCCGATGCACACATTCCGAAAGGCTCTAATATTGAAAAGAAGGGAAACAAGAATTTATCAACGTCAAGAATCGGCTTTTTACATTTCAAATTTTTGCTTTATTGCTTTTTTGAACGACCAAGCAATTTTTAATCTTTTATATCGTTTTTGAACGATAAAACAAATTGATTGCAAAAATAAAAGGATTATGTGCCATATCGTCTTTCAATAATATTTTTAAAAACATTTATGGGCCGTTTTTTTATACGTTAGTATAAAAAAAGTCGTCACAATAAATGTCAATGCACTAATGACGTGCACTGGCTGTTGTGTGTGAGTGAAATACACATTGTATAGGCCATGCTATTTTTATGCGGATAATCCACTCAATGCTGTTAAATTGTAATCAATTTCATTATGTTCAAACCATTATGCGCTGTTTTGCACTGAGCCCATTCCTTTGTGGCCATTTATAGCACAACCAATCGCTCCATATTCGATATATGCACGAGTGTAAAATAGGGCGCAATAAAATAGCGTAATAGTGAGAATTCGCAGAAATATGAATGAACCGAAACCGAGAAGAAGAAGAAGAAGAAGAAGAAGAAAAAACAGATAAATTGCGTAACTTGACGGGACGCGTAAGAGATGGAGAGGAGAGGAACACATTCAAATGCTATGGGTCTGCCAATATCCAGGCAAACAATACACACATATACACGCATCCCCTTCGATTCGAACGGCGCCATCAAGTCGTTGACACAATTTATTCTTTTCGGGTGCAACATCTTTGATTTTTTGCTATGTTCCGCGCTACGGAAAGTAGCTCACAGACATTCGGCTTGTCGACCGATTTCTCATCAGTTTTTCTTGTCTCATTCAATCGCTCTCGAGAACGAAACGACGTTGAGTGATTGCATTGTTTGACAACCGACTTCAAATTGCCTTTATTTCCACTGATTCCCACTTGAGCTTAAGTTGAATTTTCCAAGGATACGGACCGAGTGGCGCACCTTAAAATAGATTTAATGCCATCTCATCTCATCGCAGCTCATCATTCAATTTTTCGCCCTTAAAAGCATTCACATTAACCATTTACATTAACTTTAGTGGTTCGTTAATAGCGAAAGCTTATGTAAATCAAAAATTACCCATCATTTTACGGAGCCAATCATCTTTGTTTACATTCTGATTGCGCGCATTGAATAAAAGTCAAACAAGCAGCTAAACAATCTCATTGGCATTCAATGTAAAACGGAAAACATGGAATACACGGTGTAATGGTGTTGGCTTTTTTGTGTGTTCATGTTCGATATATTTGATTGATTACAATTGTATGCTACTTTGACAGCCCTAGTACACGATGTACGAAAAGGTGGTCGTTTGATTTCATCTACACATTGAAGGCTCAATATCCTATCTACCTGTCGACTGTCTAAAGCATGTGTGACGGTGACGTGGAAAAATTAGTGATAATTTTCTGCTGTTCGATGATAATGCAAACGACCGATTATCTAAAACCCTGGAGACTGAGATTAATTCACTTAAGATCTTTTCTACTTAATTCGATTGTCCCAAAAATGATTGCGTGAATGACTCTCTCCTAACAAAGTGTCTTACAGTTTTTTTTTCTCATTTTTCACTTACCTGTGAATAACATCCAAAATACGTAAACATAATAGACATTCAGCGCGTTGTGCCTTCGCGAATATTTCGGTTCCATGTTTTCTTAGCAACGTCGAAATACTTCGTTAACCTTTTTTAAATTGAAAAAATGTATTTTTGAATTTGCTATGAAATATCCCATGAAGAAATCTTTAACACAATTTTAAATGTTCGGGACTTGAACTTCAAGTATTTTTATAACACAAGATCCACTGAGAAAATGTTATTGTCCTTTTTTCGCTATTTTCAGTATGAAAATAGTTACGGTATAAAAAAAAACAATAAAACATTGGTTGGACATAGATTTAATTTCGAAAATGGCCTTTAATGGCATTTGTTTGTAGGTCGATGCAATCGCGGTTGTTTGCCGTTTATTTTCATTATATGAATACATAGAAAAGTTCGAAATGATAGTGACGACAGAATAGCGAAACAGCCACAGAGAGAGAGAGAGAGAGAGAGAGAGAGAGAGAGAGAGAGAGAGACAGAGTAAAAAAGCGGAGAGGAAAAGAAAGCGTTTTGTAGCCAGCGTGTCTTGCAATCCGTTGGATTGTCGCGGACGTATTCTATGTGTGAAAACGAATGTGAAACTTTTAAATGGGGGTATGAATGGTTTATGTGCAACGATGACTGCACTTATTTGGTTCAATTCTCAATTTTTTTCTCTCCCAGTAGTTTAAATTATCTGCACACATTCACACTTTTATTGAAGTTTTTGCAATTCCATAAGCGGCTTCAAAACAACACATTCTTTCGTCGTTTACATAATATATATTTAATTAATTTTCATTTGGTGTGCTGGCACAAACACAAGTTATCATTTATGCATGCAAATGATGTAGACAAACGAAAAATTTTGCATGTTTTTCAAACAAACAATTTATTTATTCAAATTTGTGAAAAAGGTGCTTTTTGAAGGTGGGTAGGTATTCTATTGGGTATAACTGAATAATACAATTCATAAATTGAATGGAAAGCACATTTTGTCGTCGCAAAAATACCAAGATCAAACATAAGGTTAACTTTAATCTATTGCTCCACAATTCTGCCTGACCTATCACGTTAAAGGATAATTTTAAACACTTTTTTTCTATTTCAACACGTAAACACAAGGAGCACGAAATTTTCAGAACAAAAAAATTTGCCGTTTTACCGAAATGGAATTACGCACTTGAAAGCACAGAGAAATCAAATTATCGCGATAACCTCTGACTTCGGTCGCTTGGACGTGCGCTGATGTTGTGGTACGTGCTATCTCCAGTAAAGTCTTGGGCATACTGCGAACATGGATGATTTCGCGGTTTTCTCGATGGAAAACTAGCATACCACAATTCAATTGTCTTAAGTGTTTGCACATATATGTAGTTGTGTAGCTCAACCACCGTACCATTTTCCATGTTCGCAACCCCTTTTAACGAAGCCTTGTACGTATCATATACATTACTCTATCCGTTGTTGGCATTACACAGATTTCCGCATACAGCAGCATGTTTTTTTTTGTTCCATTGTGTTCCTTTGTTTGAATGCAAATTTGCAAGAGTGTTTCAGTGAGATTAATTATAATTATCTCGCTTTTATGTGGCGTACCAAGTGTTGTTTTACCTATTGTCATGTTCTCAAGGTCGTTGCATATATCATCATAACGTATTTTATACATGGATTCATTTCCCTGTAGAATATAGCAAATCCACTGCTCTGCACTGTTCAAATGGTTTGCGCTTCACTGTAGCCATTCGCTGTCAGCTTTGAACGTATCCATTGGATTTTGACAACTTGTATCGATTTCACACATATTTTCAACTCTTTGAGTCATAACAAACGTATTTTAGCCGGATCGTGTTCGAAACAAAAGTGAATCGCAAAAATGACATCGACAAAGGAATTGTTCAGTGATTTAAAAGAAAAGTATGGAAAAACCGAAGTTTTGATCATTGAAAAAAGTAAATCCGATCCACAGACCGAACCGTTTAAGTCACATTATAAAGCCAGAAGTATTCTTTTGGACATATCGCAAACCATTAAACAACACATGGACGCGCCTGGCAACAAGGATGCGACAGACGATTTGGAGGCCTTACAGCTCATTTTAGCTCATATCACCGTGGATTTAGGAAAGATTTATAACTTTACGGAGGAAGTGTCAACTGGTGAAAAATATTTAAACGAAGCACTTGAATTGGTCAAGGACCGTGAAACAGAGCCGGCAATCATTTGTGCTGCATTGAATGCAATGAATGAAAGTGGTGTGATGTGGATGAATCGAGGTGAAACTGAAAAGGCCAGAGATTTTCTCATCAACGCCGAAACATGCTGCAATTCGTTTAAGGAAAAGAAATTGGATGCACTTTCCATTCATGACATATTCGATGGCAATTCGCAGAGTGAGAATGGTCGCGGAGAGAAATTGCTGGAGAAAATCAATGTATTGACGCTGTTCTATTTAGCTCAAGTGTTTGGTAGTCTGGGTGATTTGGAGAAATCTGCCATTTATTGCCATACGACGCTGAAAAGGCAACTCATTGAAGGCGATTTTGAACCCATCGATTGGGCTTTAAACGCGGCAACTTTATCACAATATTTTTGCACCAACGATCGTTACCTTGAGGTATAGCATTCATTTCCAATATGAAGTTCGTATTTTCAATTAATCCAAATGGATTAACTATGGTTTAGGCACGACACCACCTGGCTGCAGCTACGCAAATTTTGTTGGAACATCAGAATAATCTGCTCAAGCCTGGCATGACCGATGACGAGAAGAAGGCCGCCGAGGATAATTTCAATCATCGTATGGCAGATGTCAATCGTTGCTGGGTCAAGTACGCATTAAACTTAATGTCAGACTCTCGTGATCGTTTACTCAGAGACGATGAAATAGGTACTAATCAATGAAATTCTATAATTGCATCGCTTTCATTCATAAACCAATCCTGAACATTATTTTTTTAGATATCAAAAACTTGAAAATAACAGATCGTCTCACATTCGGTTCAAAGGTGGATGAGGCGTTTGAGAACGTCATCACGGATCGTTATTTGTTAGATGTGGACGACGCTAAGCCTGTATTTTTAAACACAATAAAATGGATTGAAAAAGCAAAATCGTACTATGCCATCGATTCAGAAGCAACGGAATATTCGAAAATCGTTCAAGACCATGCTTTGGCCTACAAGAATTTAGCATTCTTTGAAAGTGACCCATCGAATCAGGCAAAAATGCATAAACGACGAGTTGATTTGCTTGAAGCGTTGCTCGAGGAACTGAACAAAGTGTTTTACATGAATATTGTACGAGAATTGCTGTACGAGCTGGGCACTGCGTACTCCAATATTCTTGACATCAAATTGGAAATGTTTGAGCTAAGTCAGAAAGAGCCAAATACTGTAATCAACCCAAATGCTCTGAAGAAAATTAACGAACTCATCACAAAGAGTCGCAAGAATTTCACTGAATTCATCTCAACGTATTACCAAGCAAAAACTGAAGAACTCAAATCAGACCTTAGTATCGACGAAATGATACCGATTGCATTTTCATATTTCCAAGTGGCCAGAATCAGTTACAAGTTCATTACGCCCGACAAGCATTTGCAGTATAAGAATTTGTCAATATGCCTGGAAAGTTACCAAAAGTTTGTGGCGTTGTGTTCGCAAAAGGAGGAAGTCGGAGATAAGATGAAAGCCGAAGTTGGTGTGAGCAAGGAAATGGTTCAATTGCTCCCGCTCAAACTCCAACGATTGAAGGGAGACATCATCGAATCTGGAGCAAGACCAGCAATTACCGCCTAATTTAACTTATTCCAAAGCACGCGCTAATAATCAAATAATTGAAACTATTACCTACACATTCAATAAATAATTTGCTTCAGAAAAATGTGTTTCATTGAACATTCGATTGTTATTGTTATTGTTTTTGTGTTTGAATATCATCACCGACGACAGAAATGTGAGGTTATGTCCAACGAACGGGATGAGTGCGTTTATATTTCCACGATTCACACAAAAAATGCTGTCACTTTCCAATCTTTGTATCCAGAGAGATATGTCAACACAAAGCAACAAATCTAAACACATAATTCAAGTGGCTCATCAGTGCTGTGTTGAGCGTATGTGTGACAGAAGTTGCGATTAGTTTGTTGAAGCGAGATGTTTATGTGAAAAATGTTTACAAAACCGTGAACTATTTACTTTCATTTCAGTCTAGTTTCATAGTTCATTTTGTGTGCATTGGCTTGCATTTATACGTCGTTCTAGAACAAGTGCATTTATTTATTTATTATTTTGTTTAACGCGAAGAAAAAAAAACTTTGTAAGAAAAAAAAGAGAGAAAACAGACGCAAAAATAGTTGCTTGATAACATAAGGTCGGTTCAAACGCCATAAATTCATTGCTCTTGACAAGTATTATTTATTCATTGTGGCTTTTAAATGCGTAAATTCGCATTCATTTCAAATTTTATTCAAAGAAAAACTAATTCAACGAATGTTTCATTGAGCGTTTTCTATATTTTGATGACGTTATCAGTATCAAGTATCAAATACACTTTTTCCATATGGCAAACAAATACACAGATTCGCAATAAAAAAACATATGTTTTTTTTTTCATATTGTTTGTTGTTTTTTTCTTTTCTCTGTGATACATTGCCCATTTTCAAGTTCCACGAAAACAATTTTGAATGACTTATTAAGCAAATTTTATCAATTTTTTCACGATTCGAGTGAATGAATTCGATTTCGGGCATATATTAGTGGGTATGACAATGTGTCATAGTTGTTGTTTTTTTTCCTTGAACAAAAAGCGCAGTGTGAAATGACTTCAAAGAACGAAGAACGGTGTTTAGTTGAAAATTAATCGTTGAACCATTTGTTGCGCCTTCAATTGCGCATACGCATTGTGGGAACGGAATATAAGAGGAAGAAGATAAAACGTTAAACGGTACCGAACAATTTGTCTCGATAATACGAATGAAATATTTCGTAATCATTTGCATGTACGCGGAACATTATCAGAAATTTGGAAGAAAAAAAAAGACCGTTAAATATAAAATAGGCGCAATCATACTTAAATAAAACAGCCAAAAACCTTTGCCATCGGTTTCATTGGTTGAACTTACTGATTCCCATGTATACTGTATCAATACGAGACGAAATGACGCAGACATTTTTTAATCGTTGTCCCTTTACTGCACGTTTCTCTATGTGTCGTGTCTCAATTGAGATGATAACAGTTGATCATGTTTCAGTATACGGGGCCCACATGCGGGTTAGTTTTCAATCGCAAATCGATTCCCTTCGTTGTCAATTACGCTATTTGTTCTCCGATTTAGGTCCATTGATTAGCAATTATTGTTATGTTAATAAGTTCTTTGAACGCATAATTGTGGGATAAAGAATTCATTCATTCGATTTTTTTCATTTAATTTCCGCCCCTTTTGTTATGAAATGGTGGCATACACTCTTTTTTATAATGAGTTGTTATTCAATCTAATAGCGTGTATTTTGATATTTGCAGGAAAAATGGGTGTGGATGACGAGCTATCCACGCCAATATTGCATAGTGACGAAGACGAGCATCGAAGTCGACGAACATTTAACGATGATGAATTGAATGCAGGAAATGAATTCGGTGGAGCTTGTTGTAATCCTTCATCGACATGTCATCGCTTCATAGCATTGATTTTGATGTGCTTAGTCGGATTTGGTAAATATTTTTGAACATTTTCGGCGTCAATTTTCTTTTTCAAATAATAATACATTTTAAATTGTTCACTCTGCTGTTGAAACTCTTTTGACATTTCATTTCCTATTCCATTTGCAGCCTCTTACTTTTGCTATGACAATCCTGGAGCCCTACAAAATTACTTCATGAAGGACATGGATATGTCCACAACGCAATTCGCATGGTTGTACTCGATTTACTCATGGCCAAATGTGGTGCTCTGCTTCATTGGTGGCTTTCTAATTGACCGGTTAGTATTTCGAATTCCCATCTATGCACACAATTTTGAATACAGATCAATGCACACTTTAATTTCGCAGAGTATTTGGCATTCGTTTCGGCACAATTCTCTACATGTTCATCCTGATGATTGGCCAATTGATTGTTGCCTTTGGTGCGATTCTTGATGCATATTGGATGATGATCCTTGGCCGTTTTGTGTTCGGCATTGGCGCTGAGTCACTGGCTGTCGCACAGAATAACTATGCCGTACTGTGGTTCAAGGGCAAAGAATTGAACATGGTGTTCGGTTTGCAATTGTCATTCGCCCGTGTCGGAAGCACTGTCAATTTCAATGTGATGGAACCAATTTACAAATACATTAGCAAATGGTATACTGGACACATGTGCCTCGGCGTTGTCTTGCTAATTTCGTTTACGACCTGTCTGATGTCGTTCACCTGTGCTATGCTTCTTGGTTGGCTCGATAAGCGGGCACAACGGATTTTGCAGCGAAACGATAATCCAGGCGGTGAAATTGCTAAATTGAGTGATGTGAAAACATTTAAAGTCACATTTTGGATGGTCAGTGTCATTTGTGTTGCGTATTATGTAGCCATTTTCCCATTTATCGCTTTGGGCAAGTAAGTACATTCGGAACAATTAATCAAACATCACTGTCACAATTACTAATTGATCAATTAATGTGTGCATCGCTTATCTAGGATGTTTTTCATGCAGAAATATGACTTTGACGCACAGGATGCAAACTTTATCAACTCATTAGTGTACATTATCTCAGCTGGAGCGAGTCCATTGTTTGGTTATGTCATTGATAAAACCGGCAAGAATGTTTCCTGGATGTTGATATCAATTATTGCTACGATCTGTGCTCATTCATTCCTCGCCTTTTCATATGTTAACCCATATGTTTGCATGGTGAGTACTTTAAATAGCTTATCTGAGTTGAATGTGATACACACTATCGTTTACCGGAATATTTATCTACATTTTATATACGGTTTCACAGATCTCAATGGGATTGGCGTATTCGATGCTTGCCAGTAGTTTGTGGCCTCTTGTTGCTCTTATTATTCCCGAATATCAACTTGGCACTGCCTATGGAATGTACGTTTGTCTCAACTGCATCCGTTTTTTCCATTCAATGGCACTAACTGTTTGTGTTTTGTTTTTCTTTAGCTGCCAATCCGTTCAAAATCTTGGTCTGGCTGTGGTTTCAATGTTTGCCGGTATGATTGTGGATCGTGGTGGGTATTATACGCTTGAGATATTCTTCATTTGCTGGCTAGGAGGTGAGATCAAATATAAACGGATTCTATTTAAATTCCCTGGCTAATCCAAAATGTTCTTTCTCCTTAGTTGCTCTGTTCGCGACAGTGGTCATTTGGATTTATAACGCAAACAAAAATTGCGTTTTGAATATGACACCGCATGAACGTGAACTACATTTGGCATTGACGTGAGTATATTTCCGAAGACTGCAATTTGATTATTTATGATTTAATAGCAATTAACAACTCAAATGCAATACACTTGCCTCGTCTAATTACAGATCAAGTAATGCAAATGAGAAACTAGCGAACAGTGATTCAGCTGAAAATATCCACCCGCTTGAGAATGGTGCAGCTACATCATCCAGTCCACGAATACGGAATCGTTATTTGAAAAAGATTGGCGTTGGTGGCGGTGGCGATGACATAGAAGACGAACTCCCACTCTTGGATGATAACTAATTAACTAACTAACAAATGAAGTGATTGTCAAATTATATATATCAAATCTCATCATGTATTACTATTTCTTTTAAATCATTATTTCTCGATTATCTAGATAGTGTAAAGTGTATCGATATAATGTAGCCAAAAACAAGACAAAAAAAAACACACACACACACAATTTATGGATTAGTTATTTGTTGTAATATTTTCTTTACTGCTTAAGTCAATTAGCATTGCGTCAAATTACATGATGGAATTTACGTTTGTCATTATTTATAATCGAACTCATCTATTTTTGTTTTGTTTTTTTTTTTTTGATTTCACATGAGCTCTTGTGTAAATACCACTATGACATGTATATGGAAATTTTATGAATATTGCAGGAATGAAGAATTATTAATGAAGGAAAAATATAAAAGACAAATTTATTTACATATCTAATGAATGGAACAAATAAATCGATGAATTTTTGATTGGAAATATTGTGAGTTATTCATCTGCTTGGTATGTGACACCCATTTGTCTCTGGAAGTCGTCTTCCATGCGAGCAATCAACAAGCTTCCATTGCGAATGGTCTTTTCTTCCTTACCTTGGCGGATGTAATGTTTGTACTTCGTTAGCCTTGTAACACAAACCGGCGCTGTTGAGAAAATTGAAGTTGTACTTTCCCTGCACCAATTTGCGGCTTTTTTCGCATCCGTCAAAATCAATGATAACAATTCAATTCAGCCAATTCCTTCTTTCAATTGAAACAAACATGTGTTTTCCGATGGCTGAGCATCTCAGCATTTCGTAAGCTACGGATATATCCGAGCATATCGATGACGCATACTGTATAATACAGTGGCGTGTGTTGCTGTTGCTACGTGCAGCCGCAACGACTCGACCGGAGTGTGTTCAGTTGATGTGGCTGCACGCAGCAACAACATACACATGGTCCGGTCGAGTCGTTGCGGCTGCACGTAGCAACACATGCCATGGTATTATACATTATGCGTCGTCGATATGCTCGGATATATCCGTAGCTTACGAAATGCTGAGATGCTCAGCCATCAGAAAACACATGTTTGTTTCAATTGGAAGAAGGAATTGGCTGAATTGAATTGTTATCATTGATTTTGACGGATGCGAAAAAAGCCGCAAATTGGTGCAGGGAAAGTACAACTTCAATTTTCTCAACAGCGCCGGTTTGTGTTACAAGGCTAACGAAGTACAAACATTACATCCGTCTGTAACTTTTCGAATTTGTTAAGAAATTTGAAATCTATTAAATGGTAATGTGGAAAAAATGTATTTCAATTAAATACGACCATCGGTGGAGTGAATTTTGTCAAACAAATGATGAATTTTCCGATTTTTCGAAAAATTTTGTCATTTTTTGTATGGAAGGTCTTAATTATTTTTCCCGCAGTTTTTGGGCAATTTCATCAATAAATGATATCCATTACCGAAAATAATGAAATTGATAGTCTAGTCCATTTATAAAAACTTCAAATATTCTCATAAACATCATTTCATGAATATTTTTTTGTAAAATAACAGAATTAATGGGAAAAAACTGAAATTTCAATGCCGGTCCTAATTAAATTTCCATGACTGTATATGAACCCAAAATCGATGACTTTTTGATTAGAAAAATTGTTATATATTCATCTGATGAGTACGTGACACCCATTTGTCTCTGAAATCCAGATCTTGAAAGCAATCAAAAAGGTTCCATTGTGAATTGCATAATCGTCTTTTTTGATCTCATGGTTGTATTTGCGTACTTTATCGGTCTCGCATTCCAAACCGGCGATCTAAGAGACGTATTTTTATTTGGCAAATGATGTGAGTTGTTGTTTCTGTTATTCATCAAAAAATGGCTTTTCGATCAAAACATGTTTTATCTGTTCAATCAGAAACATCCAAATGCTGTAGATATGAATCAACTGTCGAAAAATCGTTCACTTTTCCCTGTTATTGAAATATTCGATTCACATATGACGACCCAAAGTGTTTGACAGTTTCCCGCATTTTCAAACAAAAACAAGACCCCTTTGTAGTTGATAGGTCATTAACTTATTGGGTTAACACATAAAAAAATTAATCGACGTGCGTTCATAAATGTGAGTATGTGTATGTGTAAGTGTATGTTTATATAGCGCTGTGTATAAATTTAAACATACACAGCGCTCGTTCTCAATTTCTATGGAGCTGACATCCATGTATTAAAAAAAGTAAGCATCAGTACAATTTTAGTCAACAATCTGTTTATACACAAACGGGAGTAATATTCAATATTCAATCAAAAAAATAATTTGAAGTGCCATTTCACAAGATAAAAATGAATCGAGTTGAGGAGTTCCATATTTTCCGTTTTTGCAGATTTATTAAATATACAGATCCAACCGGAGAGTTAGTATTATTTAATATTATTTTCAAAGAATGTGGTTATATTAATAATGCGCATAAATTAATTGTTGAATGAATTTTTCATCAATAAAAAAAGATAAAATCGTGATCAATTTTGTTTATTTACACAGGGTCAAATATGTTTCTATCTTTGGTGACAAACGTGATACGTCGGAAAATGAGTATAGATCCGAACTCAATAAATATCTTCACATCTATGAGAGACCTCAACTAAAAGTCGAATTTCTATTCGTGGGTGAGCAATTCTTGAAAGATCAACCCCCATCAAACTTGGATCCAGATGTTAAGAAGTTTCTCACGTTTATACTGCGCGCTTATATGCCGTTCGGTGTATTAAGCATGGATGTTTTTCCTGAAGCTGACCACATTCTTGAGCAATGTAATGATGTCAATAAAGAGGAAGAAATCAATAAATTAGACGATTTGATTCCAAAAAACTTTGTACCCAGAGATAAAATTGCAAAAAGAGAGATGTTAGATCGATTAAAGCGTATAACCGAAACACTTCTGACAGGAATAAGACAAGGATTGGATATTAATTGTGAGAATCGTGTTAATGCCTTGGAATATTTTTACAGTAGTTATCTTGATATCACTTTGACCTCAGTTCCCCATCATGATGAAGAATACAATCGCATGAAGGAATTGATCAATATAGAAGATACTTACGGATATGTCATTGAACATATTTTTAAAGTGAAGCAAAAAAATGGAAATGAAATGGGAAACGTAGCAGCAACGGACGGAACAAAACAATTGTTTCACGGAACATATCCCAACAACATTTTGGGCATCTTGAAAGAAGGTTTGCATAAAAATTCAGATCTTCCTCATGTTAAGGGAGTTGATCCTTCAAATAGAGAAAATGGGGATGGGATCTACTTCACAGATTCACCCAGAGCTGCTTTAGGCCGATTCAGGAATCATTTAAATGATAAAGAGCATTTTCCTGAAGTAACTATTTTCTATTGTACTGTTGCTTCTGCAGAGGAATGTTACAACCGCAATGAAAAAGAATATGTTGCGAGGAAAAAGGAACACGTGAAAATTGATTATGTTATAAAGTTGATAGAACCACAAGAGCAACAGAAAAAATTTATCAACACTCTTTAGATTGTAGTTTGAAAATTCATTTACTTTTCAGTCAATAATGTCGCAAAAATTATTCCAATTAATGAAATAAATAATTGAATAAATCGTAAAAAAAATTCAATGAATTATTTTTGTTCGTTTATTTGAAAATTTTCCTTAAAATGTCTTATTTTTTCAATTCGACTTACAATGGGAGTTCAGCTCACCTCCACATAAACAACGTCCAATTTAAACAATCTAATTAGTATAGAAACGTGTCACTTTAAATCACGTATTCAATTTACTATGTACTTCCCTGTATTATTTGTGGAATCTTTAGGATCCATCAACATAAATGACTTCAGTCATTCAGCCTTCATCCTAATGAAATGGAAAATAAATCAACATCAATGATAGATAAGTAATTTCAACAAAGAATAAAGTCGATTAAAATTTTCCTCACGAAATTCAATCGATGTCGTCCAAATTGGCAAATCACAATTTAGCATTAATTGATGGGATATGTCTAAGCGGTCCATTTTCAATCTGTTGTTGAAGGTATTGTGTGCTGGGGAAGAATCGCGACCACTACGATCTAAAAAACTTCCGTTTGTTCGGCAAATGTGATAGGTTGTTGTTTTTGTTAAAGTTCATTCCAAAATAACCTTTTGATCAAAACATGTTTTACCTGTTCAATCAGTAACATCCAAATGCTATAAATATGAATCGTTCGAATAAAAGTCGTTCACTTTTTCCTGTTATTGAAATATTCGATTTACATTTGACGATCTTATTTCTAGAACCAAAGTAATAATACCTACAAGTATTTGAAAATTTCGCGTATTTAAAGCAAAATAAGAACCCTGCTAGTTAATGGGTCATTAACTCATTGGGTCAACACATATAAAGATTATGTAGACGTGGGTTTGTAAACGTAACAATGTATATGTATACATATATAGCACTGTGCTATGAATTCTGCATTTCATGAAATTAAACAATGATTACCAAACTTAATGTAAATGCACTGATCTAGTGAATATGTTTTTACTGGGAGCGTCAAAAATTTGTTTGCTTGAATGAATAAGCAATGATTTTGGCAGACAAAAGTGAAAAATAATACTGAAATGAATGTAATGGAAATTGTACTGCACAATTTTTATGATGATTGGTTTTGATAAAGGAAAAAATTAGTATGAAAAAGAGATGAATAAAAGACGAAAAAAATTTCGTCAAGAATTTTTTTTCCACTATTCGGAGTTTCGGTTTTCCGTTATTAAGGTCAATTTGTATGGGAGAGCTCAACGGCTAAATTTTTTTCCACTATTGACACGATTTCCACTATTCCCAGGTTCCGTAATTGACAGGTTTTACTGTATATTGCACATCAGAATATTTCTGAGGGAGTTTGTTTGTCGCAGCGGTTCAATTGTTTTCCTATTTTCATTTCCATAATAGTGATGAATTTTGTTCATTTACACAGGGCCAAATAAATGGGTGAGATTGAAAACAAGACATATTTCCACAGCAACTTCTAACTCTTCAACATTATTTCAGTATTGCTTATTGATATACAACGCATATTGCCCGAATGCCATTTAGGTTGCTGCTGATTGAAACAAACAAGAGTGGGGCTGCCCCAGGTACCAACCACCTACGTGGTATTCGACTCATCGCACACGAATCACACAGCAAAATCGATACTAAAAGACTGACGAATTGTTCCCCATACATTCTCTTATGTGTATAGAAATGATGATACTTATCTGTGATGTTTACACTTATTATTTATTGTAAAATTTTATTTTGTGCTTTGTTGTAGCCATCCATGAGTTGGCAACTTAATATTCTTATGTCTGAAATCAATTTTGAATTATTCATAATTAGCATCAAATGCTCTAGTTACGCTTCAAATCATAGTCCATGTCAACTCAATGCACTCTGCAATCAACATGGATCTGCCTTTAAGACGTAAAACTTCTCGTCAATTTATCCACCGGTATAAATTGAGCGACGACTTTTGCTGTCCTAGAGTCTCAAATTAAACGTGTAATTAAACGCTTCACATAGCCTTTGTTCCTTTGGAAACGTTTACCAAAGGTTATCATGGACCGTTTGCCATAGACTATATGGACCGTTTGCCATATCAAGCATTTCCATCTTGGTTGTATGACTGTTTTTTCGTTTTCATGTTCCTAATATTGTGAATACCGCATGATGTATGAAAAGAGCCAGGTTTTTAACGAGGCGAGAACTGATAGTTATGAAAAATTATCGCTACTAAATGTTTATTATTTTAAATATGTAACAGTCTTGCACTCTTTTCCGGCCAAACCTTAATCAAAAACCCACATTATATTCAGCCAGAGCTTGGCGGTGTTTATTAAAATAAAAATAAAATATATAGTGACCGCAGTCAGGAATATCGATCACAGTGTTTTGGCTGTTGGCTACTTAACCGATGAAGATGGACAAGATTATTACATCGTTAAGAACTCGTAAAATTGACATTAAAACAGCATATATTCTGAAAAAAACTCAGAAAAGGAATAGAAAACGAATTATTAGGATTGTTATGTTGAGTGGTACTTGATTCAGTATCATTAGAGTGCAACGCCATTTCATGTCCATTTGAAGTTTTCTGAAACTATCCGCCTTTGTTGGGACAGTCAACGGTTTTCGCATTTTGCCTTTTTCCGAAATGGTTATCGTAAACCATCCAAATTGTAACATAGTCTTGAAATAAACGACTTTTCTGAAAAAATACAAATAAGTCATATTGACTATATTATATATCGGAAGTTTTTTTCGTGATCTTCTCAAATATGATATAAAAAACAAAGTAACCCTTCAAAGTTTTGCAGAAAGTTAGTCTATTTGTTAAATTGTTAAAATTTGGATGGTTTAAGATATTACCAATATAACCTAAAATTATAAATATTCAATTGAAAACAAACAACCCGAGAATAAAAGAAGAATATTTAAAAAAACCATTGAATTCCTGGACATTTTCTTTCTTATCACTTTATAGCACCCATAAAAATGGTTTGAATTGATTTTAAAATTAAACGAAATATCATGATTTTTTCTAGGAATCAAAACCACTTTATATGATTCAATCACTATTTGATTTGTAGAAGTTATGCAACGAACCGGTAAGTTGCACGATTAATCTATTCCCACGTGTGTTGCAATTCGATCGATTGATGTCCAAATATTTGTTATCACTTTATATTGAAAGTGCGCTTTATAATAGAAGTGATGTAGATAAGATAAATTTGGATCGTTTGCAACGATTCTTATGCGCTGTTATTACGTGCATTTTATTTTTAAACGTATTTCAATGCCAAATTCGTTTGTCAAGGAATGATTTTCATGGAACGTTTAACCGTAAACCAACATATATAAATTAAAGGCAATAGCATTAACTTAATTCTGGTCGACAAGCGAATAAATTCTTCAGATTTATAAAAATATAAACGTCATATTATGGTTTTGATCAAACAAAATCAGTTTTTGTTAATTCGGATGTTTATTAGTTTAGAAATTTATCGAAATTTAAATCAAGTCTTCTACGTATCTCGTATACAATGTATGATTGTATGTTTAAGAATACGAAATAAGCGAAGATTAATAAACGAGTACGTGATAAAATGTAACTTATACACAGTCTAACGATAAAAATTCCCTAATTACATAGTACAGAAAAAAATACATTTACATCACATATCAATACTTTGAAAAACACGTTTGGAATAGATAAAAATAGAACTGGATTAAAATGCATAGGAGAATTGCAAGTTTGCATTTAACTGCGTTCCACTTACAAATTGGCATTTGAGAAGAAGAGAGACTTTGGAATAATTTAATTTAATTTTTGTGATTTAAACTGAAAGAAGGAAAAATGAAAAAAATTATTGAATTTCATGTGTTTGCTATCGAATTGTACTCTGACGAAAAAAATAAAAAAGTGAATAGTGACAGAAAACAAATGAAGAAATACATCATATACGAGGAGAATGGAAAGTGAGTTTTAACAAATACATGTTTTTATTTCGTTCTATCAATGTCAATGTTTAATATGCGATTATTAAATACTTTTGTAGAAAATATTATAGGTGTTTTACCGATTCAAACAAATTTTCTTATTACAACGAACGTATATACGAACGAGCATTGAAATCAGAAAATGGAACGAAAATTCATCATGTAAAATGTTTATTCGAATACGATCACTTTTTGGTAAACGGACCAGCCTTATACCTCAAAAATTCAACTTGGGAATTCATCAAATTTGTGCTCAGAGAATACATGCCTTTTGGCATATTGGATTTGAAAGTGTTTCCTATAGCTAGAGAAATTCTAAACCAGTACACTGATGACGAAAAAAAATTTCAAGAACTTTTCAAACTAATCCCGATGAAGTTTGTGCCGGAAAATAAAACGGCTAAGAAAATCATGCTTGACAAACTACAAAATGTAGTAGAAGCATTGTACAAAGCAATAGACAGTGGAGAGGATTCTCTACACCACTTCTGTGAACAGTTTCTCAGAATAAAAATATCGGAACCAAAGCAAAATACTGATTATGAAAACATGAAGGAGAGTTTTGCAGACTTAAAATGTTATGATGTTAAAAATATTTTCAAGGTGGAAAAATGTGAGGCAAAATCCAATCTCACATCCGGATCAGCTATGAGGCTATTTCATTCCACTTACTGCAATCAAATGTTAAACATTTTGAAAGACGGTCTACGCATTGGATCAAATCTACCAGATGTTAAACAACCGGAAACTAAGCGTGCTAAAGAAGGCATTTACTTTTCTGAAAAACCATACATGGAAAAGTTTCACACTCAACACCCAACTGTACTGATCCTATATTGTACAGTCGATTCACCTAAATTGTATGGGGAGAGCAAAGGCCACTATGTAGTCAGAAAAGAGGAGCAAGTGACAATTGATTACATCATAGAATTAGTTACAAATTAGTTATAATGAAAGTAAATTGAACGTAATTCCTAAACATTCGATGATTCAATAAAAATCATTGGAAGAAATGTTTTTCTTCTGAAAATGTGTAAAATCGTCTAAAAAAATATAAATTTTTCTATTTCTTTAGACGATTTTATCGATTCTTTTGACAAATTCTTTAGATGTTTTTTTCACTTTTTTTTAGACGTTTTTCTAATGATTTTAGACGATTTCCCAATGAGCCAAAATCATTTAACCATCAAAATCGAAAATAATTTTCCGTAAACAATTTTATCAAAATCATCCTCTATATTCGATAATTGGTTTTCTTCCCTAATGATATTTTTCAGTAATGTTTTCTTGTGTATTTAATAAAGAATGTGAAATGAATGAATAAATGTTATTATCAATCTATATATAAAAAAATTGATGTGTATCTGTCTGTCTGTCAGAAACGACTTGGAGGCCAAACGGGTGGTCCGATCTGGACATGCCGCACATCATATCGATCGAATTTCGTGAGTAAAATTTGGATCAATTTCCATTGCGTTCCTTCTTCAAATTGCTTATCATTGATGTTGATTTCTTCTGTTCTTTTCAATGGGAAGAAGGAATTGGGCGGCGGAACCGTGTTGGATATTGGGGTGGATGAAATCCAGTTCAGCCAATGGGTGTTCCAACAAGCAAAATCAATCGCCGCACTCAAAGCAACTCCCACCAAGGAAAGAGTCGATCTGGAAGTGTCTGCAAAAGTCAAATACGGCGACAATAAAGTAGCCAACTTAAAAGTGTTTAAAGACTTTGAAAAACCGAGCCGAAATTATTGGAACAAGGGGCAAAAAGACGGTAGGTCATGTGCGCACTAAAGATGTCTTGTGACCATTAGTTTTATTTGCACTGCTCTCACTTTTTTTTCATAGGTTCCGATATTTTGGTGTCCTACCTCGGTCATTGATGTTTGATGGATCCGAAAAAAGCTGGCCATTTCCAAAGGGAAAGTACGACTTCAATTTACTCAACAGTGCTGGCGAGGTATGAGGCCTACGAAGTACGTAAATACATCCACGAAGGCAAGAAAGAAGGCGATTATGCTACTCACAATGAAAGCTTGTTTATTGCTCGCATCGAAGACGAAATTTTCAAGCAACTCGGTGTCACATACCCAACAGATGTATGAGTAATTCAAGTAATTCATACCAACTTTACAAAAATTCGGGTTTCTTTTAATGAAATAAGAAGCTATTCTTGTACTTTTTTTGTCCTGTGAATCGAATTCACTAAAATCAACCGCAACTTGGCAATGTTAGATAAAATAAAAGTATTATGAACCAAAATGTATGATTCTATTTCGGATGTTTTTTTTTAAATCAACCTTTTCTTTCGAAAATAAATTGAGAAGACACGAGTCGTATTTTTCTTTTTTAATTGTTGACAATTGGAAAAGTAATATGCAATAAAAAAGGTATTTTATCAAAATACAAATATTGACTCTCTTAAGTAAACACTACACACATCTATATGTTCTTCATAGAACATTAAAAATCATGTAGAAGAATGTTTATTTGATTTGTTTCAGTGAAAGGAAATAATAAAAAATCCATTTTGAAAATACATTCGTAAAAGCGACAAAGTCAACATCCAAACTACGAATGAATAAAAAAAAATAGATGCCCCGCGTGAGGATCGAACTCACGACCTTCAGATTACCCCTACATTTTTGATTATGAGACTGACGCGCTACCTACTGCGCTAGCGAGGCTATGTATGTGTCGTGGTAAACAGCGTTCTTGAAACTACGGTCGGACGATTGCAAGCGCGCGAGACGAACAATGTGGTTGATTCACATGTCACATGCAAGAGTGACAGCAGATGAGGAATAAAATTTCATTTCGAATCGAGACAATGCGACTCTGCCAATGTTATTTTAATAGAACAATCCACATCAATATTTATAGTATTGAATATTTGGTTTCAACTCTCAATTTATGATTCATGAGTGGCAAATTTTAAAACAATCGCTGTGTTGAGTCATTTTGGAAGGGGGCCTTTTGTTCGATTCTGAACATAAGAACACTTGCGTCTATTAGAAACGAGTTCTATTTATACATTTTTGTGTGTAAATGTTCCATTATTTTGTCATCTGTGTTCTATTCAAATAGAATCAGACAAAAGTTTCGAATGACAACACGGTGTTTTTTGTTCGTTCCACGTATCTCTGTATGCAATTTTTCTCCAAATTTAATTAACTATTGGAACGGAGGGAAATGAAAATGAGTGTTCCATGGTCGGATTTCAATTTTGCAACATTTAACATGACTTGACAAACGAACACAAAACCAAATGTTACCATGTTAATTTAAATGTGAAAATTGAACTTTGTATGGACGCGCAATGTATGAAAAAAAAATAACTTTTACTTTTCCCATAACAAAAATAAAGAATCAAATTAAAAAACGACGCATTTCAAGAGTGTAATGAAATAAAAAACGCAAATTCAAATTCTTTATCAACTGTTTGATCTTTATTTTGTCGATAAAAATTCACTGGTGCTTTTCAGACAGCAATTTTTTTATGACAGTCGGTATTCGAATCCAGTCCAAAGAGACTTTTGTTTATTGTGTGTATTTTTTTTTCTTCTTCAATTCCGTAACAAAGTTTGACATTTCCTATGTAAATTTTTCACCTTTTTGGCTAATTTACTGGTTCATTCAACTCGATATCCAAAACGAACGAATGAACGAACAAATTAAAAAAATAAAAATAAAAAATAAACAATAAACCAATTGTTTGAGATTAATTGCTATTCAATTATAATAATAATTTTTATTAAGAAAATTACAATATTTCTTAAAAATCCTTAAATATTTTTGTCGATAAAATGGATAGTTTAACGTTTTGTTTTTTTTTTTGTTACGGTGCAACAATCTTCGTTGAAGTAGTTGTCTTCTCCGATGTGATGTGATGCACTGCTATGTAGTTTTTTATTTATTTATTTAGGTTGGCAATAGCACAATAATGCGAATTTGTAGCACACAGTGTACGACTATGATCAACAAAAACATGATACAAAAAAACGAGAATTCTTTTTACAGTTTTCCGAATGAAGCAGGTTCAAATAAAAAGAAAAGAAGGAAAAAACGCGACAAATGTACCAACCAGAGAGTGAGAGAGAATGAAAAAGAAAGACAGAAGACAGCGGTGTGGATTTTAATGGTTGTCAGTGTATGCTTCATTCGTATTATTGCAATGGCCATAAATATTGATACGTTCAAGTTGCGCTAAATCGTCGACAATTTCGATCATTCTCTCACATCAAAGAAGTTGTGTACGTGTTTTTCTCTTTTTTTCCCCTCTTGATTTGTTTTGTTTTGCGTAATTTTTTTTTGTGTGTTTGTTTGTTTTGTAATGGTATAGAAGTTTTCCTCTCTTGTAGTCAGCTAGGCTATGACACACGAGATGATTTCAATGATGACACTATTTCACAGAAAAGTTCTGTTGCGGGTTGATCGATGTAGCATTATTCGATTGCACCCAATTTGAGAAAACGTTTCTACAGTGCAAAACCACGCAGTGATTGGAGCAGTATTCATCTTCCCAGTCCTTGTGCGCAATGGCCGTATTTTGACATCCAGCTCGTATGCATTGCTGGGGCATAGGTGTTGCCGTTTGCATTTCCTGCAATTGGTTGGGTGGCATATTGTGTAGAACCATAGTAGTTGTGGGCTGTTGATTTAATTGGAATGAATTAAAATTTTGATTGCTAACATCATTTGCATGAATGTTGTAACCACCTTCACTTCCATAGGGCTGATGGTGTGTTGGGATCTGATGCATTGGTGGCGGTGGCTGCTGCTGTAGATTCCCATGATTTGGTGACGAACTGTACGGATCCATTGGGATATTGTGTGGTGGCGGTGGTGGCTGTTGCGGTGGCCCTTGCTGTGGTGGTGGCCCTTGCTGCTCATAACCGTATCGAACCATTGGAACTTGCTGCTGTGGATGTCCCATGTGTTGCATTTGCATTTGATGATTTTGTGGAACGTTTTGATGAATTGGCGACAATTGATTGTGGGGCATTGACATATTCATACTATTGTAATCGATTTGATTTGGATTCGGTGGCGATTTGTATGCATTCGTAGGAGGGTTGTATGTTTGTTGATATGGCGACGATTGAGGTGGCATAGACGTTTGTTGTCCAGCCTGTTGTTGCTGGTGCTGTTGCTGTTGTTGTTGTTGCTGCTGCTGCTGTGGTGTTAAATACGGTTGTTGATTCATATTTGCATTTGGCTGATTTGATAACTGGGGCTGAATCGGTGAGTTTGGCTTCACCTGCGATGATTGTTGTTGCTGTTGTTGTTGTTGAGTCGATGCTTGTGGATTTGGAAGACTCTGAGGCGATTGCTGCGTACTGTTCGCCTGTTGAACCGATTGATTCTGGGGCGATATGGTACCAGTCGGTGTTGATGGTTTATTTGAATCAACATCATTGCCTTTGGATACAATGCTTGCACGATATACGGCCAACGTTTTCAAATACTCCTTCTTAGCCACTTCCGTTTTCTTCTTGTACACCTCCTTGTGCTCGTGTGCCAAACCATCCCACATTGATGCCACTATTGTCGATACTTCACCAAATGAGGCATTTGGATTTTGCCCTTTGATAGCTGCTTGTGTATCACGAAAGAATAATGCATACGCTGATACGGGTTTCGTTGGTTCATTTGGATCTTTCTTCTTCTTCTTTCGCGGTGGCTTCGGTTTTTTCGGTGCCGTCGCTGACGCCTTTCCACCTTTCGATGGTGATTCGTTCAATGGTTCGGGCGAAGGTCGTTTCAATGTATTAACACTACCTGTAATGGCCGGGGAGAGAGAGAGAAAAAAGCGAACAAAGACATTAGTCGATTTTAATTTGTACTAAAAAGAATTGCCGAATCAGAATCGTCTTTCAACTTATTGTAAATGGGTTAGATTTACCATAAAATTCAAAGTCAAATTCAACTCTAAACATCTTAACGTTTCAGTAATTTTTCGAACGGAAATCGTAAAAGATAAGATATTGTGTGTACACTACAATACAGTACAATACGACAAAGTTATCCATTACAATACAGAAATCGTGTGCTTTTGCACACAAAACCGAATTCAGCTTAATAAACTAAAAAATTTCTCACTTTCGTAATTGGTCGAAAGTTTGCCATTCGCATTACTGACTCACGTTTTCACTTGAAAATCACTTAGTAAGTGATACTTACCATCGCTATCTTCACTAGTTGTACCGTTTTCTGTAGGGACGCCATAATGCGGAGACTGATTGATTTGATGAGCCGTTGGGCTGCTCATAATTTGTGATTGTGGTGGTTGTGCATTCATTGGTGGCGACTTATAGGGTGGAGGCATCATTAGCATTTGATCCTGCGACTGCTCGTCATTCGTATCGAAATAGACAGAAATAAAACAGCGTCAAAGAAAGACAAAGAGACACAAAGAAAGAGGTTAGATTTAAATGGTTTCATGAATTATTACTTTTCAATATGTCTGCAGCAGAATAGTCAATAATAATAATTTATCCACGTTCGTGATTGTAAATGTCATTTTCCTCGAATCTAATGGTAGAAAAGTAACTTCTTTTACATACAATGCACACAGATATATACAACAAACACTATATGTTGCGCTGAAGTTTAATTTTACCAATAAACTATACATAGAATGGGAATGGAAATTGTTTATTCCCTCATCGTTGACGAGTACATATTATTATTGAGTGTTCCGTTGAAGAACATAACTACAGCGAGAGAGACTATTAATAAAATGAAAAATGATGATTTACGCTGGGGACTGGGTTTGCGATTGGATTTGGAGAAAAGAAAATGGAATAGTACCTGTTGTGTTGGTTGGTAATGCATTTGTTGTGGTGGCGGACCCTGGGCTGGTACTGGACGGGGCTGCATTTGCTGCATGTGATTATGATTTGGGGGCTGGCCCTGATGATTATAAACTGGGTCTCCCTATAAATGCCACAGCCGAGGTGGATTTAATTTTCAGGGAAAAAAATCAATAAATAATTCATGGCAATTAAATTAAAATAAAGACGAGCGAGAAATAAAATGAAGAAAAATGACTTACATTTAGATAGTGCATTTGCGGATCCATCATCGGGCTATTGTACATTGCCATGTTCATGTTGCTGGGGGGTGCCGCAAAATTTCTCTGATTAGCTTCCTGCTGCTGTTGCCACATATATTGTTGGTCTTGCATTTGTTGTGGGGGTATTGGCATTGGATGATACTGATCCATTTGATGTGTTTGTTGCATCATTTGCATCGAACTCACGTCGAAATCGTCGTCACCGAATGATGGCGCGTGGAATGTCTAAACGGATTGAGAACCAAATACAAATTACATGCCCAAAAAAGAAACAAAAGGTTCAGTTAGTTCAGTCGAAGACGAACGAAAACACAGTGATTAGAATTTTCCATTAGTAAAGTTCAAAAAATAGACTCAAAATTGGATTTATTTTTAGTTCTCTTCTTTCTTTCTACGCCGAAAATGTACACAATTAAAGCATACATACACGCATAGATACAGACACACATTCACACAAATACACATACACAACCGACTGACTCGCATCGGCAACGCGAACTTATCGACTAACTTTACAATGCATAATTAATCTGAAATTTTACTTCAATCAATTTTAATTAATGTTTTGAAAAGTATTTTATTGGTTTCTTTTACATACATAACTCTAAGTACATAAAACACACACACACACTCTCTATCTCAAACACAGCACACACAATATACGTATAAATTCGTTCGTCATACAGATGTACACAGAGCACGGCTAATGATACAACAGTGAACAGTGAACTGTGAGTAAAGCATTTTATCCACAAAACGGGCTCTTCTAATGTAAATAGAAATCCAATATAAATTGAGTTTATTATTTCACTCGTTCGAATACATAAATGTGCTGCATACATATGTACATCATATGTACACTCGCACACACACACACGAATCCAAACATCGACACATACACAACACACACATACAAGCGCACAAACAATAAGAATGAATACATGGAGTACACGCATAGAGCCAACGGAGGAACGGAAAAAAGTCGAGCACACACAGCACACTGGAGAATTTATCAAGCAGCGCGCAAACGAACCAACAACTACAAATGCACAAATCTAATTAATAATTATTTACTTTTTCCATACTCTTCTCTTCTCCTTGACTCGCTCGCTCACTCACTCGCTCACTATGCTCCCTCCTTGCGTTCATTGTTACAAACAATATCTCTCTACTATGTACAGTAAAGTATACATACTAACATTCATTTCAAAGTAATCCGACACGTTAAGCTCTTTTTATCGCTTCAATTAAGACGCGTTTACGACCGATGTCATAAAACTAAATTCAATATTTTTCTTCTTCTTCTTCTTCTTTTTTTTACTTATTTTTCGTTATTTTTTCTCTGCTGCTGCTGCTGCCTCGTCTTCTTCTTCTTCTTCTTCTTTGTTTTTTCTTCTTATTTTAATTTCTTTTCTCTTTGTTGTTATTCGTTACTTTAAAATTAGAAATGATGGAAATTGTAGTAATGAACGACAGGCACATAAAACGAATCAACTGAACGAATAAGAGTGATGGCAAACGAATTGCATCGTCCGTTCGAAAAACGGAAACTCTTCGCAAACTTTATAAACTTTTTCTCTCTATCCCGTTTTCTCTCTATTTCTCTCGTTCCCTCTGCCCATTGTAAAATTTATTCCAAACAACATTTGAATGTCCGAGAATGAAAACGCAACTTCTATTCACAACACATATAAGTGAAACAAAAATAAAAAATTTATTGAAATGAAACAGCAAAATCGAATTTTTTCAAAGTGTAACAACAAAAAAGATTTTTTTAAAGTGTAACATCTGTATGTAGTAAGTGTAACAACATACCGATGTTACACTTTAAAAAAATCTTTTTTGTTGTTACTCTTTGAAAAAATTCGATTGTGTTGTTTCATTTCAATAAATTTTTTATTTTTGATTCACTTATATGTGTTGTGAATAGAAGTTGCGTTTTCATTCTAGGACATTCATTTATCAATCTATGACCATTTTGAAAACTAAAGGAAAATTTTCTGATTGCATTTCGTGCTGTGTTTTCTTTAGACTAATAACATTTTGCCTCACTCCTACCGCCTCGCCGCGAACATTACTCATGCTCAATCTCATATTCATGTTCCGAGAGCCCAGGCGGAAAACCACCTCCACCATCACCGATATCGGTACGGCGCATACATAGCAGCAGAGCATACACAAAGATTGGGAAAATGACGAGCAAGTTTTTTGAAAAATAAGTTGAAGTTGAAATTGAAGTTGAGTTAAAATGAGTACAAAGTGGAAGCTCGCTAGTTGTGAACTAGTGAAGAAGAAAAAGAAGAAGAAGAATAAAAAGCGATCCCCTAAAAAAAGTAATAGTAATCATAAAAAAGTATTTTCTATTTTGTTGTGGATGTTTGTAATTCATTGGTTATGATTCACTCCTTCTACCATTCAATATTTCAACTACACATTCTTACTCGTTCACTGTCCCTATTCCTATCCCGTTCTAAATCTCACTCCTCTAGAGCATATACACAATAATTTTTCAAATACTTCGAAATACGTCGAAATGTTCAAATATGGCTCAAATACACGTACGTCCAAAGCGTTCGTTCATTCGTTCATTCGTTCGCTCGCTCGCTTGCTCATTCGCTGTGTGTACGAGTGAAGTGCGCGAGTTTCATTTTTATCTAATAAGTACAAGTACATTACCCGAATCGAGAGACACACAGAGTGAGAAGTACAGTTCGTAGCCGATACAAACATTTGGATTGGAAGAAAACATTGAATCGAGTAATATGAAAATACAAATAATAAGAAGAGGAAGAAAAAATTGTGTATGCACACACGGAGCAGTGCGAGCGAAGGAGAAAGAGAGATACTGAGCACGGCGTAGCCGAAATGTAAATATTCCATACAACAATGCATGCTTACTGTTTCTCTATCACACACACATAGCATACATACATTCATTCATCCATCGAACGGAACCATCCATCCATCTATCGCGAGTGAGCTAAGCTCGCTACGCGGAGTCACTCTAAAATTCTAAATAATTTTATTTGACTGAAAAATCGATAATGAAATTTTAAAAAGAAAATATCAGGCTAAAGGAAAGTAATAAATTATTCACGCACACACAGACAACCATCGCATACGCATCGCATACGTCGTTATGTATACTAAACGTATATACATATATCTATGTGTGTACATAGTTGGTAGTACAACGGTGCGAATACACACAGGGACGCACAAAGATAAACAGACTATGGTGTAGTCAAACACACAGATAGAGAGAGAGAGAGAACCATGATGATGGAACATGTACAGAGACAGAAGGTATGTATGTACGCGAGAGAAAAGTAAACTACGAGTTTAGATTTTGAACACACACCGAACATTCTTACACATACGCACAATATCGTAACAACTTCGAGAAAGAGAAGTAGGTTCCACACAATCCGTACGGTTTGAATCTCATATTGCACACAAATACAATCGAAATCTCTTGAACGCACACTAACACAACAATGCTCCGCAAACGAATACACATTCACATACACATTCGTACGCTACTGATATGCAGGGTCGTTGTCTGTTTTTCGGAACAAGAAGGAATTTATCGTCGTTGTCGTTGGTTTTTTTTTACTTCGTTCAGGCACTATATCAATATTTAATCTATTAATTTCATTTCATGCAACAGCAACAACAAAAACTATATGCAAATACACACTTCTACAACAATTTCAATGCGGAGCAAAAGCAAATAATTTGGCTCGATTTTAAAATTCCAATAAAATGAATGAACGAATGGAGGAAAAAAAAAGAGTAATAATGGAAATGTTTTGCTCTCTCGTCAACTGTATCGCTATCTCTATCATTATAATATTTTCCTTGGTGGCTGTACTCGAAATGAGAAAGTCATTAGGTGAAATCCGAAAATATCACATACACACGAGATTCGTAATGCTTTATATATTTTTTTTTCTTGACAACGACGGATGTGCAAATGTTTCAAAAATGAAATTTCAAAGCGAAAAAAAAAAATCAGAATGATGAAGAAGACAAAAAAAATATGATGTGTATAATCCAGGGGCCTTGAGTCAAAAAAAAATATTTAAACGATTAATAAAAGCTGATTACTCGGTTCTTTACTTACGTTCAATTGCTTATTGTGCTGTGAATTGATATCACCGATATTTGGAATTGTATTTGACATGACGCTTCGTCACTGAATCAAATTAAAAATTCACTTAATCTTGCACCAAAATCCGTTCTTTAGTTAGAACTCTCAGAATTACACACAATACAATTATATCTAAATGTTCTTTGTTTTGCAATTAAGCAAGCTAAAATTGACTTGCCTCGTTTTTGTACTAAATGAATCAATTATTTTTTGTGAAAATGTCTTTTTTTGATTTTTTTTGTCATATAAAGACAAAAAAAATGAAGTAAAACAGTGAAGTAGAACGTGTGTAGAAAGTCGTACGTTTGCGTTGATGGCACACAGCTCACTACTACCACAACTGCTCAGTGGTAGACATTTTGCACACAGTCATTGCTCGCGCTCTCCGTCTTTTCCACCTCCTCCTTCGTCTTCTTCTTCTTCTTCTTTCTTCTCTTGCTAGATCGTTCATCGGAAAAAGTGCTTCGTATGTCCCTTAAGCTGCGTTCGGTTTCTTTTCTACGAGTATCTATGTGTGTGCACATATGCGCTTGACATTTGGTGCCTAGCTTATCGAGCGAACTCACTCTCACCAACAAAATATCGTACATTGTTGAAATGTTCGAAAACCATCATTTCGAACATTCATTCCGTTGCTAATGTTGTTTGAACGAATTGGCATAAATTTGAGTGTGATTTTGTCAAAATTTGATTTCATCTTAAGGAAGTCAAAAAGTGTATTATTTATTACGATTTAAGGTTATATCAAAGTATTCATTGTATCGATCGATTGATTCAAATGCCAATTCGTTACGCTGTCGCTTTAAATTTTCTTCAAAAACAATTTTTAATTCTTAACGTAATACAAAATTGTTGTCATTTTAAAGATTTTAGCAATTTTTCCCAAAAATTTATGAAAAAAAAATCCGTGTTTCCATCATAAAATTCAAGTAAATAGATTCTTGTAACCGTGCAATTTGGTTAGATTACTGGACGTACCCTAGACGGTTTCGAGACGTGTAGACTACTCAGTTTGAATTTCGAAACAGAAAAAAAGAAACCGTTCGTTCGAACAGCAGTAGTAGAAAGCATTCGCAGCTAATTTCACATTGGACGACACTATTCATTTTGTTCGATATGTTTGACACATAGAAAAGCTGTGGCGATGATATATTTTCATTTAGTTGTGGATGGCAAAGTGAATAAGCTGTACCTTTGATTTGTGTGATTGTTCAAGATATTACTGTGTGTTCTCCCACTTTTTTTTGCGTTTTGAGCAGAAAATCCTGTTCTGGTAACAAAACGTTTTCATCTAATTAAATCGTCTGCGCGTTTTTTTTGTCAACATAAACTGGCGACAATTCGTAGAGAAAGCATTTTTTCGTCTCAGCTGTGTATCGATATATACGCATTAGTACGACTTCTGTTTGATATACGTATATAAGCAATTGTGTCCTTCACAACTCGCGTTAATTTCGATCGAGTCATTTTTGACGTGGGCTAATATTGCCCATTTTCTTTAGTTTGATTTAGCCCAAGTACTTCAGTATCGTGTTTGTGTCAATAACATTTCGAAATTCATAGTTTTTGGTCACTTTGTTTCGTTCAATATTTACAATCGCGCAGTTTGACAGATGCCAAGAGTGCTGCTACATTTGCTATTTCTACATATTTTTCTCTATTCATTTGCATCGATTGCGTAGTCAACTTGAACATATCTCAAATATTTTATTGTGCTTGCGTGTGTGTGAGTGTATGTGTAAAGTTTTAGTTTGTGTTTTAAACAACATTTTTGTTCTTTGTTCGACAGGTCAAAGCGATCAACTTGCCATAGATGTTTGTTTATTGAAGACAAGCCAAATAAACATTCACTTTGAGCGAAAGTGTTGAACTTTGTGACAGATACCGCATAACGTAAACGATTGTCGTCACTCGCACCGTAATACCCCCAATCACGAAATCATGGATGACTCGTTCAAAGAGCCTCCGGTGCCGTCATTTGAATCGATCGACGAGGAGTGTGCATACTGGAAGGAGCGCTATAATGTAACCAGACAGAAATTAATCGACGTCAAACAAGAATATGGCGAGTTCGAAGAGAATTCACAGCAGCTGGAAGCTGAACTAGAGACATGTCTGGAGCAACGTGAGAAAAATATCCAAGACTTAAAACATTCACTCGATCAACTACAAACTGATAACGAATCGCTACGGGTAAGAATGAAAAGAATTCATTATCATTCGATACAATCGCTTTCATTTTATCATAATATATTCATGATTTCACCAGAAGAAGCACCGTTATTATTACGAAATACAATGTGTTGTGTGTGTTGTTTCTGTTTGTTTTTGTTATGTAGAAGAAAATTTCCAACTTTGAAGTGGACTACAACTCATTGGAGAATAGACATACACAGTTGAATAAAGAATTTGAACAGTTGCGAAAGCACACCCGCGAGGTTGAACAGAAAAACGATGATTTAGAACGGGCAAATCGTGTTGTGGCAGCGACAGTGTCGGATCTGGAGACCATGCTGAACCAAGCGTATGAAAAAAATGAATTCCTAGAGTTAGAAGTAGAGGATAAGGAGAGTTTGACAGTCAAACATCAACGTGTTTTGGACGAACTACGAGGTAAGTGATTTACGACCATGCTCAAGGAAATACACAAATTAACAGTGACGAAACAAGTAAACATTTTTATCTCGTTTATTGTTTTCACTTTTCAACAGATTTGAAACAAGAGATGAAAGTCAAAACTCCCGCGAATTCAACAAATCCAACTGAGAAACCACCAATACGTAAGTTGATTACTATTGTTTTGTTGACACAAATTTTGCGTCGAAATATTTTCAACCTTGTGTAATTTTTGTTCTTTCGCACAGATTCCGATAATATCCTGAATGGAAACTCACCGCCGATAGCTAGTCAGAAGGCCTTCAACATTATCGCAGATTCCCTGAGACGGATAGACGTAAGCCTAGTTTCCCCTGTCCAAACTCACTCTAAACGCTTTTTTCTTTTGATTCGTTTGAGTTTCGATTTGTATTTGTTCCGGTTTTCGCTATTTCAAATATGCTTTTTCTTCCGAATTTTACACGCTGCTTTTGCGCACCAAGAATAATTTGTGGTTTCTCTTGTCTTCGGATAGACCATGAACGATTTCAAAGTTGCAAATGCCGTAACTTGTTTCCCATTTCTGTAGTTCTTCTTTCCTTTCCATTCTATCGAAAGTCTTATCTTATTGTTTTACCACCATTATTGTCTGTTCCCCCCTGTTCTGTTATCAACATTATTATTTTCTTTCACGATTTGTTGACATTAGCAAAAAATCCAATTGCAGTTAAGTAAATTACTCTGTCCGACATGTGATAAATTGAAATTCCGTTGTGTATGTCCCAAACAAATGACACCACCACCTCCGTCACCAATAAAACCGCCGCCGCTGCCGTCACAATCGGCCACATCATCTACACATTCATTGCAAACAAATTTCGTTCGTTCATCGTCAAAATCCACCGATTTACTTGACACGGACTACGGCTCCAATAATCATTCGATTGACGAAGGCAGTCAAAGACCCACATCGCGTTTATTTCAATCGTTCCAATGGCCGAACGTTTTTAACGGCAGAAATTCCAAATCAACTAGTCATTTAAACCTTGTCAATTGTGATAAAATGCATACCGTATCAGTTCCAAATCAAGCCAATTCCTACGATGCGCCATCGCCGCATGATCAACTATCAAAAGGTTTGAATTTTTGTTCAGCCGCTAATTTTGCTCATATATATCAAATTACTTCGCTTCACAAGAGCTTGACTCAATCGACTCATACCATATTTACATTTTGTATAAGCTCCTCTAGCTAAACGATTTTTGACTAACACTCAGCACTCATCATAGCAGCTCATATAATAGACTACGGTCAAGGTACTAACACCTACTTTTGTTTAATTGCCAATTTTATTGCATTTGAGATGTGAACGAATTGATGAACCAATTTACATTAATCTAATACGAACTGAATTCTAGTCATAGAATTAATCGAATGCGGAATGCGGTATATACTCACCTCAATTCTTCATCATTAATCCATTTATAATTTGTTTACACCCCCTTTTTCGTTCATTTCATAGCATTTGTTTTGTAAATTTAATTCAATCTTTTTTGCTTGAGTTTTTCTGTCTCAAGTTCATTTTTTTTTTTAAACCACTTGAACTTCAAACCTACAGGGTTTTTGCTCTTCCATCCTCACAACTAACAACATTGATATTTTTTGCGTTTTGAATATGCACAACAGATAATGGCCGCCAAGTTGAAAGCCTGTCAAGAGATAATGCCACCACCACATCAACAGCACCAACCGCGCCGTAAGCAATCGTACATAAGCACCGTGCAGAAATCCGCATCGCCCAGCCTCAAAAGTCTAAATGGCAGTTTGAATGCCTCCAGATTGAGTGTCACCAATGACATGGACGACACTCTACCCAGTGAACAACCATCGCTGCGAAAAGCAACCGCAATTTAAGTTCAGTCATATCACCTACACACAACACACTCACATCAATTTTTACAGCGCGAACAGTTATGAGCTTATCAAAACTCAACGCATTATTCCAAATGGTGGCTACTACTACTACTATGAAAAACAAATTAACAAAATATAAAGTAGAAATCGAACATTGCCTTCGATCCGAAGAAAATATAAGTGGGATGCGTAGCGCAATCTTTGCTAGTGGAAAATACGAGAAGAATCTCATCTAAAACAAGTAACCTGAAAATATTTACAAAGCATTATTATATTTACAGTTGATGCATAGGTACTCAGTCGTGTTAAGCTAAAAAAAAAAGAGAGAAAAATTAAAGAAAAACTAAGCGAATTGAAAAGTAGCTCAATAAAATCTAGTAAGTGTAATTCGATGTAATATTCATTGGTTAAGCGTGAGGGAAGCAACTTTTAATTTATTTTGTTCTGGAAATTCGTATTTTTTTTTGTCGTACGATTGATTAACTCGATTTTCTTGTATTTTTCCACTAATTTTTACAGATAATTTTATTTCATATTGTTTTATGCTTTGAAAAGACATAAATATTAGAAAAAGGAAGAGAGAGAGAGCAACAAAGATCCATTTAAAAACACATATGCCCAGATCAGTTAGTTTCATTTAAGTTTATTGCCGAATTCCTACGTCACGAAAAAGATATGATATTTTTTTATTGCTTTTTTTTAAATAATCGAATGTAAATGTTCAAATGCCTTAAAGAATTTTTCATTTATTGAATAAAGTTTTATGTTTAAATTGTCAATTGGATTTGGTTTTATTTGTGGCTTTTGAAACAAAGCGTTCAAATTCGCATTGATTGTCAGCTGGTTCCATCAAAACGTTCAGTTTTTTTTATATAAACAAAGCTGAACATCTGTCAGAATTGCGCAGCAAAACATAACCTCAAAAAACCTGTAACACAAACATTTGAACGCTTTGCAACAAGAGCTCATGGTCTCTCTGTGACTTGGTTCAAAAATGGTCGATTCCGATATATTTCGCGTTAAAATCGAGCTGGGAAATTTCTTCTCAGATCACAAATCGAAGGCATACGTTAGTGTAAATCGGCAATGGAAAAATGTTCGTCAATTTCATCGTCATATCGGTGAGATATTCGATGTGAAAAAATTTGTTTTACTTACCAGCGATGGTGTTTATTTGCCGGGTATGTATTTTACGTTGATCACGAAATCTTATTGGAAATTGTTGCAATATTTTATTTTGAAATTTTCTCCATTTACAGCTAAAGAACACATTGGCATTATCGAAAGTGGTGATATAATCCAGTGAGTAATCAATTTTTTCTTGTTTGTTTTGTCGCATTTGCAGCAACAAGTATAAATGCACATTTCTTCTTCTTCTTCTTTTTCTTCTATTCAAAAGTGTCATTCCGAAGCAAGATGATACCGAATCGGTTGTATCTGCTGTATCCGATGAAATGGTCACTTTGACCGAGCAAAACATTAACAAACATCTGCATACAAACGATGGGGCTACGTTCAAAGCACCAAACAGCGTGTCACCATCGATTGAAATCATTTCGTCCAGAAAATCGAATACACTCACTGCTGGCGATGACGACATTGAATCAGTGGCCACAACGGATACAAATGGTACCACCGGATCGAAGCGTAAGCGGGTGCGTCATCGCAAGAAGAAGAACAATGCCGCTGCAAATGATGAAAATCAAATGAATTTACCAAACATTGAAGCACAAAGCGGTGACATTCCAAAGAGCAACCCATTTGCCCACTCCAAGCCCAAGCACGATAAATCGACACCAAAAAGCAACACACATGTGAGGTAAGCGCTCTTTTACTAAACTGTATTTCTTCGTCCGCCATTGACTTGAGATTGAAGAACAAAACTACAATTGTTGATATTGTTGTATATAATATTTGCATTTATTTGTAAATGTAAATGTATCTTCTTAAGCCTAATGGATTTTATTCATTCACAATTTTATAAATTGCTGGGCAACCGCGTTGGGTTGCCAAATACATGACATTTTGGTATATATTTTTTGAATGTTGTTTTCCTTCTGCGTAGTCTCCAATATAACTTGTGTGTTTTGTGGTTATTTTCGAATTGCCTACCATCGATTCTCGTCGGATTCAGTAAAATGTTTTGTGTGTTTTTTTTTTTGTATTTTTATTTTTTTTCATTCGTTTTCGTTTGTATGTTTTACTTATTAGCTTCCTAACTTCTTTCTTCACCCTTTACTGTCACCCTTTTTGATTTTATTCCAAAAGTCCGCTCAGATTTGTCAAAGAAGTGTTCATAAGTTCGGCAGCACGTGGCAAAGTGATTTCTCCACGCTGCAAGCGGCCAATCAAGTCTTCATGACCATGATCCATTAAAAACTCACGTAATCTCGAAACCATAAACGGACCTCTGCAAAAAAATCAAAATGATGAGAGATTCATTTGCCGAAATAATCGGGACGGCGGAACCATCTGCGTCATGGTTGTTTGCTGTGTGTGTGTTTGTTCTGTTTTGTTTTGTTTTGTTTGTGTGTTTACCTGTAGGGATGTTTTAAACATCCATACGTTTCGCGATATCTTCCGTACAATGTACCGTACGATACGCCTAAGAGTTGTGCGGCTTTTTTCATTTCCAGTTCCTTTGATTTGATCGCTTCCATGACACGTTTGGTAAATGTTTCTTCCCAGAATTGTGGTCGACGTCCTTTGGCCAAATAATCGTTCATTTTGATAACGTCGCGCCATTCTTCTTCCTCTTGTGGAGTCAACATAACCTAAACATTCAGCAGAGAATTATTATTATTCATGTGTTCCGCTCTATCACTTCGACTTATATAAGTAGCACGCAAAAATAAACTTACCTGTGCCGATAAACCATGACCGTCGCTTGATTCGTCCATTGGGCTGCTCGGGTTGTAATCGTTTTCGTCATAGTAGTCATTTTTCACACTGGCCGGTGTGTCCGGTCGTTCGATTTTCGGCTGAATTGGCATTAGGGTCGGTTCATCATTATCGCACGTCATTGACACTTCCATCGATTGCTCCAAAATAGCGCTGGGTGATTCGTGCGAATTTTCGTCGTACATCGCATTGTGGTCGGCATGTACATCAAAACTGTTGGCTGTGCTCTCGACATGCGTGATTTTCGGTGTGCTGTAGCTGTCAAAGTCGTCATCGAGTGGCGGGCGACCACGTTTCTTTTTAACCGTTGGCATTGTCTCTTCAACACTGCGTTGAGGTGAATTCACTGGAAGTAGGAACTGATTGGCAACTGATTTGGTCATTTGTACGGGTTCGTCTGAACCTTTTCCCGATGATTCCGCCAACGGATCCATTTCACCGGAATTCATTTGATGGTTACTGTTTTGATTGCTAAAGGAATGGCGTTTGGGTTGCTGTAGAGGTTTCGCTGTTGTGACGGCAGTTTCATTCAAATGCATCAGATTACGAATGTTGTGAGTTTTGTTCTTGCTTCGTCTGCTGTCACCGTTTTCGTCAGTCCATGACACTTCAGCCAAACCCTTGATCCGTAACTCTTCTGCCGTTCGTAGCAACGATGCCAATTGTTCCTGCGTAGAAAAAGCGGAAAAATATAGATTCAAAACAAAAATGACATGATGATAATGTTATCGCACGCAGTTCACGCAGCCCAAATTCAATGCTAATATACTTACGTGCTCAACGTTAATTTCGCCCTTGTACATAAATTCGATTAAGCATCGGATATCTTCGAATTTGCAATCTTTCATTATAACTATTGGGTCTTTGTCGGTGTACCGATTCGTCAGTATTGAATCGAAGAATGTGCTGCATGCACACAAAACCACCCGATGAGCTCGCAATGTTTGTCCCTCGCACGCCAAAGTCACATCGCAAAACGCCTCACGATCCAGCAACTGTGAGAACATGGTTTGCAAATTGCTATGGTGATACTTCCATCGCAGGCAATATTGTTGCAGCGCCATTTTTTCCGAATAACTGTTCAGCAAAAGATTAGACAAGAAAAAATATTTCAAATTAGAACTGCGTCAGCAAACAAAGTAAGAAAAAAATGTATTTATTAGCAAAAATGCTTTAAAAAAATGACAATTATAAAAAAAACCGTCGCCGAGTCTCTTTTTTTCGCACACACCATATGCCGTAAAATCAACTGATAAGTCAAAAGCATTTTTTCTTGTTCATCTTAATCGAACACCAACTTTCGTCAATACAAACAACTCGAATGACTCGACTCGGCTATATAGATTAATATTATATAGTATATATATATATACGCAGTTCCTTTTATGACTATCTTATGACAGTTGCGTGTGTGTGTGTTTGTGTGCATCGCCGTCTTTTTTTTTTGTTCTTTTCACTCCGTTTTGCTGAAATGAGTTTTCAACTCGAAACGAAATGATAAAATGACTTATTTTGCTTTTCGAAAAAAAAAAATAGTTGATTCGGTCGAATTATGATGAAAACATACAACAATCTGGTGTATTTATACTGAATGTTTCACCTTTTTTCTTCGTTTCTGGCCAATATACACAATTTGTGTAATTATGCAAATCACAATGACTCACACTCAAAATTATTTTACTGTGTATTTTTCTTTCGTTCGCTTTTCAAAAATAAAAATACCACATTTAAACTTGACCTGGTCTAGAAAAAAAATATTATTAATTGAATTTTTAAAATTGGAATTTTATTCACATTTTTATTTATACGAGCAAACATGCGCGACCGAACGCCAAAGAATGTCTGTTTTTTTTATGTTTCACTTTGAAAATCGAACGATGATTACAGCAGTATTACAGCAATCAAGTGATGAAGCGAATAGAAAAAAAATTCGAAAAAAAGCAAAATCCACGAAAAAAGACGAAAAATATCTCAATAAAACCCGAACCGACCGAAGCACAAATATACAAAGTATTGTTCACATATATACGGACACCGTTTATCAACACATCTTTTACGACAACGACGAACGACGGCGACGATGAACACAAGCACAATGCTCTCGTGCGATGAGATAGCGCAAAAACTGTTTAGAATGATATATTATCGTATTGAATTTTTGCGGTGCCTTTTCTCTTCTCGTTCTTTCTTCGTTCGTTCGTTCTTTTTTTCGTTTTTGAAAAAAAGTGTTATTTTCTGTCATTTTTTCCCTTCACAACCACAACGTCGCATATGTATATATGGAGAAGTAGATGAGGCTGAATATTGGATGTACGGTCGTGTGTGTGTGTAAGCTCACTTTTGCACCGTTGTACATAAAGTTCTTTTCTCATTTGGTACATAGGAAAATTGGAAGTATAATAAAACAGAAAAAAACGCATAGCGAACGAAAAAAGCAACAACAACGAGCTGAAGATGAAAATAAAGGGAAAAAAGAAAACGAAATGAGAGGAAGAACAAAAAACACCGAGTGCTTATTGCTGGAAAAAGTGATGGTGCATTCCATTCCATTCAGCGCTCTAGATCCATTTGCCATTTTCATTCAATGTTATTCTTTATCATTCGCTGTTGCCTCTCATCAATAACAAAAACATCGCGGCAACCATCAGTATCGACGCGAGAGCGAGAGAATCAGAGGGAGAGAGAGAAGCGGAGACAGAGACAGAGAAAGAAAGAATGAGAGAAAAAAACACACGCAAAAAAACAAAAACAAAAAACTTATGAAAAACATGGAGCAACAAAAAAAAACATCACGCGCAAATTCAACAACAGCAACAACAACATCATGGCTGTTTTTTTCAAAATGATTTTCTTTATGTACAAATATATGAAGGAATATTTACAGGCAAACACACACACACACACACACACTTACACACCAGGCTATCGTCAACATTTTGTTTGTGTGAGAGAGCGGAGGTTTTTTTTTCGAAAAAAAATTCAATTAAATTCAAGTGGAAAAGAAAAACACGATTGTCGACTGAGTTACGTAGTTGATCAAAACGGAGGACAAAAACAAATTTCATTGTATATTTACGCGATGATTCAAATATTCAGTCGCTTGCTCTCTTGCTCTACTACGTACGTTTTGTATGTTGTCTTTTCATTGTTCTTATTGTTTTTCTCTCTGTTCCGTTTTTTGTTGTTTCTTTTTCAAATTGTCTCTATCGAATACCCTAATATAATTTTTTTTTGTGTAAATATCAAACAACTTATGAATATTGCTGTGCGCTACAGACACAATTCGCGTATATATACAGATTTATCTACAATGTATCTATCTCTGTGCATAGATGAAGGCATGCCTTGGCAGAGTGTGAAAGAATAGTGTTGATTTTTTTGTTCATTTTTCTGTTTCTCTCTCTCGTCTTCTTTCGAATAAAGTTTTTTTTTCTCGCTACTCCCAATAAACTACGACATGCATGCTACATATATATATGGCATATACAAAAACACGGCTTATAATAATCTCGTTTTTCTAATCGTACGTCAATAGCACGGATTGTTTTTTTCAAAATGTGAAACACTGTAATGGTTTTGACTGTTTCTTTTCTCTCCAGAATCGCGTGTAACTTTTTTGTGTTTGAGACCTTAATGATTTTGAGTTTAACTAAGTCGACAACAGCAGTTATATAGTATAGTATGTAATCACTCACTCTTAGAGAATCGTTTGCAGATTATCGTTCAAAATTTCAGCAATTAAGTGGAATGTGTCAATGGGCCAGAGTCCATTTGATGTCGCGGCTCAATGGAACTTTAGCTGTTTCCGAGCATCAATTCACGAATTCTTTTTTTTCTGTGTTCAATTTTTGATTCAGTCTCGTCACACACACAAAAATATGTATTATTATTACAACACCTTGAAATCGAATGAACCCAAACGACTGGCAGTTGTTGTGTTTTTTTCTGTCGATTTGACGTTTGGATTGAAAATTTGTCTCTCTCACTCTCTGTGTCACTCACTCACTCTCTGGTATAATGCACAAAATGTCAAAGATCTGAAATCTATGCGATTTTAATGAGTTTTTTTCCACACTTATTTGCAATTAGTTTGGTTGTGTGCTTCTCTAAAGTGCGGTGTGTACGGGCAGCGCCGTATGTTTGACGTTATCTTTGCGTTGTTCAACCAGTACTAACTGAACTGAAAGAACGCCGATCGTCGTATTGTGAATCTCTCAAATAATTTTTCACTCTCTTTCTCGTGCTCTCTGCACTACATGGGCTTGAGTGCAGACGTCGTGCTTATGTATATGTGTGGCAGCGTGTATGTAGAAGACAGCTCGCTTGCTGTAGAGTTAGCTACAAGAACGCATGAATTCATGTAACACTGTTTTCAAGTGGAAAATCACAAAGTCATTTTACATAAGTGTTTGTGTACAATTTGAACGGCGGATGCATGTGTGTTTGTATGTGTGAGTGTGTATGTGGAGCGTTGAGTTTGCGAGAGGCAGGAAAAAAGACGTTATGTACGAGTATTTCATATGATTGGGACGAAAAAGTAAAGACTTTCTTACCAACGCACGGAACGTTAGCCAGAAAAAAAACAACAAAGAGAAGAAACTCTACAAACGTCTTCGTTCTTGGCTATTTCAAGACCTAAAGTAAAGTAGATAGAACGATGAGAATCTCCCGAAACAAAATAAAAAACATTACGCTCCCAGTCTATGTATCGTCGGAAAATAAATGTCAGGCCCATAGCAGTTTCATTTTTATCAGCATCCGTACGTCTGATTCACCCTCAATGTGTTTTTATGAATTTAGTATCCGCTGCTCGCTTCTTTTTTTTTCAAAAAATAAAAAACGGGACTATCCCTCGCTCAAAATCGAAAATTCAAATGACTCAAATATTCACATCCACATACATATACATACTACACACACACGGTCGCAAACAATATACTATCCCTTGCCAATATATAACATTCGTTATATAGCATTCTTTACTCGTTTTTCATATCATTTTTTACAGTCGATTTTCTTTCGCGGCCCTTTTTCGCTGTTAAACTCGAATCGATATCGGATGAAGACGGAATAAAAAAATTTACTCAAATCCATGAGGGGACTTTTTTTGCTCTTCCACGAAAAAAAATAACACAGATTTATTAAACTGGTTTATTCGATGAACATGCTCGTGAAACTGTAAAAGTGTTTGCACCGTTATACATAATAATATTTTTTTAATATCACCATGCGATACACACATATGCATAGCATGTAACAATGATCTCATGAAAATTTCCAACACTTTTCTTCTGGCAGCTTTGTGCAACGTTTCACGATTCACAGATTTTAATTACTTTCATTTGAAATGTAACAAGTGGTTCAAACACACGTCAAACACGCTGTATAAAAATGCAATATACACATTGTACAGTACACACAAACCAGTTATCCTGCGACGATTCGATGATACGTTTTGTTTTCACTCATTCATCCAATTTTATATTCATGCAATATTATATTTAGACAATTTTCATCACCCTTTTCGGTTTTGCCGTAATAATGCGCGCGCTGTGTTGCCGTTACAAAATCGAATAACTCAAAAAAATTCTTCCGAAGCGCGTGTTTCATTGGGGAAAAAAGTTAGAAAGATGAAAAAAAACGCATTGAATTCATTCATTTTACATTTAACGGCACTAAGAAGAGAAAAAAAAACACGTGCTGCATTTAATATTTGGATGAAAAAATTGATCTGCATATTAATATAATATTTTTCGACATAAAAAATATGGACAGATGCAAAAGAGAAGGAATGGGTTGTAAAAGTCTTGATTTTAAGGCAAAAGCGACAAAAAAAAGTTGCGTTGATGCCTGCACACAACAAACGATATGGGGTGAAATATATAACGATGGACAGCAAACTACTACATCGCATTATGATACTAACAAAAAAAGCTGTAATATGTAACACACATCCCCTGAATGAATATCACAAAAACACACCTAACATTAGAAGGAGCATTTAGTTGTATGATATACATAAAACCAAAAAAAAAACTGACTTGAAAAACTTGTCAAAAAAGATTCGTTACCATGACTACCATCCACATGAATCACCAGGGATTTTCATTTAACAAGAAACTGAGAGCCACTGTCATGTCCCTTGTCCCTCTCTTGCGCTTGTTCTCACTCATTCAGTTTTTTTTATCGATGACAAAATGCGCACAACACATCTTTCCCCCGAAAATCCAAAGTAAATGCTTGGGGTCTGAAGACTCCAATTTCCCATGCCATAAATAAAATCATGTTTCAAAAAAAAAAATCTGTATATATCAAAGGACTCAATATTCCTGTTAACGTTCTCTTATTGCTTTCGTTAACAGCGTTCAATCGGCTGAACCTCAAAACGAGCAGAAGAACGATGAAAGCGGCGGCAATCATCAATCAAACGAAACGAATCGCAACGATATGAATTCTTCTGGTAACACTGATGAATTTTCGGTGCTTGAATTTCAACCACCAAAAATCGAATACACTCGATCACAGCTTATGGATTTTGAAAACGCGGCGGCCAGTGCTCAACCATTGCAATTGAACGAAAGCATCACGAAACTATTCAAAAGCAGTTTAATGCGCAAAAACCACCCAGCAAATTCTAGTGTTGCGATTGATAAGGGTGCGGCTAGTGAAACTGGGCAAAATTTCAATGACGATTTCTGGAGCAAAGCCACAGCAAGCAATGAAGCCAAGTATCCCGAACTGAAGACAAACGATATATTCGATTTTGATTATCAAACGGCTCTAGCAAAAGCCGCAACGGATGACCGTTTCATGTTACCATTCAGTGCAAGTTCAAAAGTCGATCGTTGGCTCAATTCGGGACAAAATCCAAGCGAATACGCACACGCCACACGTCATGCCGAAGCGGCCGTTCCGCCAGTCGAAAATCATGATTTGAAAACAAACACGCCGAGCATAATCAAAGCAGATGAAACTGCATCGACGGTGTCCAACCACAGCGCAATCCGTGCCAAACTTCTTGACAAAACCGCAAAACTCAAGCAAAATCTGCGCAAATTGACCAACAACAATCAAGAATGAATGATCAGTTGAAATTTGTTTCCGCCTTTTTTCGCATATATATTTCACATTTCTTTCACAAGAATGAATAATGAATTTCTCTTTATAACTATTTACATTTCGATACATCAAATTTATTCTCAATAAAGGAAGTTTATATACCAGAGAGCATCGTATATTTATCGCACAATCTTTCCAAAAATAAAGAAAAAACGCCATAGAAAAAGAGATTTTCATTAATTCATATCAAATCGCTTTTCATTCTCCCGATAGATTCGAAGAGGATGATGAGTCACTGTCGGAGTTAGACGAGGAAGTAATTTTGCCGAAAATTGCACGCGTCATACACGCAAACATCACAGGTAATTTCACATTTTCAAATACACAAGCAATGTATTGTTAAAATTTCATCAATATTTTTTCAATTGGAGTTACGAGAATAGATGTGACCCCAATCGTTAACACAGCAGTAGAGACTCCGGTCACAAATGGCGTTGAAGCTGAAGCTGAACCTGAAGCTCAAATTCAAGCATCCAACGTTACTCTTGAACCACCCGAAGTGCAGCCAATCAATGGAAACAATGCTGACAACGGAAACTTACCACTGGAAAAAGCGGAACCAGCTCTTGAGCAATTGGCTAAAAACCTCGAAACGATTGGCAAATACAAAGACATGCACAATGACGTAAAAGAAATGGACATGATTGCATTCAAAGTATTTACGCTCAATTTTGAGAAGAGTGACTACGTCATCGGATTAGTGGAGTCTATCATCGGCAGGACCACTCCCGAACAACAGGACTATGATTTAATGTTGCAAATCATGGGTAAGCGAAAAATGACTAAACATCTAAATCACCGACCAATCATCCAAATATGAGTAATCGTTTGAATACATGTTTTTTCCCTTCACACTCACAGCTGGTGGCAAGCATATTGAACATTTGAGCGATCCAACATCGGATGAAAACGACACAATTCGCATTCAGATTAATCGAATGGATATTTTCGATGCAAAGATTCTCACATTGTAACATGGAGTTTAAATAAAAAATTCAATTCAGCCAATATTTTTATCTTCAAAACTTTGTTTTTAAAAGCTGAAAACAAAACGATTTGTTCAAAAGCCTCGAAGAGGCTTATCGCACTGTGCGCCATCTGTTGAATGGGTACGATAAGCATATGCTTTGCCATTGCCAATATCCTTTGTCCTGAATGTGCGCTATTATTAGAGGTTTTCCTTTTTATTCCGATAAAGTTTTCACATGTTGTCCTTTTTGTTCGCATGCCCAAACATCCATCGCATGTGTAGGTCGATGCCAGCATCCATCTAAAATTCTCAGAATGTTTTCTGCTTTAGTGGCAATCAAATCGCATCAAAGGCAGGGCTCTCTGCAGAAGCAAAACGAAAAAAAACTACACGCTTGTTTTTTTTCCCATTGATAATTTTTACTTTTTTAATTGGGTGCTCAAAATATATAGAAAAACTAGCCGTGACCCATTCATCTCAACAACAATTTTCCAACATTTAACATCAACAATGGAAAAAAGTAAAAATTTGTAATTCGAAGAAGAAGAAAAAAAATATTCAAGCATCCACATACACACGGACATACACATACTATACACTAGTGTGTCATTACTGTGCTGCAAATTTTGGTTCGATAAATAATTAAACGATAGAGACGAAGAATTTTCCTGCAAATTACTTGTTTGTTCTAATACATAGTGACACAGATTGGTGCAGTTAAATGGTTTTTGGAATAGAATTTCATTGGCGTGCAACGTGAATGTGAGCGACGGTAGAGAAAATTTGATATGATATCTGTCGTCCTAAATCGAGGTCATTTCATTTCAACGAGGGGAGCGAGTAAGTGAAGTGCTTGGAAATTTGCGTACAGAATTTTCGTTGCGTTTTGTTGTCGCCCATCATCGAAAGAAAAAAAAGGAGGAGAAGAAAAAAGTAGGAACAACAAACGAAAGAAAAAGTCAACATCATAATAATCTGGTCGTCGTCAGTGCTTTTGGTTTTTTTTTCTAAATTTATTCATTTTGTGTCAGCCTCGAGTAGTTGCGCGTGTGCTTGTGTGTACGCTCTTTAACTCATAGGTCGCGAGAAAAGAGGGAGCGAGCCAGAGTAGTTTTATTACATAAAAAAAAAAGTTGGCAAAGCCATCAATTGCAAACCATCCTGCTGACACCATCGACGACCGTCATCATCCATTTGTTAGTTTGTACATCAACATTGTACACGACAGGCGATTCACACATCGTATGTGCATTGTACAACCATACACTCAAAATCATGATGATGATGAAGAACGACCGCCTATAAAAGTTTTGCCATAAGGTAGGTCATGCTCTAAATTGTATTATATTCGCATTCTAAATCGCAAGTAGAGCGCGCACTGATTTCTTCCTTGAGCTTATAAATAATAATAATTTTTTTTATACGTTCGCTGGTGATAAATGATAAATTGCGTGCGTGAGCTTCCTTCCTGCGTGTGTGTGTGTGTGTGTGTGTGTAGTAGCGTTCGTTCCGTCGCAAAGCGGAAAATTGAACGTTCGTTTGAACTGAACGAAAAGAAAGGAAAAAATCCGTTTTCAGCAGGTCTACTGCGGAAAATATCGATTAGTGATTTGTTGTTCTGTCTTTTATTTTTCTTCGTTCTTCTTTTTTTCCCTCTCTTCATATATGTACAGAAGAAGCAATTGTGCTTTCACAGTCTCGCCAATTCGATGTGGAGGAGAAATTCTGTTGCTGTTGGGATAACGAACACATAAAATATTTACAAAATGTCCATGTGCACGAGCTCACATCAAGAAGTATTGACTGATAACGGTGGAAGGGCGTCACAGCAAGTGTGAGTACGATGTTGCTAATTTGATTTGACACGAACAGATCAGTGAAAAGAGTCATCGGTTCGAATTAAATGCTAATGGGCCTCCCCTCTGCATACTAATAATAATAACAATCATAACAATAATAAATGAATAGAAAAAAACAAAGTAGTGTGAATGATGCATCTCTCCCGATGAATGTATGGATGCTTATTTCCGTGTGTGTTTTTGTTTCACAGGTCAGCGCTTCAGAAGATTGGAAATTGTTGTTTCCCGCCAGCGAATCAAACACAGCAAATTTATCGATATAATTTCTATTTGTGCCAAGTAAGTTGTGTCAAGCCAATGTTCGATTCATCCCTTTTCGTTTTCTTGCAAATTAAGAGCCATAACAGTTTGTTTCATTTATGACGAATGATATTTATTACAACAAAAAAACTAACAGTTATATTAAAAAAAAAAATTCATTACACAACATTACGGTCCGAGGTAGAAAAATTAATGCGTTCACTTTATTTAAGATAATTTTGCGTGTGAGAAAACACTTAACGAACAAAATGTGTATACTGTACAGCGTTGTCGATGATTCCGTGCCCATTTACCGAAACATTTAACACACCAAATCAATCACACCGTGAATCCAAAATAAAATCATCTGGTTCGTGTTAAGAATACAAAAATCCAATTCAAAAACCAATTCAAAATGCCTAAATTTTATAGTTACGCTGTTTTTACATTGCAAAAAACAAAAACAAATTAATTTGCAACAACCAAAACAAAAACAATACTAATTCGGTAATTCTTGAGTTTTCTGTTTGACATTAATTTGAAACTGTTAACAAAATAAACATCAAAATTGATGCCAAATGCATATACAAATCATACACATCGTGTTCCAAAGTCTTTCTGAAACAGAGACCAATTCAAATTTTATTCTATAACTGAAACGAAATGGTGTTCGCGATGGTATTTCTTTTTTTTTCTTTTTCCGTTTGATTTTGATTTTTGTTGTTCATTTTTCTGCTTGTCATTCGTGTTGAAAGTGTCAAGTTATCGTTTTGTTTTCGTTTTCAATTGTGTTTCTATATTCACATTTCACTTTCACCATCTTCTTCCCCCTCAGAAAAAAAAACGTGTGAATTTTATTTTCCATTTCCTGTATGCCTTAGACTAAGATGTATTTAAAAATAAAAACAAATAAGCGAAACGCAACCAAAGCTATGTTAAACCATTTCCGATCGCATGCTTATTCTCTCGTTCTTTATTTTCCTCTTCTTTTAAGCGCACAATTTTTCTGCTTTACTCACAAAAACTAACACAAAAATTAAATATTCGTCATATACATGCACTCTCCTTATGTTTCCATCATCTCGAGTTAATGTCACCGTATTTCTGTTGTAGCGTCCTTTTTTTCCTCTTTCAATTTTGAGTTTTGCACTTATAGCTTTAACTCTATGAAACACTCTCTCCGCTTACATTAAAAATGCAATCTTTAATCAATTTTGCCACTCTGTTTCTTTTTCTCTCTCCCTCTGCATTTTTTTTTGGTGTCATTTCGGTTGCACGATGGGACTGGATTTGTTGTGTGTGGACAATTCGAATTTCGAATGAACAGTGGCAAAATGATCACGACGTCAGTATTTTGTATTTGATATACCGTTGGTTTGCCGCGATATGGTTCTTGGCCGTACTGAGTTGCTCGCTGCTGGACATCGGTCGTGCTGATGAGCCTCGATTTGAAAATCACTATGCCAAATGGTGGATTGACTTGACCAATTGGGGCTTAGTCGTGTGTTCCGCACAAGCATGGCTGGGCGCTATGATTGTGACTCAAGGACTAATGGTCGACCGCGACGATTTCGGTACTTTATTTTCACAAATGGCACAACACAAAAAAACAAACAATGATGCAACTCTTTTTGTGTTTCGATTTTTTCGTTTCTTCGACAGGCATGCAACGCAAAGTTAAAAAGGGTTGGCTACGACATTGCTACTGGATCCTGAACACAATTGCCACTGTTTATTCTTTTATTATAACCATCTTTTTTTGGACAGTGCTGCATGACCCAGGTAAATATCAAAACAGAAAAAATTAAGTAATGTTTGGCACAAAACTAACAACATTTATTTCATGTAACCAGAGAGGGACAAAATCGATGCAATAAATTTGATGGTGTACGTCTTTAATTCGGTAATTATGCTTATCGATCTAATGACAGTAACACATCCGATCAATCTCAATCATACTTATTGGACTATGAGTATTGGCGTAATTTACACTCTATTCTCCGTTGTTTACTTTATTGCTGGCGGAACCGACCGGTAAGTGTGCCACTGACATAGCACCATTGTGCCACAGAGGGAGAAAAACCACAGACAAATGTAAATGTAATTTTCAAAATTATTCCCACGCAGGACGAAATCGAAATCAATCTATCGTTATCTGGATTGGCGAAAACCGGGGAAGGCGATAGTCGTTAGTTTGGGTTGTATATTCAGTGTATTTGTCGTGCATGTGCTGGTCTACTGTTTGTATCGTTTTCGAGTGGGCATTTTCCGGAAGTTTTGCATGCGTCAACGCACATTCCACCAGTATGCACGCAATGATGATCAAATCATCATACAAAACAATAGAACAACAAAAATCGCCCGAACGCCTTCATCTTATGATGAATCGAAATCCGATCAATTTTACAATCCATCAACAGTCGTTGAGCTTAAGTAAAAACCAAACAAAAAAAAACTGTACTTGTACTCGAGATCTCTATTAACCAGCTGAGAGTTTTAATTACACTTCATTGAATTATTATTATTTTTTTTAAACACACACTTTGTTATGTTTCTGTTGAAGTGGCATTCGGTCAGCCATCAGAATATGAACATAAACAACAAATTTAAATAACAATTACAAAATGATTGAAAAAACAAATAACACGAAAAAAAAAACAATTTTAAATCTAGTCAAAATATAGATCAGAACAAACATCGTGAAAAAAAAAACATTTCTATTTGCAAAATACAAACCAACCAGAAAAAAAAATCCTCCACAATTAAATGTTGTACATGTAAATATCATAGAGTTCTAGCCAATGCCATGAGATTAAAGTTAACCATTACTACTAGAATGTTTGACAATATTATCCCTGATTAATTTCAAAACATAGATGTGTTGTAACACAAGTGATATATTTAGATTTAAGTGCCGTTAACATTTCCAAAAACAACCAAACCAAACTAACCAAAAAAATAAGACAAAAATGATTCTAGTTCATTTAAATTATTTATTATTAGTACTACAAAGCAAACAAATCTCGGCACCTTATTATAATTACTACTACATTCCAGTAGATGAACAACCAAACCACAAAGTTTGTGAACAACTGACTACAATTTGACACTTAATTATGTAAATTTGCAAATGATGTACTTGCGAAATGGGAAATGATAGCAAAGAGAGAAGAGAATGTGAAATGCTAGTGTCTCAGCAATGAAATTGAGAGAGAGAGAGAGCGCTGACTTTTATCAACAATATAATACATTAAAAAAATTTGATTCCTTCCAAATACTTAACGGAACAGAAAGCTCAAATCTGTCTTTCAAATTTAAAAACATGAAGAAAAAAAAACAACAAAAAGCTCAATCTCGCTAGTTTCGATTTTTAACAGCGGTAACACCAATTCATCTACGCTCAACACTTCAACAAAACTGAAAAAAAACATCGCTGAATCGAAGCATATTAAAAATAAAATAATAATTGTATTGAAGACATAAGCACGGCGCAATGATACACACAATGATAATATCAGAGTTACATACATACACACAGCAAATCACTAAAAAAAAACTAAATACGCACATGATCACTTCGTTATAAAAAGAGAGATACACGTATGGGCAACAGAATAATGAAATAAATTGAATCGTTTGTGTCGCACGAATGGCGATCACTAGAGTGTGTATTGGCCATTTGGTCAGTGGGCTTGTGGGCTTTTAGCACCCAGCCAAAGAAGACTAGTTAAAGCACAGCACAACACACTCTCACACACACACACAACGTACACACTTTTACTCAATCACACGAAAAAAAAAATTGTTGTTTGTTTACATTTTTCCATCGCAATGCACGCCAATACTTACAAAAGCACACACAAATACACCACATTGCAAACACACTTACACACACGTTCTTCACGTTCACATTCCCATGTGCTGACCAATGTGTATACAAACAGCTGTGTACGCAGCACGCTGAAATCTTTGTTTTTCTTTTTTTACGCGTGGAACCGTTCTTTTTCCTTTCGCATATGACTCTTTTTTTCTTCTTCTTCTTTTTTTGCACAGCGCAACCGTAACACATTTGCCGATGCGCTGCTCTATGTTACTTATATTCGATTTATTCATATTCTGTGTCTGTCTGGTTTAGCGATCAGCACTGCTGGGCTTCGCATAGATACGGTGCGCAATGCAAATTTCAAGTTAGTCTTAATTGTGTGCTTCAAGTGGAAACAGTTTTTCTGTGAGAGACTGAGAGCGATAGCATGCGCGCATAAGAAACCAGAGGCTGCGAAAAAAAACCTCTATTCCGCGTTTTGTGTGTTATTAATTTGTTTTCTCCCTTCATTTGGTCTCATGCCAAGCCCGAGTTAAAGCCACTTGTTAATAATATTGTTGTTTTATGAAGAGATCTATTTCTGTTGGACTACAAAGTGATCATAATTTTGTTTGTTTGATTTGGCTTACATGTGACAAACTTAATAAACCATTTGAAAGGCACCCCCCTTTTAATATATATATTGGACACATCTCTACTCTATGACGTAAACAAAGCATAAAGAATAACACAAATAATACAGAGAAGAAGAAAACAAAAAAAACTGTAAGAAAATCCGTTTAACTCAACTATATCGAACAAAGTATCATCAGCACACAGCAGAACAAGAGAAAACTTCAATTTACACGGATGTGGTGCGTATTATTCAGTTTTTGATGATGAAACAAAAAAATAGAACTATGATTTTATATTATCACAAGCTAGTTTTTATTCCGTGTTCTCTTTAAATTTCCAAACAAATTTGTTCAACATTGATAAACAACAACAAAAATAATGTCCGATTCAAGAATTAAAATGAATTCAATCTAACAGAAAAAAAAACTTAAAAAAATAAAATTCACAATAGATCATACGACAACAAAGACAAAAAGAAGGAATGCAAACACAGAATATCCCGGGTTAAACGAGTCATTATGCAATATGATAGAAAGCATATATTTATCGAAAAGAATATAGAATTAGTGAATATAGTGAAGTTAATGAACATTTTAACAATGACAGAAAGAGAAAAAAAAAACAATTCTAAATGCAAAACTGTAAAGTATAAGCTCAACAGTAACCGTAACAACAGCAACCTGATTCTATTCGGAAAATATGGACATATGAATTCAATCGATGAAATATTTTTTGATGAAAATCTTAAAACAAAAAACAAAACAAGTTCCAACGAGATGGGTGATTAGTAGAAGAAGTTTGATGAAGAAGAATTAAAAAAAAATACAAAGAAAAAACACATAGAAATACGAATAAAGTAAACAAAAAAGTAATGCAAATTAATAAACATAAATGAAAGAAAAAACTATATTAAATAAATACGCCATAGAAAACAAACCGAACATTTCATTAAAAACAATTAAAATCAATTATCACTAGACAAACAAACAAAAATTAATACAGCCAATTAAAGAAAATTTCTACCTTTTTTTGCAATTCGATTTTCGAATCGAACGTAAGTAATCGATGCAGTGATTGTGTTTTAACATTTCAATCTAACCTATTGAAAAATAAAAGTCATGGAAATTGCAATGAAGTAGTTGACTCTCTTTTTCTTTCTTCTTACGTCGCTTTCGTTCACACAAATTCGATTCTTATCAGTGGCAGAACATTTTTACCTGGATTTTTTACGAATTACGACACAAAGTGAATTAGAATGTGGAGCAAGTTTATTAGACATTATTAGAAACAAAAAAAAAACCTTGCCATAACTTTGCATCGTGTTTGCATTTGATGCAGTTCAATAACGTGACTTGATTTTACCGTTATCGTGATTTTTTTGTTTCGGATTGTTCTAATTCGTTTCCACAGCGAGAATATTCGAGTGTTTAATTTGCAAATTCATAGAGTTCATTTCGATTTATGAAATTCTTTCTGAGTTCCCAGTCAATTTGCTGAAGATTCGAAAAAACCGATGACAAAATTCACTTGAATTATTATATGTGTGTGCATGTTGCTTGAAATAAATGCGGTTCTTTCAAGATTGGCTTGTTCATTGGCGATTGTCGGGCGGCAATTGCTGCAAAGTCCACGGCATACTCGGTCGATGATGCAAAGTGTTTGCGTGCTGCATTTTACAAAATAGGAGGCGCATACCTATAACTAAAGCATATGATTTTTTTCTCTTCTGTGGCGAGCGCGAAACCATGCGGTTTTGAGTCAATGTATTTTTTTTTCCTCCCGTCCGTTGCGAATGTGTGTTAGAAGTCAAACGTGATGCTTGAGACATTGCACGCCGTGGAATAGAATTAAGTAATCGCATGGCATTTCGATGCAAAAAAAGAGAAGAAACTTTTTTTTTCAATTTATGGACAAGAAATTCACACAGCCGCTCGTTGCTGTTGGGTATTTCAGACGTTGTGTGCGAGTAGGAGCTGCTATTTGCACAAATACCTGTCTCGATTTTATTGAATTTTTTTCTCATATTTTTTTTCTGCTTTTCTTTTTCATCGTCAGAAACGAGTCTTTGCGTCTCTGCGTCTGTATCACCGAGAGATAGATAGATAGATAAACGCTCGTAGCATTTGCTGTGGCTGTGTTTCAATGAATAACAAAAACTTTGCACCAAATGCATAAAAGTAATGACAAAAACGAGCGCATGGAATGAGTTAGAGAAAAGTTGCCAGGGGTTCCGTAATCTTTGCACAGACTTGCAATGATCACGATGAATGGATCTTTTGTAATTCCGTTGAAAATGAACGGTTTTCAATTTAGCGATTCGAATTGTGTAGCCATATCATAACGTTCCGAATCGTAAACTACCTTTTTTTTCGTGGCGCTCCGTAATTTGTAATACAGCTCGGACCGGGTGGTTTCTCATCAAAGAAGTACAATGTGTTGTTTTGTGTTTTTTTTCGCGTGTCTTTTTTTTAATCGCCTGGTTTTGCATTCCAATTGTGTACTTCGCGTATGGTTTTTGTTTTCTTCATCTTTGGAAACCGGCAATTATTTTGGACACCGCAATATTAACGGTCCGAAACTGCCTAAAAGGAATGCAACTGTGCATGCTATGAATTCTTAATTTGTGTGTTTAGCAAAGACGCAAGACAATGGAATAAAATTAGCGCTACATTTTATTCAATTTGTTGGACAATAAAAGAAAAGAGAAAGAACCGCAGCCACAGCAGCAGCAGCAACAGCACCCACAGTAATAACAACCATTATTTTTGCGATCATTTTTTTATTATTACAAACACGCAAGACAATGCAGCGATTAATTCAAATGATGATTTTTTGTTAGTAGTTTGCTTTATTCATGTTTTCTTTAGACACAGTGGCGAAGGTTAATTGCCTGCCTCATGCATTTGTACGTCCCTGTTTCAACACCAATCCGTTTTACGGTGCTGTGGTCGCTGCATTTTTGTTGTTATTATGCATATTGACGTTTAAATATGCGCATGTATTTCTGTACATACTTGTGTAGTAAAACAACGAGGCAAGGTAGAATGCACATGCCGCATGGGTTTGCTCAGTAAATTGTGCGCGAATATTTTCGCGTAATTTTTCGTGACTTGTGTGTTTGGGTCGCATGTCATGATCGACATCACCTGTTACAGGGCCAAAGTACTTATTATGCTTATTTGAAAGCGCGTTTCAATGAAATTTGACAGGTAAAATGACACTAAATTTGCCTGTTTTCGATGCGCCTACAAAAACTAAATGACTATGTAGTTACATTTCAATGCTGCTAATAGGTTCTACAGACAAAATATCCCATACTCGACACATGCTCGTATTCGTTTGAATTGCAAAAGGAAAAACGAAAATCGCGATTTTCAAATACGTGTGCTAATTATTTGCGCATACATTATCTCCATCAAACCAAATAATATGTAGGAAAAAAAACATCGCGCGAAGAATTTGTAAAAATAGTAGTTTTCCTTCCATTTATTTATTTATTTAAAGAGACGGTTATATTCTGTGCCATCGACTGTGCAACAAAAACAGGCGATTCGATTGAGTAGACATCATGCTCAAATACTGATAGTTGTTTTATGTCAAGCGATATCATTGACTTTGATTTGCGTTCATCCATATCGCTGCCACTATAACCGAACACGCGCCAGACTCTATCACGAACAAAATAAAACGCCCTGCAATATATTAATGTCGATTAAATCGGCGAAAATTCATCCAAGTGAAAAAAAATAGTTAGCAATACGAAAAAAAAAAATGAAAGTAAAAAAACAGACAAAATAAATAAAGACAAACAGGTATTGAACGGAGGAGATCGGTAGCTCAACGGCGTAATATTGAGAGGCGTGAGAGTGTGAATGTTTAGTATAACCGAAAAAAAGCCATTCAAGTTTTCACAGTTCGAGAAAGATTTTGTATTTGCCGTTTGTAGTTCATGGCCAACATTCGTCAAGGTCAGGAATACCACGCATGCGCTACGGCACACCGATACGGTTTAAGCGGTGTTTGTATTATCATATTCAATTGTATCGTCTTTTCTTCTTCAGTCATTGTCATTGCTTTGTTTCGTTTTCTATTATATTTCGTATGCTTAAATGGATGTAGCATGTTTTCAATGAGTTTTATGCAAAGCTTATGATAATCGGTGGCTGCTTTGAATTTAACCGCCAAATTAATTACGGATGGTGATGATCTTGGGTTTAATATGCCCAAAAATGCACATATCAGCTGTTGTTTTATTCGCATGTTTATCTTCTGGCAAAATAAAACAGTTTCGTTTTGTTTTTCAGACAAACAAAACCGATGAATTCGTGAAAACATCGTTTGGTTTTGTCTTTTTGTTCATTCATCTGGACACGCGGGCGACATTTCATTAAAGTCAAATTTTTACACAACAGTGTAATGATAGCAATAGAATGAAAATAAATCAATTTTGTTTTTTTTGCCATTGTCAGTTGCCGAGGTTGAATTTGGTTTTTGTTTTGCCCACCTCTTATATTTGAAAACATTGAAAAATGGTTCAAATTCCAAACCCATACGAAATTTTTGTTTTTGAACCATAAAATTAGAATATAAATACACGCACATTTGGTGTGAATTTGAAAAGGAATGGCATTCACTGCCTAGAGAAAAAAACGCTGAGCAAAAAAAACACCCAGATGAGCAAATAAGCGAAAGGAAGAAAATTTAAAGTTGTGTAATACTGACACGTATATATTTAGTTCAAAAAGAATCCATTCACAAACGGGTCAGCAATAAAAGTGGCTATCTTATTTCCATTCTCAAGGTAAATGGCTTCCAGTCTGATTTCGGTCATATTTGTACATTCTCATTCAGAAATGGTACGATCTATACTGCTTTGTATTCACCATATCTCCTTGCGATCATTTCGTATTACTTTTTCCAAGATATGCATGTATAAAAAAACATCAGTCCCTCGAGCCCAGTAGGTCTGCTGTTTTTTTCTTCCTTCATTTTTGCATCATACCAATCAGTGGCAATTACTATACCATGGTGTTAAATTTTTTTTTCGGCTAACGTATAGCGAAACCTCCATACCAACGTAATATTTGCCAATCACTATATTCGCCGAACTCGGTCTCTATAATTTCGATAGACGCCGATTTGTGCAATAGACTTGGTATTCAATGGGTTTTTGATTCATTTCGAATTCGAGGGCAATCAAAACAAAAGAAAATCTACAAATGAAAAATTCAAACATATCATAGAAATTAAAAATGAAAACATCGGCGAAGGTGCGAATTGAAACGTACAATTCTTCGGAAAAAAAATTAGCTATAAAAGACGAAGATGTTGCGAAATTTAATTGACGTCGTCATACACGTAATGGACATGCCGTTATAACATAATTTTTTTTTCTCTTTCGTTCAGTGTTTAGTGTCATTAAATTGACGAATTTAAAATAGTAAAATCGGTAAAACTCTCTACGACAGCCGATCCATTAACGTTTGGTGCTCTTGATTGATGAAATTATCGTCTTGCCTTTCGGCTACTAACTCACCGTTTAGCCTACAGTTTCAATTTCGAAATACGCATGAGTCTGCACATTTTGTTTTTGTTCAACAATTTAATCGCAACTTTAATCAGTTTCTACGCATGAACAATTATTATGATTTTTTATGGCGGTTACGATACTTTTGAAACACTTTGTTCGAGTCAATTCATATAATTAATTCCTTTTCATTTATTCTTCCGTCAATGGGATGAAATATGTGTCATTCATTTCACAGAGCCGGCCGATAACAATGTGCATGCGATTGAGTGTCAATAAAATAAAAGACGAAATTGCGTCGCGTCATTTCAATTCTTCGCAGAGTTTGTAATTAAACATATCTTACTAACCGTTTGAGCATTTTATGACCATACAATTCTGGTACGTTCGTGTTTCTTTGAATATCTACGTAGGCTTGACAATCATTCGAGGTAGGCCTCCGCATGCGATAGGCAAAAACGAAATAACAATCGCATGAAGCAATAGACTATTTTTGAGGAGACTCGAATGACTCACAGGTCGAAACGATCTCAATAAACACGTTGTTGATGAAGTTTACTTCAAAAGTTTACTTCATGCATTGTAATATCGTACGATTCGGATAGGTTTGGCCACAGTGATAAGGGCTTGTTATCGATGCTGTTGACTTGCAACAACTCGACAAATTATTCCTGGGCCCAGTCTGGTTCAGTTACGAAAGTAAGATAAAATATCGTTTTGATCGTGCAATTAAGTGGACGTATGTTCTTGAACGCCAACTGAAAAAAAAATAAAGTATAAGCTAGTGTTTCTTTTGAAAAATAAGCATAGCCGAACCTAAAGTGTATTCGAATCAGAAGTGCGTCTTGTTTTCAATACGGTATGAATTGTCGTAATTGTTTCATTCATAAAGCCTTTGATGGTATGAAAATAAGCAAAACCAATCGGACCATTGCCGCAATTCACGTTTCATTCGTAAAATCATCCATTGAGCTCAAAAACATCGTACGGCTTCAATGGGTACAATTAAAGTGTTTTTTTTTATTGACCCAAAATGAATTGATGGGAAAAAACACTGATCTTGCTCGCCTTCCAATTTATTGGTTTAAGATCGAAAATTTCGATTCGAAATGAATGGCAAGAAAAAAACCAAAGGCAATCCGAAACTCGAACCAAATGTCCAACACTAGAAACATATATATGTGTGTTTTGTCTTCTTTGACGTGCTTGAATTGGTCATAAATCTAGTGACATTTTTTATAGTTCCAGTGATATAAATATAGTCAGCAAAGACGCAAATGTGGGCAAAAATATACATATTAAAATAACATGCTGGTTTTTTTTTCCATTTGCCGGTTCAATTAGCGCATCTTAATGTATATTTGTCGTTATACCTATAGATAAATATCGCTGGAGGTCAACATTGATACTAAATACCATAATTCTGTAGGCATATATTATGTGTGTGTGTGTGTGTGTGTTTTTGTGTTGATAGGTATGGCTATATAAGTCTCCTTCAATAAAATCAAATGAACTTTTCTTCGATAGCTTTGAAGAGTATTGATACAGGTGGTTGTTCGTAAATGCCATAAAACGTTCAACTTTACAATCAACTAACTGTAATGAAGTAAAATTGTTTTGAATTCCGGCATACACAGAACGTGCCGTCTCAATTGTTTGTAAATAAAAATTTGATATACTCCTTTTAGCCTGCACAAGTCTGAAAATGACTGAAAGAAGAAAAAAACATTGTCGAATAAGTCAACCGGTTATATTTTTTTCAGTGCGTATCATACAAATTCATTCTATAGCGTGATCATTTTGCGTGATGGTGTACTGTTGTAACCGTGTAATTTTGGTTTTCCATTTTGCCAGTAATGGTGGAAATGAATTATCTGCTTCCCATCCTTATTCCCCGATCTTATCAGCAAACTTTTTGCTTTAAAATTGAGCAATCGATAAATGACGTCCAATGTGGTCGGGTGTCATCAGTAATACATTACTGTGTTGATCGGTCACTCCAATGTCAGTAACGCACAAACTTTCGAAATAGTGGGAATATTGCGCTGTTTTTTCTCTGTAACTTATTTCAACTTAGAATTGTTTTTGTCTCTTCCAATGATTTGCTTAGATTTCCCTTATTTCTTTGTCATTAAATGACCTGTCTGTTCATTTCAATTTTGAAAGACATAATATAGTTGAACTTTGTCGACTTGCTTTAAAGCACTTAAAAGTGAAACAAGTTTGAGCTTCTTGCGTCAGTGATTCTAAGTTCTTGAAGAGTGCGTGCCTGTGTATAAATTAGCTGCAACATTTCCTGAGGTAAACAAAAACAAGCTTTAAAATATGACGCAATATGCCCACCAGCGGCAAAAAAAGAAGTTTCGTTAGAGAGGAGAAAGAATCGGTGTAACTTTCGATCATATTTTCGAGCTAAAAAAAACTTAAAACAGGAAATTTATTATTTTCATAGAGAGATGTCGAGAAATGAAAACCAGAAGCCTTAATTGCTGTTATCTAACTTGCGATGATAATTAAGTCAAATGTGTGTGTGTGTGTGTGTGTGTGCACACATCGATACATGGATATGACGTAGATTATCGTTCGATATCTTCCATGGATATAGAGCCAACTGTAGTGTATCACATCAAACAGAAGATAATCACATCATAGTTTTGTTGTTGCATACGGTCTCTAACATGTTTGCAATGGCAATCTAATCTATTAACTAAAGCGCTGATGTGCAATTATTCATTTTTCTTCTTTTTTTCGTAACTTCTTCTTGATGAACACCACATTTGCTCAACCCGTCTATTTATACAAATAAGCCTATATTATCTCGATGCTATCACCTTAATAATGTCCAGTTTGTTTTGCACACCGTAAAATTTATTGTTCCATTTTTATTGTATGTTATTCAATATTTTGCGTCGCATTATATTTTTTTATTGGTACAATGTTTCAATCGGTTTACATTTCAAGTAGTTAACAGATGTCCATCCGGAAATCGAATTTCAAGTACATTGAACAATGATTGACAGCAAACGGACGACAGGTGTTCAACTTGGTTGAATTTCGGAAGCTATCCTCGTTAAAACATTCAACGATAATACATTATTTTCACAGTAAACTAATTGTGTTCACTGTTCATTGGCCAAACTCAATATGGAACTCAATGGACAAAATTTGACACTTTTAATGTCATTTTTTGCGAACAGAGCACAATTCCTCTCTGCAAACGGACTGAGCCTTTCAGTATGTCAGAATAAGTATGACACGAGAGAAGGGTGTGTACATTTCGTGTCGTAATTGTTTTGTCCGATCTTCAGTCTACACCAATAAAAACGGTTCTCTCTTTGTTTACGTTGTGTGGTATGATTAATCTAATTTATATTTGTTTAAATGACAATGATTTTTGATAATGTCAATCAAGTTTAAGCATGTGAAAGAAGTCGACACTATATGCACACAGAGAAAGAGAGGTTAGTGACATCCAGGGGTGGGTAATTGACGCTATTTCATCATTACCACAATTTGTAGTAAGCATAAGGAAGATATACGAAAGCAAGTTGCAGACCTCATCTTCACTTCCAACTATCTCATTGTCTTCAATCAATTCAAATTGAAACAAAACAAAGTCCTGGGTCTACCCCTGATTTACATTTATAGATAGTGGTTCTCCCATTCAAAACAGTGCAACAATCAGATATTTACAAAACATGTATACAATTGGAGCATCAAGATAGGTTCGCTTTGGCTGCACAGAATGGACGTTCGTTAAATAAAAAAGGTCAATCAATTCGAACTCTAATCAATCAGTCTGTGTTTGATAATTCGCTGGGAAAGTAATTTATTGCTAATGTTGCTGTATTTTTCTGCATGGCATATGTCAAGAATGCACTCATAGATTGAGAAAATCTTGTGAGCAATCAAAGGTAGTTGCGAAATGTCTCATTGCGCACAACATGTACAAAATGCTCTCGTGACTTAATATTTTACGTGAATAAATTCAAACTTGTGGTTCTAGTATCATTCCGACCGCTGTACTGTGCACAGCACTGTCTTGTGCAGTCTCTCAGATAGTGCTATAAATGCACTATAATTACAAATCGACAATATTTTCTGAAATTATCCGTTACTTAACGTAAACGTTTTATTTTTCTTCTTCTTTCATTTGTATTGCTGCAGAAAGTGCCGAATAATCTCGTGACATAATTCACAAACAAACTAGTGATAGCACTCGACTATTGGCACATATTGTGACTGGACGGAAGAAACAAAGATGTCGAACAAAATGATAAAGACGTACAAAAAGGAGCTGAAGCTGAGTAATTGCGGATTTGATCACGATCCTGTGGATTCAATGGTGCGTTCACAATGGCAATCAAGATCGAAAAACAATTTCTATTTGGTCTACCGATGGTTGGTTGCAATATTTGTGATTGCTGTGGTGATTGTATCGATGTTCTCGCACGTGGAAAAATACAGTTTCGGCCTATTCTTCATATATTTAACGCATTGGGGCATCTTAATCAATATGGTGGTCGGTGTATTTGGTGCCATTCTCGTGACTGTTTGGCACTTTCACTCAGACTTCAAAGGTAATTCATCCACGCATTTTTTTTAACTCACTTCGTCAAAATATTGGCAATCAAAATAAATGGTTTTTATTTATAGAAAATGTTCTGAAAAATAGCGAAATGCCGACAGCGTTCAAAATCTACTGGGCTTTGCACAATATCGCGTTAATCACGTCATTCGCGGTGACGATAATTTACTGGAGTATATTGCATAATGGTGGGTCATTTTTTTAATTGTCTCGTGTCATATTAAGATAATGAATTTTATGTATAACATTATAACGACGACACGAAATTCGTTTTCATTTTCTGTGTTCGAGTGTAGACAAAATACCGTTAAACGCACCAAACATCTTATCACACGCGATGAACTCGGTTATCATGTTTTTGGATATACTCATCGTGGCCTATCCCCTCCGATTGTACCATGTCATTCAACCGATTTGCTTTGGTGTTTCGTACGGAATATTTTCGTTCATTTATTACTTGTGTGGTAAGGGAGTAACCCATAACCGTTTGTAATTGGTTGGAAATAATGAATTCTACTTGTTACACACATAGGTGGGGTCAACATACTTGGAAACCCGTACATTTATAATGTCTTGAACTGGAATGAACCCGGTAAAGCCATGGTAACCGTCTTTGGCACATTGATTTTGGCCATCATTGTTCATGTCACTCTATTTTGGATCTACAAATTGCGTGTTTTCGTACAACGACGATACTTTAGCACTCAATTGATTTTGCCCACCAAAGTGCCGAAACAACAACGACTTAACAGCTCATTGGGGTCACAGATTTCAATGGTATTCGGTGGTGACGACGGTTGCACAAATGATGCATTTAAAATAAGCTCCGAAAAAATGTGTAAATAGTTTTAGCATAAGATAAATATAAGTAATATAGAGAGCATATAGCGCATGTGACAATTAGCACGAAAATGTAAAAACCAGGGAAACTATTCGCTGTTAGTTGAACTTTGTCATTCATTTCGATTGACAGCAGTATTAACATTTAAATAAACAAATATTATGGCTTAAGGTTTATGTGTAATTAGCATAGGAATTGTTATTCTACGAGATTCTCACTTTTATTGCCTTCTTTGAACAATGAATTATTTGAATAATAACATTCCTTGAAAATTGAAAACTGAACAAAAACAAAAAAGCAATCAACCAACCAAACAAATCACAAAATATGTGAGAATTGAAAATATATTTATCATGATAATTATGTAGCATAGCAAAAGCGTGAAATAAAATTACAAAGAATTCTGTGATTTGTACGACGAGAGTTTTTACGTTTGTTTTCTTATTATTTTTTAAGGTTCAAAGTGTCATCAATTCCGAGGTATTATTACTAACTGGACGTGGAATTACTTCCATTTTCGCTGTTGGCTTTGACGCTGTTTATACTTTTTGCTGGATTTCTTTCTTTTTGTATGTGCACAGAGAAACCCCCTTACCAAGTAAGGGTTAGTAAGATTTACAGAAAATATATAGCGCTGTAGCATTAGTTTATCAATATGCATTTTCAATTGTTTATCTATAAATGATATGAATGGTTTGAAGCGAAAATGTAATACAGAAAAGTTGAGCGGAAAAATGTCAAATGAAAAGGGATAGCTATAAAGTTCACTATAGTTTACTACACAGTTTACTATATAGCTATCCCTTTTCCGCTCATTCATCATCGACATTTTTCCGCTCAACTTTTCTGTATTACATTTTCGCTCCAAACCATTCATATAATCAGAAAGTCATGGTGCGTTTTGTTTAATTTTGTGTTTATTTGTTGTTTCAATATAGATTTCCAACAGACATCGTGAAAATATAATGTTTCTTTGTTTAATTTCAAACAAAAAAAAACACTTTCGTTAGAGTCCACCCTAAGCGAATGCGAGATTGAAACTAAAATTAAATGTTTTGAGTGAAGTAGGTTGTAAATAAAAAAAATGTAAAGTCTTATTTTGATTTATGTTATCATATAGCAAAGAAAAATATTATTGAATTGGGGCTCTGTCGAAAAACTCAATAAAAATGTCTTCTTCCGTGGCACAGAAAGAATTTGGATGGGCCTTGTAATTCGCTTTGTAATGTATATAATTTACGCAATCGCCAATCATATTCATCACAAGTTAGGTTCCACTCTTTGTTACAATGTGTTCTCATAATATTTTCATTGATGAACGAGGACGAGCCCAGTAAACAAAAACTTTTCAGACTCTTAAATATCGACAAATAACCATTTATCGTATCTAATTTCAGTTGTTCTATTTCCTGTTTTCGGTCAAGGGTTGGAATGATAAGAACACTTTGTAACAGGGGCAATGCATTCACAAGTTTCAAACTGTTTTCGAAACTTAACAAATCCGTAGTTTGAAGACGAATTTTTTCTATTGACTGCTGTTCTTTGATAAAGTTAAAAAACGAACTATCCCATTTAAATTCACCTTTTAACGATAACACTTTCAATTGATTAGTTCTTAATAGCAATGGGAATTTCATTTTTGTTGAGGACCAAAAATCTATCACTAAATTTGTAACATTCGGACACTGTATAAAATGAGAATTATCATTCGCATTCTTTACTCTGATATAAAGGCTTTCAATAGACTGAAAATATTTGGCAATGATTTGTAAAACACATATTTTTTAGAATGCAATGCAAAACTTCGTAATTGAGGGTTCAAGCGCAAAAATTCAGCGATTATATAGCTATCTTGACTGTAAGTGTTTGCATAAAAAAGGATAAAATCCAAATGATGTAAATTTGGAATGTGTACTGGTGCGAAACATTCCGGATGCCTTAGCAGAAAATTTAGGCGACCTAAATTTGGGAAAATTGTTGTTAAGTTCCATTTTCCTGATAAATGACCACTCATTGTGACTGATTCAATTTTGGGAGAAGGTTTCTTGAATTCTTCAAGTGCCGCGCCTGGAACAACGTTAATTTTTTATCAAAGACTCAGTACAATATTCATTTAGGTAGTCCATTATATGATTACGCTTTTCCTTGGAACTATGGTTTTCAGTGAAGTCAAGTTTTATGTCAACGAACATGTGACCGAAGATTCGTAACATTTGTAAGGGAGTTTTGAAACGATCAACCAGTATCCTGCGAAATAAACTGCAATTATAGATGTTCTCGAAAAGAAACCGTAGACTTATGTAAATGCATTTTCTTGTATGTTGTCGAGCACAAAATGATTGAGCTGCTAGTTGAAGATATTTGTTCGCATTGGCAACATTGAGAAGGTCTTCTAGATCTAAATACATGAAGATTTGTTCCAAACAGAATGAGTTAACGTCCGTGATCTTAGTTGGGTTGTTTAATTGAACACTGATTCGCTTTTTTCTCTGCCTACTGATATTATTTTGTATCATTCCGCCCTTCCGTTTATTCTTTAGTGTGGATCCTTCCATTTTCAAATATCACTGTAAACAAAATTGAGAAATTATTTCGAACATTTTTTAGTGACAAACTGAGTTTTATTTAAATTACCAAAACTTGAAAATTTGTTTATTCTCTATGCTTTCTACTAACGTTATTGCAACTCTATTAATTTTTTTATAACTTTCACTCAACAGTCTTGCTTTTATTTCACTAAATTCAATTCTGCCTCTGAATATTTCCTTAAACGTCCGCTTGACCTGTCATATTGATTACACCTATCGTAGTTTTACTCAACTTTCTGTTTTGGTGTTGCCGTAAGGTAAGCATCCCTTTTCTGTTGCACCTAATAACAATTTTCTACAGGTAGCAATTCCAAATACAGAGTAAATAGAAGACTGAAACTACAAAGAAGTCACATGTGAAAACAATTTCGTTCGCAAGGATTCACATCAAGAATGCAACAGATCGTATTATTTTCACATCTTTTGTAATATTTGTACATTTTTTAAAGATAATTTTGAGTTGATTCTGTTTCAGAAAATAAGAGAAATATCGTTGATGTACTACAGTCACTTGAAGAAGGTAGCAAGCAGAGAATCATTTCAGCATAGATATTCAATACATGGGGAGTCTTTCTAGGCAAATACACTTTTTGAATGAGTTTCTTAGTAAAAATTTTTTTTTTTCGATTGAAAATCTACTCATACAGAAGATCTTATGAATGATTTTTGGGGTACCTACCGAACAAAAATGATATTTTCATAACAAAATGCACGAAAAACGTAACTTTTGTTCGGGAGGCACATCAAAAAGCCAATTTTAAGAGTTTTTGTCTGAGAAGACTCACCATATTTTCGAGGAAAAATAACTTTGCACAAAGACACCCACCCTAAAAGGCCTATACTTAAGGATTTTTTGGCCAAAGATCGATTTTCTGAGAGTTGAAATCGAACCAACCGAATATACGGCTAGAAATATATGAAAACATCATTCGACTTGGTCTTGTAGGTACTTAAAATGTTCGTAATGGATCATACTAGATGTTCAAAAGCAGAAAAAGTAGAAATCGCTTGCTTTCATCTGTCGAACCAAAGCTCATGTTGGTGATTTGCTCATTTTGGCCAGAAATTTGTCTTTTATGTCTGAATCAATTGACACCAAAGATCGAGGCGTAAATTCTTGCAGATTTTCATACCATTTTGCTTTCAAGCAGTAGTACCGAAGGTACGTACTCAAATACACTGTACTTCAGTACTTTTGATTGGTAAATAATCATGACAGCTCCATATTATTGCAAAAAGCACAAATGGTATGAAGCCTTCACACGTTCTTTCATCCAAATTGCAATCTGGCAAGTACCAAAATGTTTATACAGGTTCTGGCTACACGATACAAGTAAAAAAACTGAACAAAAGTATACCACCTGGTAAGTCACCTTAAGTGGGGTCAAATGTAAAAAATGCCGAAAATTTGACATTTTTTTGGTCTTTTACGGTCTCTTATGCACACAACTGCAATTAATGGCTATTACTAGATTCTGAAAAAGCAATAATTTTTTACGTCGAGTAATTGAAACAAACGCCAATCGATTCTGGAATTAATGGTGAACATTTTACGTCTCGTATAAAATATCTACACCGCACAGGATCTACATATCAGGACACGTGTCTTTTTTACTGTCCTAGTTAAATCTTCATGGCTAGACTGTTCCCAAAAGACCTTAATGCAGAAGACCCATGCAGCTACAGTGGTTGTTTCTTTGATTTCGCATAATTCAATGGAAATTTCATTGAAATAATGTTCAAGACTATCACATCTATGGGTGAGATTGAGAGTGGAGTATGTTTTTTCTTCGATTTATATTTTTGAAAAGGCGAGTATGTTTTCTGATGATTCTGTTGGCGTTAAAGTAGAGTATGTTGTAGTACCGTCTAGCCTCCGCGGTCTTCATGGTTTTCGCGCAACTGATAAAAGATAACAACATGGTGTCTTCGGCAAAGTTGTAGTACTTGAGGTCTTCTATGACTAAGCTGAAGACAGTTATCTCTTATCTCTTATCGGTTGCGCGCAAATCGCGCACATAAAAAAGCAAATTTTATATAGAACTTATTTTTTCTTATCATTTTTCGCGCTTTTCGCGGAACTGATAAGAGATAGGAGATAACTGTCTTCAGCGATGTTATAGAAGACCTCGAGTGCTACAACTTTGCCGAAGACACCAAGTTGTTTTCTCTTATCAGTTCCGCGGGAACCGTGGAAAACCGCGAGGACCCGCTAAAAACAAACATACTCGCTTTTAACCATTTTTAAGTCGACAGAAACTTGCTCTTCTCTTTCGTAACAAAGTCAATCAAACATACACTACTCTCAATCTCACCCATAGACATGAGTGCATGATTAGGGTAGCGTATTTAGAAATGGTGTCATTGCGAGATTATCCTAATAAAAAAATATATAAATCATACTTACAAGCAATTGAAAAGAAGAATTTATCTTTGGGGTTGAATGACATAAAGTAAGAGAGACTACAGTCAGGACAGACAGATGATGCTCAACTTAAGCAAGCAAATTAAATGCTTTTTCTTTGCAACTTGTAGTGTGTCTATACCCGTGTTCAAAGTTTGCAAGTGATGTTATTGTTAGTCGTAAATTGCAGTATAAAGTTTTGAATGGTTTGATTGTTGTTCGCATGACTTTACATAATTCATGGGTATTTCATAGACATGAAAGCATAAGGATTGCCATAAATACGTGATCAAGGTGAAAAGAATTTATCTGTAACCCATTTTCATTCACAAACTCATATCAATGGAAAAAACCACAAATGTTCTGTACTCATCAAAAATTCAATGAACGAATGAACGAATGAACAAAAAAATGAAACAAGTGTTCAAAGTAATAATTATTTTTAACGATTTTAAAATGCTTACTAAATGCTCCTTGTCAATCAATCAATTAGTTTGAACTTAACTAACCAATTGTCCATTATTATTTATCATTTACCTACAGCTTTACCATCCGAATTGATCACCTGTTTGATTCAAATTAAATTATGTCTACTTGATTTAATTTCCAAAAAATACTCGATTTTCTTCATTATTTTTGTCCAGCAAAAATGATCACATTCAAGTATTGTTGATGTATTTTACCTGAATATCGTAAGTAATCATCAAATTAAATTGACAACAAATGGGTCAGTTTTTATTGTAGCTCGGTATTTCGAACTTAAGCGAACATCACTGAAAAGATAGGAGAAAAAAGAATGGCAGCAAGTGCATGAAATAAAATGACAAAACCTTCTATAATTTGTACGCCAACAGTTTTATTATTATTTTCCAATGAAAAGTTCAAAGTATCAACAATATTAGGGTCTTATGATGAGCTTGACGATGAACTGCTGTCACTGTCACTGCTGCTGCTGTCACTTGATGAATTCTTTTTATGTTTTTTGCTGGTTTTCTTTTTCTTGTGTTTCTTATCCTTTTCCTTCGACTTTTCTTTTTTATTTTTCTTGTTGGATTTTTTGTCCGATTTATGAGATTTTCTTTTTTCAACCGATGGACTACGATGTGATACTCGTCTTTCGATCGATGGACTGCGACGTGATTTGTCATACCTTCTTGCCGCATCATTTCGTCGATTGCTTGAATCTCGGTCATCGCGCCGTCTACTTAAATCCCTATCTTCTCTATCATTCCATCGTTTGTTTCCATCTCTATCATTTCTGTCATCTCTTCTCTTACCCACGTCTCTATCCTCTCTCACATCCCGTCGGTTGGTCGCATCTCTATCGTCTCTTCGTCGGTTTGAATCTCTATCATCTCTGCGATAGTTTCTGTCCGGTGAGTAATTCCTCCTGAATGTGTTTCTGTCATTTGAGCGTTGTGGTCTTCTATTATCGTACGGACTTCTCGATCTTGACCGCTGTCTTTCACGCCGCTCATTGACTTGGTCCCGTCTTGGTGATCTGTTTCGTCGGTTATCATTTTGTCTGGACATATCTCTGTTTGGCTTATTATAACCTCCCCGATCATTTCTGCCTCTATCTCTTTCATTCTCTCGAATTGGTTTATTGTAGTTGTTGAAATCGAGTCGTGTGTTTTGACTTCCATCCTTCATAATGAATCCTCGGCCCTTGCCACGCCATTGTAATTTGGACACCGACTGTGAAAAGTCAACATGAATACGACGGTCATCGATTAACACGTTATCCATTTTAAAGTAGGCCATTTCACATGATTTTTTATCCTTAAATTCGATGTTCAAAAAAATAATAAAAATAAATTATTAATCGAATATAAATAGTTTCATAAATAGTTTCATAAATAGTTTTTTCAATTATAAATAGTTTCATAATTAGCTTGGTTATAATTGAACCCGTGAGCATAAAAACAACGTATTGACTCTTCGCCGATGAATACGAAACGCAAAAAAATCGCCGAACAAAGTGAAACACCAATCTGTTATTGGATCAATATGAAACATGAAATCGTTGGCCACTATTTTATTTACGTTGCGCTTTGTTTCGAAGCGCGGCAAGTGTTTCATTTTGTTCCAGTAACAGAACGTTGTATCACTTTGTTCGGCGACGCGCTCAATGTACTGTTTTGAAAAAATATGCATGATTTGATACAGTTTTGTGCGAGTGCAACATAAATTCTGTTCGCTTGAAAGTGAATCGTGAAATATCGGCTGACTATAGAAATTGTGTTTCACTTTAATTGAAACAAAAATGTTTGATACAATTTTGAGTCCATTGGTATGATGATTCATTTTAATGGTGGTTTTGGTCGTGATTTGTCTATGAAGTGAAAATTAACTGATAAGGAGCGCGAATTTCGATGTGCCGATAACACCAATAGAGCAGAAAAAAATACTATATGAAAATCGAAAAAAATTTAAACTTTTTTTTTCGACTGTTGCCTATTTCGGATCGTCTACATGGGAAGTTTGTATGAAATCCTCGGAACGCGGGTTCACGCCGCTGTGAATACATTGGTTTATATAGTGAAATCTATACATGGCCAAAACACGGACGCAAAACACCCATTCTATTTCGCTCACACTTACGTGCAATTTTTACCCGTATAACAAAGTAGTCTGCTTTACTGTTGAAAAGATGTGCGCAGTAAAGAAACAAGAACGTACATGTTTCAGCAACGTTAAAGTGCACGTAAGTGTGAGCGAAATAGAATGGGTGTTGTGTTCAAATGAATCATCATACCAATGGACTCAAAACTGTATCAAATCATGCATATTTTTCCAAAACAGTACATTGAGCGCGTCGCCGAACAAAGTGATACAACGTTCTGTTACTGGAACAAAATGAAACACTTGCCGCGCTTCGAAACAAAGCGCAACGTGAATAAAATAGTAGCCAACGATTTCATGCTTCATATTGATCCAATAACAGATTGGTGTTTCACTTTGTTCGGCGATTTTTTTGCGTTTCGTATTCATCGGCGAAGAGTCAATACGTTGTTTTTATGCTCACGGGTTCAATTGTAATACCTCAAATTCGATGAATGCATATTGTAAGGAGTCACCAGTTTTGCGATCACGAATAACTTCACAGCCTTTGATTTTGCCAAAGCGACTGAAAATAATTTCCAAATCATCGTCCGTGGTAACCGAATTCAATTTGCACACGAATAACACATTTTCGGGCGGAGCAATCTCAGCGTCTGGTAAATCGCCAATAATTTCCAAAATTGTTGCACGCGCTTTTGCTTCGCGTTCCAATCGCATTTCCGCCAGTTCGGTCTCATCCTTTCCGTTTGTTTCATCAACATCTTCATCAGCTGCGATACGACCATTTCGCAAACGTTCAGCGCTGGGAGATGGTGATCGGCTTGGCTCTCTAAATCCTCGTGGATTTTCAAATGGATCGTCCAAAATCACTGTGTGCGTAATGCGAACATCTTTGTACGGCCGATTCGTATTATCGCAAATCACTTCGTTGATGGTACGTAACACATCCAATCCTTCGACGACGTGTCCAATGACACAATGAATGCCATCCAGTGAAGTTAAGTCAGAGCCCAATGTGAAGAAAAACTGTGAACCAATCAAACTTTCGCCTAAACTGACCATTGACAATAGGCCCGGCTCCGAGTGACGTATCTTTGGCAAATATTCGGCTTCAAAAAATCTTTTATCTGGCCCTTCTATCAAACCCCACACTGATTCGCCACCATTTCCTTCTCCACTTGGATCTGAAAGCAACAAAAATTGGATTATTGTCAATAAATTCACAAACAAAAATTAATATTCATTCAATGTTTACCTCCAGTTTGCGCGATAAATCCCTCCTGAATCGTATGAAAAAGGTTATAATTGTAGTACTTCAATTTACACAATTTCAAAAAGTTCAAACAAGCTCTTGGCCGTTCCGTCAGAAATAAATCCACGGTTAGATCGCCGACAGTGGTTTCAATAACCACCGACATTTTTTTTTTCAAGGTCTTTTTTACAATTAACTTTTCAAAATAAATGTATGTTTGTTCTTGTTTTGCCGAAACTTAAAATACGATACGTTGAATCGATTACAAGCGTTTCTAAAAGTTGACGTTTGCTCATGCATCGTTCACAGAGCAACATTTGACAAGTGAGTGGACGGTGTCAGCTGAAAATGAATAGGGGTCGCTACGTATCATTGCGAATCTACCTTAAAATAGCATTTTCGACGCAATAAACTTTATTGATGTAAAATAAACATCTTAATTTGTGTTTCTTTTCACAAAAATTCTAAAATTGTCGATGAAATATTTTAAAAGAATATGTGCTCACTCTTGCCATTGTACAGCATTTCCAACTCCATGGGCATTTCAACCGAATTCCAATTGATAAAAAATAGCCGATGCCGCTGAGACTTCCATTCCCCATGCAGCTTACAAGCCGGTCATCACTGGCTATGCCTTATTCCATTTCACTCAGTCAGTCATCGATTCAATAGCGAATAACATCATATAAGAAGTGTTCGCATGTTGAAAAAGACAATTCTAATAAAGTTAAGCCTGCAAAAGGGAACAGACTCGGTGGAAATTGGTTTTCTTAACCGGAACAACGAAACAAAAACTTTGTGAAATCAAGTGTTCCTATCGTTACCTTAGAAACCAAAGGCAAAAAGAGAAAAAATAAAAAGAAATTTTTTAGTAAATTTTTGACAATCAAAACGTATAAATGCAACAAAAGCACAATAAATTGATCAAATACTAAAAATGTTCAGAATATGATAACATTTTAACGCGTTTTGATAACATTTTCGGTTTTAATTATATTTATTTATTTTTTTACGTATTTCTTGTATGCGACGAGATTTGATTTATTCCATACGTGTAAGAAAAAAAAATGTGCAGAGTGTATTGTCGTCATTCGACTTGAAGCGTCGCCTAATGTTTTTGTTGTTGGATATTTAATTTTTGAAAGTTTGCACTGTTTTTTTTTCTCAATTGGTACATTCTAGAGAAAAAACCCCACAAGGACACGCCTAATACTTTAACATTAGTTGTTGCTGAATTTTTGTCCTCTTGTTCCACTGTTTTAACACCGTAAACGAATACGAATGTGATTATTGAATTTTCGCGCAGACAAAATAGTAGTACAAATAGATATCACACGAAAATAATTTCAAAATCAGTTTATACGCGATAATTAACTCAAATTATCTAACGAGCTTATGCAGCCGAAACGGATGATAACAACAAGTGGAAAGCATTTCATAGTAGAATAACAGATCAAAATTCCAAATACTTCGGAACGAATTCTAATCGGTAGAGAAACAAATTTTAATTGCAATGGCTTGGACATATTACACATCATGGCAATATCATCGACGAAAAAGACCTAATCCACATTGTACACAACAACGAGTAGAGCAACAGCAGCCAGAAAAACAACAGTGTCTTCACCTTCCAAACTTTTGTTGGATAAATAATTTAGCGTTTGTGTTTATTTGTTCGCTAATAATTCAACATTGCCCGACAACAACGGGCACCGAGGTATGTATGGCTTATTCAATGATTCACTCATACCGACATAAACAAAATCGCACACAATGTTTATAATTAACGTGAAAAAATCAGCATGAACGAAAATTAACAATGATTGAAACGATGAAATCATGCGCTCGTTCGAAGCTTCGTCGAACGATTCAACTTGCGTTTGTGTTAGACACATTCATGTATACCAGAAAACGAGATAGAAAGACGAAGAAAATGAAGACAACTCTACCACTGTGAAATAATGTGTCTGTCTGTGTCGGAGAGCAGTGTGTCACTCTCAGTTGCACATGCGATCAATATAAATATATATACAGACAAAAAAACACGACGAAGCGAAGGAAATGTAAAATCTCAGCTACTTTGTTTCTTTTATTTTGATTCTTTCGTTTGTGTATTTCGGCGTATAATTTTATCAAATAATTAAGCCGAATATCGATTCATTCTTCTGTTCATTATGATATTTACCAAACGTTATGAGATACTGTTCACAGAATTCAGTTCATTTTTTATTCCATTTCCGTGTTGGATTTCTCTCTCTCTCTCTCTCCCTCTCTGTCTGATTCATACCGATTTTGTGCAAGTTGTTTTCGTTTACTGCTCTGTATGCGATTGTATGCGCGTTCCGCGCGCCAACTCTCAGTTTTAATTATTTTGCGCTTTGTCATTCATAATTTATCAGTGACGATTCGTCACTGACGATGTGGATTTTGTATTTCTATTATTTTCGTTGGTTTGGCAATTTCGAAGCAACAACAACTGAATGAGCGTGTATTTCAATATTTATACTCTCTCCTATGACAAACCGTACATAAATCGACAAATGTCACTTGTTCCGATTCATTTTCAATGGCAACGATTTATATTCATTTTTTCCACATGAGTTTAGATACCTATCGATTAATATATAGTTGGCCACAAAGTGAACGAGTTTTTAGCAACACAGAATGAACATTGTACACTGTACAATGTACGGTGTGTATGTATATGAGTGATTACGAGAACTGCTGCCATTAAACCACTACAATGGCTGTAGTTGTTCATGTAAAATTATTAAAATGAGTGGACAGTACAGAGTAAAAACGACATGCTTCGATTGTATGGTACAAAATAATTACCCATTTTCTTATTCAAATTGAAGAGTTTTTTGTGTTTTTACTTCGGCTATCATGAATATATACTGTATGTTAGTACTACTAACCGAGTGGTACGATATTATGTTGATGGAATGCTTGTCTATCGCTTTCAAAATTATATACGTATTCGTTTCATACGTAAGATTCGCTTCAATTAATTTGTCGAACATTATGTTAAAAAAAAGAGTGAATCTCTTACACGCATCAGAATCCAATCCAATCAATACTATATATGTATTGAAATGTGAGTCGGACGATGTCATGATGAATCACGTTGGAATAAAATTCCAACACATTCAACATCAACGTGTTCCAGTTCGGCTCGCAACAATTTGACACTTCTGGTGGATAAAACCGTATTGGTTTTTGAACGGCGTGACGGAGCCGCACACTAGCTGTTGTCAAACTGAATTCCATGACCCTAAATGAAAAGTACGCTTGTGCGTGATGGCAACGGCCATGTGGTGTGACATCTAACCATACAACATATAAATAATATACGACAAGTCATTTCAATAAGCAGATTTGTTTCTGTATTCAACGTAATTTCTTCACTCAACAATCATTTTGTTTCAAAAAATGCGGAATAAAAGTTTTATTTTTTTCAATGAAATGCGTCTGCTCACTGTCTACGCTGAAGCTCATAATCAATTGAAGAGCCCACTAGAAAGTGAAGACAGTGATCTCAAACGTTCCATTCAAACATTTATTGCGTTAGCGGCAAAATTTGACATATGAAATCATGAATTCTGATGAAAATTCATCGCTCATTCTTAAGTAGAAATTCATTCGCTAGTATTTTCAACCATTTGAATAAATGAGTCAAGAAAGAATGATATTGATCATGGTGATTTTGCGCGATATCTACTGAAATGATATATCATTAAACTGGTTACTATGTGCTTTCGTATTGAAATTTCTATTAAATGCGCATGAGTTTCTTTCTCAATCAACGATATTGCCGATATATTTCAAACGCATGCATTGAAACTATGCATCTTCTGACCATATAATGGTTTTTAATGGAACCGTTCGTTTGATTCTATGTTGTGTATCCAACTTTAATCAGCCCGGGCACTTTTTTTTCTCTATTTTTGGAATTATTTGGGGAATATTATCTCCAAGTATTAAGAAACAGAAATAGAATGGACACTTCTGGGTTTTTGGCAACTCAAAGCAGATTGGAGTTGATTCATTCACTTATTACAGCTAATTTTTTAGAATTCAATCATAATAATTTCAAATATCTCGATGTAATTATATAAATAGGTTTCTTTGTTCGTTATTTTGTTTCTAGTAAATTATTTTTTGTATACTATTTGTTGCTGTAACAAGATCGAAATGTCAACTCAGCGGAAAACGTGAAATGAGCTCTCGTTTTTTTTTTCTTGTCGTGTGAAGCTCTATTCATTCGTTCATGGAATGAAAACATTAGAAAGAAAAAAACGCCAATGGAATTAAGATCACCGTATCGAGTGTCAGTTCGGCCAACGAACGATGAAAGAAAAAGTATGCATTACATCGATCGATATGTAAAAAAAACAAAAGCTATGTTTGTCCCTTGATATAATAATATAATATTGTCATTTGTATGGTTTCGCGTGTTCACCAAATTGCTAGGGGGATTTCTCACGAAAAAAAAATGAATGAATTCTTATAAATTTTTAAAAATTTCTTCAATTCGGTCCAATTCGATCAATTTTTGTTAATTCGTGTAAATAAATGTACATTTACACTGAACTTTTGAATTATGCTTCAATGAAATTGTTCTGGAAGTGGGTGTTGGTGGATCCCAAGGATCGTTCAGAACTGCTCCCGGTTCTGGAAGTGGATCTTCAGGATGGGCCAGGGCAATGTCAAACCGGATCTGGTCCATCCTGAGGATCCACCAAAACCCACTTCCAGAACACTTTTATTCAAGCAAAATCGTCATTTCAGTACATTTTCATACAATTTCAATAAAAAAGAAGAAATAATAGAAATTTTTGCACATTTGCTCAAACTTTTTGTCTGAGAAATCCCCCTAGCCAAATTGCTACACCTGTGGGTAAATACCGATTCAAATGCTCAAGATAAAAGTAGAAAAATGGTAGCAAATGAAGAACTGTTCAGAATTTTACAATATTTACCCCAGTTAGATATGGCACACGGTACACACAAATTGAAACATTATCGTTTGCGGCAATTTTGACCACAACACCAAAACAAAACGCAAATTATGTCGTATTACGCTGGTGGTGGACTCATAAATTATAGTTTGAGTATTGATGTCGCATTCCTATGTATGATAGACACATTATAGGAAAATTGTACCTCTTTGTGGTCGCGCAATATGTACTGATTCGTTTTTTTTAGTTGTTGTTGTATTATTTGTTCATTTTCGTTGGCTTTACCCATTTTGATGGTTATCAATGTGACAATAAACTGAATGTAAAGCTATAGTTTGGTATAGAACATGGTCGTTGTCGTTGTGGTTGACGTGGCTGTCGACGCCGCCGTTCTCGAGTCCATGGCATTATTAAACGATTTTCCTCGCCGTATATGCCATGCACTTGGATAAATTTATCGATTTTTTTTTCATTTCACAGTTCTGTTTGTTTTTCCCATTTTCATTTTCATGTTTGATTCATTTTCCACGGCTCAACTAAATAATAACGTTGTTCTGACTTCAATAAAACTCTCTGTCTCTCTCGTTCAACTATTAAAGGTCAACTTGAGCGTGTGTATTTCGGTATTTTTCGTGTGTTTCGCTATGTGTTTGAGGCAAAAGTGAACACACGAAAGACGAAATAAACAGATCAACTCATGACGATTATTACACGAAGCAAAGCGTCGCAGTTCTCATGCGAGCGCACTCATTGTTGTTGGCACAGTGTACACCATTTGGAAAAATTGAATGTGTGCGTACTTGGTGGCCTTTAGGATGATGACTTTGCCAATGCAATGGAATTTTAAAACATGGAACAGTTTTTGAATGCCTGCCATCAACCTTAAAACTTGCTAGCCATCAATGAAAGTTACGCGAGAAAATTGCGCAAAAGGAAGCAAAATAACACGAGCAAACAGTGTTTGAGCTGTTGCAGATGTGATACAGGATGAACATTGAACAAATTGTTTGCATGCATTTCACGCGTAATTTTATCGCTTACAGTATCGATTTAAACCATGTTAATCAATGGATGATTTATGCGAAAATGATGCAATTAAAAAAAGTGCAGCTTTTTCGTGACTAGCCTCCTAGAACAAATTGACGTGCCGTAAACTGATAAAGATATAGAATTCGAGACGAATGGAATTGTATAGAGAGCATTGCCAATGCAATAATCATTATTATCAGTCGATTTTTTCGGATCAGTCTGTTTTTTTGCGCCATTTCATTTGAAACTGGCACTATCAGAACTTTCGCCATAATTCACTTTTTGTTCAAATATATGAATAGTTAAGAATTAATAGTGTGTACATTGACCATTATCGCGTCTATGCGATATTTTTGTTTTGTTGTTTTCGATTAAAGTCAATAATCACACTATATATCAAGCAAAAGCATATTTTTCTGCTAAAATAAAGCGAATGACTCATGTCCTCGAATCTTTCGAGTGTTTTTATTATCGACGATCACACCAGAAACATCCAATGATTCTAATTTCATGGAATGCCCATTAGTCAGTCAATATTTTTACGATCCGTATATTTACGTTGACTTGATCTCTTTTTTCTCCTCGTCTTCGTCTTCGTCTTCTTGACGATAAATTTCTATTTATAACATCGATGTGGATAGCTTCAATCCATATTTAAACGTATGATTTGCATACATCAGCCTGAATTACGATCGACTGATTACTTTGAATCATGCATTTTGTACAGTTTACATTTTCATCAGAGATTATTCGCTGAAAATATGAAAAAAATATCATCGCATTCGCCGTGGTATTCGACGTTTTCTTGTGAAAATAAAATGGATTCGATCGCACAAGTATCGTTAATCGCCATTAAAGCAATTGTTGATAAAATTGTCGTCGTGAGTTTTTGTTCCAATAAAAATTGGAAAAGTTTGTTATGACGCATCGGTTTCACAACGATTAAGTTTCAACAAACTCCAGGAATGGATCGGCTTTAGTTCAAACGAAAACACGATAAGATATGGAAACATGCAAAAGGTATTAACGGTATTAATAACCAGTCCCAACGCAATGAGGCTTGTGGAACAATAATTTGCCGCCCTGCCACCCTGCTCCCAAATAAATCACAATTCCTTGCGAAATTGGAGATATTCTGTTTTTGACTTTCAATCGAAGATTACCAATGAAAAATTCATGGCGAATTTAATGAAAATGCGAACGCAATGGTCATTTTATTGTTCAACATGAATGAATCGCACACTTGCGTCCATTATTCGTGAAATGCTAAATCAATGTAATTGATTTAGTTTAGACCACAAGTGCGTAAGCGCGGCGAAACTAGCAACTACATTAGCAATGACATAACATCACACAGTTATATTTATATTATGTCAATATAATATAATAGAGCAAATGTGATTTTCATGTAAGTTCAACATTTGAACATTAAACATGACATCGCAGATTTATTGGCTCACTTTGAAACCGAAGCAACTTTGAAAATTGGTGACAAATTGTCACTGACAATCAAGTATTTTGCATACATGGGAAGCTCCCATTGGGAACTCCTCCATTTTCAGCAACTTTGCCAAATTTTTTATTATAATTACTCAACAGTTTGTTGACAACAATTTCCGAGAACACTAAAAAAATTGTATTCGCTAATATATGTGCGTTGCGTTTTCTTCTGGATTCGTAGCGTGGTTTTACTATCGATTGCCACATATCTAGTATTTATTCAATCTTATCAGTTGTTTAGTCACATCTTGCGACTCAGGTACAAACATCAATATCAAGATACGACAAGAGTCGAGGTTTATTTTCTTCGATAAAAAAAGTGAGCGGTATGAATGGTATGTGTAAACGAGTTTCCGTCTCACACAAAGCGCAAAAAAAGAAGAACCATTGAGCGCTAGGGGCCTCCGCCAATTTCCATATTTAAAATATGAACAAATAATATGAATTTGTTTATGTTTCAACATATTAAACAGATATGTATGCATAATTTAAATTTTGCTCAATTTTGTTCAATAAACCGACTGTCAGCAGAACCATGTCTAATCTGTTGACTTCATTATCGCTTCAAAAATTCTGGAAGTGGGTTTTGATGGATCCTCAGGATTGTTCAAACCCAATCTGATCCATCCTGAAGATCCACCAAAACCCACTTCCAGAACCGGGAGCAGTTTTGAACGATCCTGAGGATCCACCAAAACCCACTTCCAGAACATATTGTTCAAGGTGAATATGAACAATAACAACGCATTCGGGAAATAATACAAAATATTTGGAATCTAGCTTGAATTTTACATGATTTAAATAATACAAATAGATTTTGCTAAATAAAATTTGGCGTGAATCCCCTAGATTGAGCGTTGTATGAATATATTAGCAAGTTCTTCCAAATGAATTGTTTATTTCGACAAAAGGAACAACGAATAAAAATAAATGAAAAAAATGAACTCATGATTCAGTGACAGAAAAACACACGAAACGCATTACACCTGAATCGCGATGGAATGACATTTTTGTGGTTGTTAAGGTCGAATTGTCGGTCGTTCGTCATCGACTGTTGCCCATATACTCATAAATATATTTATTCCATCATAATGTGTTAAAAAACGTGTTCTCAAACCGATTTTATTAAATTGTCACGGCGCTACTAACATTTATTGCGTGCGACTTTCAATTGAAGTCGGCAACAAGCGTGAAATTGACAATGATATTTGCCGTTTTGAACTTTGTTTATCAGCTTTAGTTTGCCGATCTGTTATTAATTTTAAACATTCAGTTTTTTTTAAATTCGTTTTAATTGCATCTTTTTTTTCAGATAATCAACGGTTATGATGATAGTAATATTGAACACTGTGTGTGGTATGGTGTGTGCAAAACTGATCCGTTGACGCAGCACAAGCTGTACTGCAGCAATAATGACACAGCCAAGCGATTACCAACGGATGGCCAACGTCTGTTGCGACATTATTGTTCTCATTTAGTACACGGTGAAACCGATACATTCACATGCTGTGATGGCGAACAGGTAAAATATATTTTCTACAATTAGCAGTGGGTGTCGATTTATCGCAAAATCGCACATCCGTTAAACAATTTTGCGAGATTGCATTCCATAACAATTATGTAAGGTATTCGAGCAATGAATCACAAAGTGCGTTTGCGTTATCTTTGTGCGCCGCGAAACTTTTCGAATCAAAAATCAGCTCCAAATCTTTACAATCTTGATGAATTCTCAGTTAATTAAAAGCAAATTAAAAAATAAGAAAAGAAATTGATCGACCGAAATTAGCATAAACGAACAAGGCACGCAAGAGGTCAAATTTAATTGCCAATTGAACCAAATGAATCTTCAATTGAACCTCTGTCGTTCATATTTGAGCTTTTTCTTGTAAGTTTTCCCGCACAAACGAGTTTCAATCAAATGTAGGTCCATTTTTCTAGTTGATAGTCGGTGAAACCATACAATTCACTGGTCACACTTACACAGAAGGCCAAAAAAGCCTTTAGTCCAATCTGATAAAATTAGAAATATTTAAGTTTGTGTCTTCATTTTTGTTTTATGCATTAAGTGATTTTATTTAATTCAAGGAGACAATCACATTTGTTTTCTTTTTCTCTGTCTCTCCTTTGTCCCGCAGATCGATGTAATCAATAAGAATATCAAATTAGCAGCGAATTTTCTACAAAGATGTCCGTCGTGCTTTAGTAATTTTGTACGACAAATATGCGATATGACATGTAGTCCAAAGCAATCGCAGTTCATGCGAATTCAGGGAATTGAGCAAGGAGCAAAAGGTAAGTCATCGCTTATGCATGAAACAGACCAAATCCGCCGTAATGAATTCAAATGAAAATATTCACGTGGAAAATCTCTCGTTTCGCTTCTCTCAATTCATTCTCATTAAGATTTCAAATTATTTATTTTCGAAGAAAAGTTGGCACACCTTTGTTTCATTCAATGAAAATAAAAAACTTTGATTCAATGCAAAATGATGTGGAGTTTCGAAAGGAAAAGAAAACCTTACTTGAAATTCGATAAAAAAACGTGAATCTGCTTTCGAATTCAATGACTTCGGGCTGTTCAAAAGCCAACATCTCTCCTCGTTCCATATTCACTGAATTATTCATTCGATTCGGGGTGTGAGATTTCACAAAATCCATCACATTTTCTATTACCAATTCGAATTACGTAGCCACTTATTTGGCTGCGGTTCATGTACCTTCATTGCTTTCGTCGCCGTTTTTTTTCCGATGGCATCCGGTCCAATTATTTGCATGCTCGTTGTTACACAAAGGGGTCGGACATACGATTCCATATTTTATTCAAATATAAAATTTCAAATATATTTTATGTGATTTCTTTCATTGTTTATTCCTGTCGAAAACTCTAGGTCCAATCGTGACGGGTGTCGACATTTCAATAACCGAAAGATTCCTGAATGAAACTTTCCGGTCATGCTCTCAGGTAACGTATTTACGAAATGTTTCATTGAATAGAATTAACTTCATTACTCGATGGAGATTTAATAATAATTTGCCGTTTATATTTATATAGGTCATCGTTCCTTCAACTGGGAAACTGGCGTTGGATATGATGTGCGGCGAATGGGGTGCTTCGCGTTGTAGTCCAAAGAAATGGTTTGATTTTATGGGTGATGCTTCTGATAATAACCCATATGTTCCATTTCAAATCACTTATATTACCGATCCAATTCCGGGTTATACTCAGCTAGATCCACCTACTGTACCGTGCAATAAGGCTGTTAACGTGAGTTTTAATTCGATTTAGGATAATAAAAAAATAACGGACCATTCTAAAAAATTTCGCGTGTTTTGGACAATTCCAGAATAAGACGTTACCATGTGCATGTGTTGATTGTGAACAATCTTGCCCGAAGCCATCGCCGTTGCCGCCGCCACCAAAACCATTCACAATATTCGGCCTGGATGGATACAAAGTGTTCATGGCCGCATTGTTCGTTGTTTTTTCAGCACTATTTTTAATCGGCGTTTGCCTTTATCCAAGTAAATCCATGGATGGTAAGTTATTCCGTAACATTGCTTTTATGTCTACATGTAAACGGTCTATGAATAACCGAAGCAGAAGAAGAAAACAAAGTGTTGACCCAAAGTGGTCCAATTATTCTTATATCATATGCAAAGAATTGATGCAGACATCATTACTAGAGAAAACTGCTCGAATGCAAGCTACGAATTTCAAAATCTTTGTGTTCTTCGGATCATTTGTACGCAAAAAAATGTTTATAACATAGACAAGTACAGTCAGAATATCCCCAATTCAATCGTAACATAATTATGATGAACAAACCGGAAATGGTCTTTTTCAAGTCAATTTCGTAAATTAATCTATTCATTAAATGGGTCAATGGATTGTTAATTTCCTTTTCAATGTCTCATCAGACATATTATCGATCTTTTCACACTGGTGTATGGTAGCTTTCATCTTCTTTTCTAATCTAATTTTTTATCTTAATCTTAACTCTTTTGGTTTTTGCAATTAATCGATAATGATACTTGATGGCACTCGGCACATTTGAAACAAAAAAAAATCACACAAAACAAATTCCTTTACACTTCGCAATCGTGTGTGTAGCGGGTTTGGTTCGGATAGACTGCGTTCATGGTGAGATAAATTCAAATTCGGATCGGCGGTTAGGAAGAAATGGACCACAATGTCAACCATGCGACGCAGATGCAATTGACAGTGAAGACTCGCCATTACAGTCAAAACGTTCGAGTAGGTTTTCGACATATTATTCTAGATTGTATTAAAGTTTTTAAGTTTTTTTTCCACTTCTTTGGTACACGTGAATATTACGCATTAAATCGTAAATGACATTTAAATTATGACGGAAATGCCATTACACTATCCATCGTATGATCAAAGAAAAACATTGGGTATTTGTTTTCGAATGCATGCAAAGCAATCATTATTATCATGATAAAGATCCTTTGCGAACCTGGACACTGAGTAATCAAACCCAGTGACCAGTTCAAATCATATCATCAATCGCTTTTATTGACTTTTTTGGGGGGAAAGTAATTTTGGAGGAAAAAAAATCACAGTCATCACCACATTGCTTTCGATTTCACGGTTATCACAATGAAATGTTACAACTTATCTTGTTTGATTTTATGTGCACGGAATCTGTTTATCATTTTGCTTCTCACCATTTTGTGGGGGAGGGGGGGCTTTGAATCTTATAAATATTCGTTTTGTGTTTTAAATGACCTTGGAAAAAAAAACCAACAAAAAAATGTAAATAACTGCTTCGTAATATATAATGAGTACCTATCATGATGCGGCTATTGTTATATCTACGGTTCATGAAAATCATTTATCAACAAATCAATACGAGCGTGTCGGTAGCTTCAAAAAGAAAAAAAATAACAACAGCATGTGTTGACTTTAACTTAATCACTCAAAAATGATTTGTACGTCTATCATTTTTGTGTTTTGTTTTAAGCCGCAATTCGTCTGATTTAGTTTACCGTAAACGCTGACATATTTGATAAACCTTCAAGTGCAAAAATTCGATTTATCATTCAATTGATGGATAGTGTTGTTGTTTAAAATAAATCCGCTTCATTTCTTTGGGGTAATATTAATCTAATAATCTAGCTTTAGACGGGGATGGTGGGGTTTATCATTAGATCCCTTAAACACGTTTGTACATGTGTACATTGCGTGATATATTCGCATGCTTTACATTTATTTAAACGTTGAACAATTTCAGCAATGCTTTGTATTTGCGTCTTCATTTCGTATGTTCTCTTTATATTGTACTCGCGTTAGCTTCACCGGTAAACTAGTTGCTCATCTGGATTGTTAATTTCAGGTGGAACATGGGAAGGTGACCCAGATCTTGATAGGCACCAGAACAATGGAATGGGAAGTGATGAAGCTGATAGTGGATACTTTGAGCGGCTGGGAGCGCATACGGAAATCTTTTTCGAAAAATGCTTCACAGCATGGGGTACATGGTGTGCCAATAATCCATGGCTGGTTCTGTTCATAGGTAAAGACAGGTTAATAACCATTTTATCAACAATTTACTCACAACTTTACTCATTCGACGCAGGTTTCTGCTTTGTTTGTGCGATGGGACATGGCATAAAGTATCTGAAAATCACAACCGATCCGGTCGAACTATGGGCAGCGCCCAATTCACGTTCACGTATCGAACGCGAATTTTTCGATTCTAATTTTGAACCATTCTATCGAATTGAACAGGTTGGTGCTATGTCCAAAATTAATTTCAATTGCGTAAATATGAAGTGAATAATTCTTTTTTTTTAAAACAGATTATAATTAAAGCAAATTTACCTAATTTCACCTATGATACATCGAATGGGCCCATTCAATTCGGACCAGCATTCAATAAAACGTTTTTACTCGAAGTGTTTGAGCTACAAAATAGCATTAAAAGTGAGTTCAATTTTTCGAAAATCTATCGAATATCACTGTTCAATATCCAATACTTTATTTTCTATTTTCCACCAAAATTATAGTGCTGGGTGAAGGGACCAATCACAGTTTGGAGAAGATTTGTTTTGCACCATTGAGTTCTGAATTCACGGGACCAGTCAAACCGGCCGATTGTGTTGTACAATCGATTTGGGGCTATTTCCAAGATGACAAGGTGAAATTTGAAGAAGAAGATGTCGACAGCAAAGGTTTCAACATTACGTACTTGGATACGTTGATGAAGTGCTTTGGAAATTCATTCGATCCTGAATGTTTAGCTCAGTACGGTGGTCCAATTGATCCGGCCATTGCACTCGGCGGATTCCTAGAAAGCGGTCAATCACTCAGTGGAACGACCGATTACAACAAAGCAAACGTTGTTATTTTAACATTTTTGGTGAATAATTATCACAAAAAGGAGCGCTTAGAGCCGGCCAAAAAGTGGGAAGCATTGTACGTTGAATTTATGAAAGATTGGGTGAAACACAACAAATCAAAACACATCGATATCGCATTCTCATCAGAAAGATCGATTGAAGATGAACTGTTGCGTGAATCAAAATCGGACATTTCAACCATTATCGTGTCATATCTGATAATGTTTGTGTACATTGCAATTGCGTTGGGTCATGTTGAACTCGAGCGATACAGTCGCATTTTGATTGACAGTAAAATTACACTGGGAATCGGTGGTGTGGTGATTGTACTGGCGTCGGTGGTTTCATCGGTGGGAATGTTCGGATTCATTGGTTTACCAGCTACGCTAATCATCGTTGAAGTAATTCCATTCTTGGTACTCGCTGTTGGTGTCGACAATATATTCATTCTGGTTCAAACACATCAGCGTGACGCAAAGCGACCGAATGAGTCACATGCCGATCACGTTGGACGAATTCTGGGAAAAGTGGGACCATCAATGCTTCTAACATCGGTCAGCGAAAGTTGTTGCTTCTTCCTGGGTGGGCTGTCAGATATGCCTGCTGTTAAGGCTTTTGCACTGTACGCTGGAATGGCGCTAATCATTGATTTCGTACTGCAAATCACATGTTTTGTGAGCCTTTTGGCCTTGGATACGGTGCGCCAAGCGGAGAATCGTTATGATATTTTATGCTTTATTCGCGGCAAGCGTGATGACGTGATGACAGTGATGGAAGGAACCTTATTCAAATTTTTCAAATTAATTTATGTGCCTTTCTTGATGCAAAACACCGTTCGAACCGTTGTGATGATTGTATTTTTCGGATGGTTGTGCTCGAGCATAGCCGTCGCACCGCACATCGATGTCGGTCTCGACCAAGAACTCTCCATGCCCGAAGATAGTTTCGTTTTGAAATACTTCCAGTTCATCAAGAAGTACTTAAGCATTGGACCGCCCGTTTACTTTGTTGCAACCGGTCTGAATTACACAAATACAAAGGATCAAAACCTAATTTGCGGCGGACAATACTGTAATGATGACAGTCTATCGACGCAACTGTTTATCGCGAGTAAATCGCCAAACTACACGTACATTGCGCGCCCTCCGTCATCTTGGCTAGATGACTATTTTGACTGGACGGGTTCGCAAACATGCTGTCGCTACTTCCCAAATAATGAAAGCTTCTGTCCACATTCAGGTATGATTTTCATGTGATTTTATTCCGAATCTTCCCATAAATTGATGTGACATTTTTATTCTTTTATTTTCATTCAGATATGGAATGTTTGTCCTGTAACATCAAGTTGGAATCAAATCAACGACCCAATTCTAGTGCATTCGAACACTACTTGCCGTTCTTTTTGCAAGACAATCCAGACGAAGAATGCGCCAAAGGTGGGCATGCCGCCTACTCGAATGCTGTCAACTATCACACAACAAAACTCAATCACACGGATGTTGTAGCATCGTATTTTATGTCCTATCACACAATTTTGAAGACTTCATCCGACTATTATGAAGCGCTGCGTGGTGCCCGCAAAGTGTCATACAACATAACACAAATGATCAAAGCAAATCTACGCTTGAGCGGCGTCACCGAAAGTGAAATAGCCAAAGTGAATGTGTTCCCCTACTCAGTTTTTTACGTATTTTATGAACAATACCTAACAATGTGGCCAGACACCATACAAAGCATGGGTTATTCAGTGCTTGCCATTTTCATCGTAACCTTCGTTCTGATGGGCTTTGACATTCATTCATCGATTGTTGTTATCATCACTATTACGATGATTGTCATTAACTTGGGTGGCCTCATGTACTTCTGGAACATTTCGCTGAATGCTGTGTCATTGGTCAATTTGGTCATGGCTGTCGGTATTTCAGTCGAATTCTGTTCACATCTCGTCCATTCGTTCGCCGTTTCGATGGAAGAGACGCGAGTACGACGTGCTGCTGATTCACTAACCAAAATGGGCAGTTCCATTTTCTCTGGCATTACATTGACCAAATTCGCTGGAATTCTGGTGCTAGGACTGGCAAAAAGCCAAATTTTCAAAGTTTTTTATTTCCGAATGTACCTGGGAATCGTACTATTTGGCGCTGCACATGGTTTGATATTCCTGCCAGTTCTTCTTAGCTTTATTGGTAAGTGACTGTCCTCCTTTCCATTGGTTTTTATTGTTCATTGCAATCACTAGCAATTTTTATACACGAAGCTTTGACCAAATTGGTTATGGTTCTATTGACATGTGGTCTATGGAGGCATTTTTAATCCACGCATTTTTCATTTTGTCAAATGAAGTAATACATACGTATAAGTTACATCATTTTCTGCATTTGAAAACAAAGTCAAAGTGAGAGATACGCCGACTAAACGATGTCTAAACAATCGAGACATTAAAACAACATCATTGTATCTGTCATTCATTGTGTCTTATATAGGTGCTCCTATTAATAAGGTGAAATTGGCGAAATATCGACGACAAGATTTTCAAGTTCATGAAACAACACTGTCAACAAATGTAAGCAAACCGTCGATTTGGAAACTTAGTCCAACTTTATCAATTCAACTTTCGCTCTTCTTTTGTTTGCTTTTTTCTGTGTTTATTTTTTTTCTTTTTGGATTTTATTTTTATTGGAAGCACAATTGCTTGTTGCACATACATTTAGATTTTTTTTGTTTAACTTTCTGTGAGTTTGCTTATTCCACTGATTTATGTACGATAGCTCTTTTTCCATGTGTTCTGGTATTCATGTACATGTTGACGCATGTCAAAATTCACCGATTGAATTTATTTACGAAATTACCTTCATTTACACTTGCAAAAACTGCATTGAATATCAGAACTACTGGCCGCTACTATTTGATTTTGTACATTTTTATGTTTATTCACATTTGATCAATTTGTGCATTTTTTTCTGATTACACAGGCTAGGGTGGGTCGATTTAACAGCTTCATAGATATCAACGATGGTCAGTGCGGCATCGTTAGCTTATGTCCAGAAGAACTGGTTTTTCTTGGGATTTTTCTTTTCGAGACGTTGGTACCGTGAATGGAAAATCACATTCTTGTGATGAAGACCTATCACCAATTTTATGCTCTAGCAAAAATATATGTTCCATGCAGTTTTGAGCGACCAAAAATTGGATTTTTCTAGCATTTTCAGTCAATCCATACTACCTTGACCGTCGAAAAGTGATAAACTGCGAACTGTAAGGCTTAGAGTCTAAGTCAGTTGACGTCGTCAACCCCAGATTTTTGGAAGAGCATTGGAGATAAATCCTTCACAATACTGTGATGCACAATTTAGGGCAGTTTTCGAGAGAAAACTCGCACGACAAAAAATGTAACTCTGAAAATAATCTAACGATCCCGCTTTAGCAATCTACGATATCTACGTAATTGCCTCACCCTATCACACACTACACACCAAAACCTATTTCACAAAAATTACAATTTTCAATCTTAAGATATTCGAGTAAATCGACATTATTATCATTCAAGATTTTAGTACCGGAAATGCTGTAAGCATATGTTGATGTTTGTGAAATGGGCAGCCGATGGATTCAAAATAGAATTTTATGATATTTTGGTCACATCACACGTTTTTTCCTTGTGTTTTTTGTCCACAAAATTTGTGTTAATATGTAAACGTATATGTTATTCGTTGTTATCAAGATTCCCCGTTAATAATCGATTGTTGTTTTCGTTAATTTAGGCGTGATGCGAAACAAACGACGTAATAATACTTACGTCATCAACCATCCCCTCAACATCGACGTTTCATCCAATGCAAGCCTTTCAAATTCGCTTGCACAATCTAATGCCACAAACAATTATGTGTCATCGTCGACTGCAATCTCGTCATCAATGTCCGAACGACCAACCCACGGATCTTTGAAATCTGTAAATTCGCTGGACGACAATCATCGATCACACGAGCTACCACATAAAATGCAACGTTCCCAATATTCGCAAAATTCAATCGATCTACCGCCGACAACCGATTCATCGACCACTGACCTTGTAACCCGAACGTGAAATGTAAATAGTATTAGAGATATAAATAGATAGCATCAGACAGAGTGCATCGCTCCGACTTCCTCTATATGTGTTTCTTTTTCTTTGTTTTGTTTTGTTTTGTTTTATCGTTGCCATGTATTTATGGATGAGAATCGAGAGCATAGATGCACTTGTCAAAGAGCGACGATTTTATCAAATGCTATTTATAAATCATTTGGAGATAAGTTTTCACAAGTTTTTGAAGTTAAGCGAAGAAGAGGAAGACATAAAAAATCATATTCGATAAATTTAAGATTTTGTGCGGAAAATTAAAAGATTATTGACAACGAAACAAAACAAAAGAAAAACATTGAGAAGTAACAACAACAAAAAAAATAATCTACAAAAGACATCAAAAACTAATTGCTTGTCACATCATCTTTTCATTTCAACTATTCTTCAATAGTTCTTCTCATTTGAAACGAGGAAACGCCTTATTTACTCTAAACATATTGAATAATGCGATTCGAACAATTTGCTTGCATCTGTTCGACAAAACAAATTCAATAAATTATTATTATCATTATTATTATTACTATTCAAAATTCGATTTTCAAAAAAAAAAAAAAAAATCATCATCAAACGCGCTGTGCAAGATGAAAATAATTTCTTCTAAGATCTTTTTTATTCCTTCATTCTGATATTTTGTTCGTCCTTCACATTGCCATTTGATTTGCTGTATTTTTAGCATGCTATTTTTATTACATACCGGAAATTTGCACACAAAGCAAACCAATTTATTTCACCAACATCTGCTGAAACCACTAAATCTATTATTTATTAGTTTTTTTTTCGCATCTCTTGAACATTTTTCAACAGCCCGATTGACAGTTTGCAACTCTCGTTCAATAAATTAAAATACTAGAATACGTCACGCGTGACGGAAACACCACACAAACTTTCGTGGAAAGTTAAAATTAATGTGAAATGCTGAAAGATTTTAAACTCGAAAAAAACTACATATAAATACAGAATATGATGATACTTATTTCATGTATTTTAGAGAAAACAAAATACACACAACAACGGAGTGCCTTCAAATTGCTTTTTTAGATTATTCTTAGAACATTAACTGAAAACATAAAAAAAAAGAAAAAGAAGAATGGGTCCGGAAAAAGTTTAATATGTATAAATGGAAACTCCTCTACTTAAATCTCTCATCGGAGTTTCCCATACCACATACATGAGACATATATTCATTTAATGAAATAATCAAAGGCTTCTTCATTCAGCTGTTTGTCGTCTTTTGAAGACGTGCAAAAGGCTGGAGCTCTTTCTTAATCCGATTAGTTGTTGTTGATTGAAAAAATATATTCAAAATTTGAGCGTTGATGGAGAGTTTTGTTTTTGGTTTTCATTTTTTGTTTTTCGAATGAAAATAGATATGCATTTTTAGGGCAAGGAATTCAAAAAGGAGAGAAAAAAAATACACAGGAACAAGTTGGCAGTGGAACAAATTTGAATAATAAGTTTAGGTTAAAACATTAATGTATTGCGTTGGCTTTTTAGCATCACTAAAACATTAAAATTGTCAAAATGAATTCATCCATTTGTGCATTCCACATGTAGAACATTCTTTTGGGACTGATTAAAATTGTCATTTAATGTTTCGCCATTTCGCTTTTTTTTCACTTTTCGGCTTGAGTACTTTTGTTCAACTCGTAAGCTACCGTAAAACGAAACGAAATCAAACGAGTATTTTTCTGTTCTCATTTTAGTGCAATTTATTAGTAAGTTTGTGTACGAACGAGTGCATCAAATATCCGACGTGTTTGGTTCAAATGAACATCGTGTGTTTGCACCGTTGAAATTTGATGAATACGAGAAAATAAATGTATTGAGATGCAACTCAATTTATGGATGGTGGATATTACAATTGCGTGAATAAACAGACAAAAATATGTTTTCAGTATTACGTCCTTTATTTATGCCTTAGTTGAACCATCGTTTGTGAACTGAACTGAAGCGATTATAAAAGTTGCGTAAATTTTATTTTGTTTCGGATGCGGATTTTTTTTTATTCTGGATATACGATGACATTTCGGCTCAAATGCAATCAAATGATTTCATAAAAAGTCACAAGTAGAAATATGCATTTTTTTTTCAAAATTTTGCCTCATATTATTATTATCTAATGATTACATGGAATTTAATCAATGGCTTCGGTATATTTTAAAGGGATTCTATCAAAATTTTAAGGTTTTGCCACTTTTTTGTGATGTCTACTAATCGCAAGATTTAAACAAAACAAAAACAAAGTTAGTATTATTAGCATAATGAAATTCACCATTGTCGCTATTTATAAATACAAACAATGCAACAACCACAACCACAACAATGAGAATAAAACCAACTGTAAAAATAAACCAATAAATGCATAATGTAATTGAAGAACAAGTCGTTCTTTTTATATTAAAAAGGGAAAAAAAATGCAAGAGCAATTAACAAAATAGACTGGCCAGGTCTCTAAACACTTCGTTATTTGCTTGAATGTCCTTTGTAGACGAAGCATATGTAATATATGCTTAAAAATCAAAGAATTTAGTTTATGTGCAACAAATTAGTATAGAACAATATAAAATTTATAGTGAAAAACAAACCAAACAATACAAGTTAAATACGTTGACAAACAGGATAAATTTTAAATATGTATAAAATCTATATTTTCAAAACAGAGAGAGAAAAATAAAAACCAACAAATTTGCTGAAAATAATCAATAAAAGACGCTAATAGTTTTATATACCCTGAGAATGACATGACGATATATAGAGTCAATGGAATCGTTTTCATGTTAAGGCCATAAAAATTATTTTTCTGTTTTCCGATATATATTTTTCCCCTCAGTAATAAACTACCGACAACAACTACAAAATAAAGAAGAAATAAATACGGCTGTTAAACGAAAAGGATAGAAAAATGAAATATTTATGGAAAATGTATTACGAGAGTGTTTATAAAACGTGAACTATGGAATTTATTCATCGAATTGTTTTTTTTTGTTGGCAAAGAGTGGAGAAATGTGTTGAAAACGAATATTTAAAAAAAGAAAAAAAAGTATATATAATGATGTAATAGAACTTATACATGGAAACAAAAGTGGAGAAAAAAATCTAAATAAAAAAAGGTATATTTATGTAAATTGTACGCGAGCCTTTCGATTATTTTATTTGTTTATCGCTGATTTCAGGTGAATGCGCGACGTTGGACACATGTAGTACGAACAAAAAATATAAGAAAAGGTAATGTCGAAAATCGATGCTTTATTAAAATACAATAGGAGCGAGTGAAAGAAATTATTTGAGCGACAACAAAATTCGCGAATTAAAAAAAAAAGAATTCGCCTTGTGGCGGCACTTACGGTGTCAATTTTTTGTTTATTTTCACTAATTCCTTGCATTTTCGCAGACACTAAACAATGCCACGTATTTTTTCTATGCACATTGTTCCCTTTTGTTTTAAAACTATTCGATTATGGCAACAAGCATTGTTTGTCGCTACTCTATATCGTTTTTTTTTTCTCTTTGCTTTCTATATTCAAGCCAGAACTAGTTGAAAATAAACACAAGAGACAAGATCACATATTCATATCAAATTGGCTTCTGACCAATTTATGTATGCAATGACTAAGAAGAGAGACCGTACGAAACCTCAAATGAGCATACCGATTTGGGCGTATGTGTCAATTGCAACAATTGTGCTCGTGAAAACGAAAAAAAAGTGACAATTCGAATATAAAACTCTGAACAGAAAAGAAGAAGAAGAAGAAACAGAAGCCGAAGGGAAAAAAAGACAAAAGCAATAGCACCGCAAAATATTGAAAATAGCCTGCTCTCGGTTGGTTGGGTGGCTCGATTTTCAAGATTTTAGCCCCACTGAATTAGATGTTTATTTAGACGGTTCGCTTCGAACAATTATTTCAAATAGCAAACAAAGCTGCAGACAGCGAGCAAAACGCAGAAAATACAAAATATGTGGCTAATGCCATGCTATTTAATCAATTCGAAAATCTCACCGCTCGTTCCGTTTTCATTTTCATGGTCTTCATTGCAATCATTTCGTTCACTTGCTAGAAAACACCGAACACTTTTTCAATGTTTAAGTGACGTCAATCAATATGAAACCATTTTTTTCTCTCTTCTTCGCTTTCGCTTGAGTTTTTCGTTCGTTCGCTGTGTTCGGGGAGGGAAAAAAAGGTCTATTTGAATGTAAAATTACTGAAATTCACTGCTTTTCATTTACTTGCATTTCAATTTAGACCGACCGACAATTTCGAATGTCTAACGTTTTGATGAAACATAACATTTTGATCAGATTTGTTGTCGTTGCTACAATTGTCATTCACGTTTCACTATGCTTTTGTGGCTAGGCATTTGGTGCAATCAAGAGACGCACAAAGGGGCACGCATCAGAAATGAACACCCAGAAGCCGCAAATTGTTGAAGGGATTTTCGGCTTTTCTTTTTTGGATGTACCACTGCTTTCGCTCCCACTCTCAATACAATGTAAGATGATGAAGAAAGCTGTGCTAATGCTCAGGGTTCATATTTTTTTTTCACTTCAACGTTATTAAATCGCCTATAAACAGTAAATAGCATAATTGCCGGTCCCTATTAACCTCGCCAAGCGTACAATTTCAACTAACGAATCCGTGGCCAAGTGAAATTTAATGGCCGGTGGGTCCAATCGGTGACGAACGCAAAACGTGATACTTGTTGATTAAATGTACGACTCTCTTTCGACTAAAGGCTGGATTGCCTATGCCTACCGGAGAAAAAAAGTGCCAATGAACATTTCATCAAACATTCTTTCGTCTAATTCCCTCTCTGACCGCAATCCAAATACTAACCATTACCTATAGCTGTGGAGGCGTATTCACCTGAAACATTATTATGTGTACAATGTACACATTTCGACGGTGCTGTTAATTAATCGTAGTACTGGGACCGGTGTACTTTTTAGCGTGACACAAGACTAGCAGTTCGTGTTTATCGTAAATCGGCCGAGTCGAAATCGGATTCATGACCCAATTCAATTCCGTGTGTCGATTCAAGTTCAATTTTACATTAGTAACTTTTCGATTTTTATCGAATCGAAATCGATCGAATGAATGGTTTTCCCTCCAATTTTCTGATTATCAAACGCGGTCGTCATTAAACATTTGAATAACGCTATTAAAGCCAGACCAAGTCCTATGATTGGAGGAGTAGAGTAATAATTATTTTTCATAACCGCTGTATTCACGACCCCACGAACTATTCTTGGTGGGGACCGTTCAGCCGTAAGATATATTTATTTAGGATGGGAAAAATAATTGTATTCATTATTTCAAACAGAAAATCCGTTTGAAATTAACGATGGTACGAATTCAAATAAAGCATTCTATCTCTACGAATGTTTCTATCTCCCTTGCTTACCAAACTGTAAATTATACTAGATTTTAGCAAATGCTTTGCGATTTATGCTCGAATCGTTTTAAACATACATCTCATTTTACCGTCCTTGTACGGCTCCTGATGACCTCGTCCATATCAACTGTCAAATATATCTTTCTGTCGGCAATCAATGATCGAATGAAATCATCTTGCAATTTGATATTCCGTATAAATTGGATAAGTAGCAAATCATTATTATGCGAGTATCGTGTGCGAAATACAATCGAATGCTAAAAATAACGAATAAATTTGTTTCGAAGTGCAACAAAAAATATGCGACATAACAATAGAATGACAGTGGCCCAGTAAATAAAAGCGGAAACTTTCGTCTGCAACTCAATGCAACAGACGCAACAACAACAATAAAACAACAATTCGGTCTGTTTTCACGACCGATGTGCATTTTCAATTGAAATGATTTCTTTGAAAATGAAATGTGTAAAATATGTGACCAATGAAATAATCACATCGGAAAACTTTATTCACGACTTGTCTTGTATCTTGTATGAGATCTTTCACCATTCCATCAAATCGAATTAATATTGGCCTGATGATATATTACATGTCGTACATTTTATTACATTATTATTTGTATTATTCCAAGAATTTTCCCTGCTTGCTGTGTATGTCACTGTACGATATATAGTTTGTTTGGACATGTGTGGCACCGCGGCATCCGTCTTACACCAGCAAATGATGTGTGAACGCAAACGAGTGGAATCGAGTAATTACATATTGTTTGAAAAACCGAGAAAGAAGAAAGAAAAAAAAGTTTGGTCGTTCATTTTAAGCGTTGTCTAGGACCTATTAATGCTCCTGGGAAATTTCCTTTATATTGGCATGCGTCTGATAAAGCGACCGCATCGTCCACATCAACAAAAACAACACAAACTAAACGAACAAAAATATCGAAAGGAAAAAAAAACGAAACAAATGAAGCAACGATAAAGCTCTCATTTGCCGCAAAGATGTCGACCCGCCGCATTCGAGAAAACGTAGCAACAGTTTGTCGGTCATGCCGTTTTCCGACTGTGTTTTTTTTTCTTTCTCTCTCGTCTTCTCTGTGTGTTACTGCTCTTCTGTTCGTTGGTGTGCGGTGTCAATGGGCGAAAAATGAGGTAAATGCGAAAATTAGAAACTCGAGTGAATCGTAATTATTTTCACATGTGTGAATGTGTTGATCATAATATTAATGGACGTTACGAACTGTCGCGCTAGTAGCCAACGAACCGAACTTCTAACGTCGTAATACGATTTCACGCTTTGAAATAAAATTGTGTGTATTAGCGCGCGCATCAGGCAGCATTCGCATAAATGTGGGATATACGTAATCGTGTACACACGTTTTTTCAGGAGTGTGATTCAGAGCTAGGTTAACGCTGTGTGCCTGCGTAATCGTCTGCCGCTGATTTTTCAGTTGTGTATTTTCGCATCTGTGTGTTTATTAAGTGGATTGACATTGCCAATTTCATTACTTATATTTCCCTCGTATTTTTTTTTCTTCATCTCATTTGTTTCTTTTGTTCCTTTTGATTTTCGATTTCACCGAATCATCGCCGCAAAAATACCCCAAACGAGCTACAGGCCGAGCAAGCAAATATGCTTTATGTATCAAAACAAGCTCTCACTATTTATATAGAATGATATATGTATGTTGGTATTGTTTTAACGGATTCTCATTCTCTCTTTCTTCTTTTCTCTCTTTCTTTTGCTTGGTTTTTTTTCTCTTCTTTCCTCTTTTGCAAATCCTAAAGGCAATCGGTAGCGAAATATGAAGCGAAATTTATGTAAAATCAGAAAATTAATCGAAAAAAAGAAAATCGCACGCGACATAAGCGAAGCGAGAGAGAAAGCGCGCGCTCATTATATTTCAAACGACGCAAAGTGTGCCCGGTCCGTTACGTGTGCGAGAGGAACGACACATTAGATAGAGTACTCCTGCGCCCGAGATCCCAAGATTCCGCGCCACACGTATTTCGTTGGGTGCATGAAATTTTGAATTTCAGTTAGAAACAAAACGCGAACGAAGTCGGTCATCAAGTGTGAGCTCTCAGCGAAAGTCAATTTTTATAAAGCCCATTTCGGTTTCGCCATCCAACTCTCGTCAGTGAGCGATATTTTATTTGAATAAAATTTACAATCTTTTTTTATCACTGTCGGTACCATAAAAAATAATACTTTGTTGTTCGTACATCACGTCTCTTTCTCTTTCGGAAAACCGAAATCACGATTTGTTTGTTTTTAATCGAACCAAAGCAAATATCGATTTAATAATAATAATAATACACATCAAATCAAAATATAAATCGAAACAAGCGGAAAAGACGCGGAAGATAAAGCATACAAAAGTGAAAGAGCAACGAAAGGGAAAGAACACACTGAACGAATTAATATTTTTTTTCCTTCCTCTTCTTCTCATACTTAATTTGTAATGTAAACGACCAACAGAAAAAAAAAATTTGTCTTGTTTTTTGGTCTTCTGTTTTTCTGAATAGAATTTTGTCGATAAAAGCGGTATTTCGTGTGCTGTGTGCCAACGGTGTATTGTTCAGTTGTTGATTTTGTGGTGCATGTGGAGAATACTTGAGTTTTGAGAAAACCAAGTGATAGCAAGAAAGGGAAACCAAACAAAATTACACGGACAAGTACTATAGGCGTACTGAAGCAAAAGTAAATCGAGGCAAGGACAAAAGCAACACGATATAAAATCCGTTCGATTGAGTTAGGACAAATTATAACGTGCTTCGTTGGAATAATGGCCTATTCGTGGGACAATCGCGTTGATTTTGTGGTGCGTTATATGTACGGTAAGTGACTCAAACAATCTTTTGTCTTTACTTTCATTTTTCCATTTTTCACATTTATTTTTCATTTCGTGCGTGTTATTGAACACTCATTTCCTCTTTAAGAACAATTATTAGCTTTAAAATATACTCTTGTTGATGTTTAGCGGCGATGACATGAAGTCTGTCTATTCTATATAAATTTCAAAAGTATACATATGTTCAGAGGTGATTTCCGAACAGAATTTGTCTCTGAAAGCGAATCAAAATGAAACTCATCCAAAAGGATACGTAAAGTAAATGTTAATTAATGCCAAAATGTCGAGAGTCGAGTTTCACATAACAAAAGCAACTGAAAAATCAAACGAATCGATTTATTTTTTCGCTCGCATTTTGTTTGTTTCATTGGCCTTTTCTGCAAACAAACGAGAAAAAAAACCTGAATAAAATAACATCTGTGAGCTGGTGCTATCTCTCTCTCAGTCTCCTACATATGTTTGGGTGTCAAATAAAACGACATCAGTGCAAAATCAGCGTGTAATTACCTATATCGGCGGCTATAAATAAATATACATTTAAAATGAAACCACTACATGCGTGAGTAAATCAAAGTGACCACTGTGTGTAAAGCTGAACACTTTTTTTCGAAAGGAAAAAAAAGAAACGACAACATTCACCACGGTCTAAATTTAAGCCAAACATGTACAAATCGCACTAGGCCGTGGGACATTTGGTTGAGTTTCAATTTTGCTAATGTTCTGTAAACACTAAATTAATTAATTCATTGACAAGATCGATTTACCGCAATTTGATAGCATGTGTATAGCAAGTCCATCCATGTGCAGTATATTACGTACATATATGTACCTATATGAAAAATATTCGTTTCATTTGCGAATTTCTGTTTGATGTTTATTATTTATTGATTGGCGCCCGCAGACATTGACAACAACGGATTCTTGGATTCGAATGATTTCGAGTGCATGGCACTCCGTGCCTGTATCATCGAAGGCCGAGGAGACTGCAACCCAGCCAAACTGGCTGAATATCAGCATATAATGCGCAGCCTATGGGACGAAATCAGCGACCTAGCCGATTTCGATAAGGTACGTGAAATGAAGCACACACACACACACACATTATATTTTGTCGAATTCAATTCGATTCGATTATGAGCCATGTTATTTTTGTTACTGACATGCATGGGTTGCCATTAATTACAACCTATCTATCTTGATTGATTTGACATGTTTACGAATTGTCGACCCAATTTAAAATCGCTAGCATTGCTTCTTTTTTTATTTTTCTTTCTCTTTCTCAAATCGACCATTTATAGGATGGCAAAATCTCAACAGAAGAATTCAAACAAGCCGTTCAGAAGACATGCATAGGCAAGAAATATAGCGAGTTTCCCCAGGTAATTGATTTTCTTTTGTCAATTCGGTACGGGAGACAAATTCGGTTTCCGTGTGTGCTGTTCGAAATGTGTTTAATTAAACTCCGCCGAAATTAGCTTTCGCGTTAGTTTAGATTGGCCGTTAGATAAAACTCTATCCACACAATATCCATGCAATGGAAGTGAAGTGGTTTAAAGAGTTGATGTGATTGTAAAAAATTGATATTGTTTCAATTACAGTGAAGTGGTGTGGTTGACTGCTGTGTGTCGACAGACAGTCGCTATTTTTATGTGCATACATTTGACTTGATAGTTCCCCTGAAGCACACACACACAGACACACAAAGTTCTCAGTTCAAATCTAATTTGAATCCAACTCACTCTTTCTCTCTCTCTTTTTCTCCCCTTTTGCGGTTGCAGGCAATGAAAGCGTTCATTGAAGCCAATTTCAAATCGATAGATATCGATGGAGATGGAATTATTGGAGCCAAGGAATACCGCTATAATTGCATTACTCGCATCGCTGTTGAGAATATTCAAGTTGTTGATGACGCATTCGCCAAACTATTGGATGTAAATGTTTCTAATCCTTGGCTCATATGTTTTATTTTCGCATATTACTATATGCGAAATCCCTTTTTCCCCAGCTGTATTTATAAACGACCGTTTATTTTAAATTACAGGACGAAGATCGACGACGGGGCGGTTTGACGTTGGCTCGGTACCAAGAATTGTACGGTCACTACTTGGGCAACACAGACGAAACACATCCTGGTGTCTACCTATTCGGACCATTGAGCCTATAAATGCAATTATAAACAACAGCAAGAACACTAACACATACTTTTTCTATTAATATTCATTTATTTGGAGCCCCGTTTTTTTTCGTTTTTCTCCACAAACACACTGAAAACAAAAAAAAATTTAAATAGAAACAATATCTTCTATATCAAAAGCGGCCCTCTATCTCTGGCGTTCAGAACCAAAGAGAAGAAAAAGATAAAAAAAGACAGAAAAAAAACTTATGAAGACACAATGGAGCTGTTAATCAATTGAATTACTACGATTATTTATTTTATTTATTTTGTTTGTACCGTATATTTCTATATATTCAATTCAGCATTGATACACATCCAAGGGACGAAAATTGAAGAAAAAGTTGAAACAACGTTACTACGTGTGTCAGACCCTCGAAAACCATTTTCGATCAAATGCGACAAAGACAGAGACAACAAAACAAAACAAAAGTGATTTTACTCGATTGGTGTGTTTTTTTTTATTTAAATGTATAATAACATTCGATGTGCTACATAGCGCAGCATTGCGTGTGAGTTTTACATTCACTATACGACGTGTGTCATTTTATCAGCGGTTCATTAATTATTGAAGCTACCCATGATATACACTGTCATGACGTTCATGACTACGTCGACTACTTGCGTTGCCTGATCTAAATATCCTCGTATTGATGTTTTGAAATCGTTAAAATTATGTTGTGTCACAGTCCAATGTGGGACAAAACGTGAATTGATTTAATGTGAATGAAAAGAAAGATTATTGTTCTTGTTTCTCCTTTTTCGACGTATCTTTCTTCTTTTTCTTCTCTATTTGCGACATTTCAAAGAAGCAAATGACAAAAATCTAACATTTTATCTCTGTAGCTCAACGAGGCGAAAAAAAAGAAGAAAAAAAATTTTTTAAATCCTTCATTTGCATGAATAATTACGGATGAGAGAATTTCAAACAAAACGACAACGTAATGCCATTACATTAAATCCACACGATGAGATGTTGTTCGTTCGAGCGATTATTCATTTCCTGGAATGCGACATTGCTCATCTGAATTCTAAATTATGCCGTTTTTTTTTCTATCATTATCCGATCTCTGTATCATTGTAAGGGAAAATGAAATAAATGTTTACTTAAATAAAACCAAAAGACCGCCTTTTTACTTATTATCTTTCCAGACGGAGCACACTTGAAAAACATAATATCCAATAAGGTTTTTGCATGCTATTACGGTGTTTTCAATAACACTGTCAATAAGAATCAATTTGCCGTCTACCTTTGGCATGAAAGAAAATCAAGTGTCACAAAAGGAATCCAGTGTTGAGATGCTTTGCAAATCAAATACATGCAAACGAGTCTACAATTACAAATGCAAACGTACAGTAAACTACGACCATACTTGAATTTCTCAATCGCATCGTCATCGGCTAATCGCCTTCACACTACCAAACAACATGTTCGAACTAAAGTTGATACATTTCTCTTCTTCGCATCGCATCACTCCGTGACAAACATCGCCGGATGCTTTATATTTACAATTTCGTACAGTGGCAACGTGTTTGTATTGCAAACCTCTCTTTCTCTCATTTCAATTTCTGCTCTGCGTCGATAGTGAGTTAGTGTGTGCACGGAGCATACATTTAAAGTAGGCCGTGATTTTGAATTATCCAAAATGTAAATGAGAAAAGGATAGACAAACATAACACAAGTGCGTCGCGGCATAGACATCAAGTATGCGTCGTACAAATACGCCAAGTCTGTCATTTCGTATCTACGGATTTAATGGTTTAAAAAGAGCACATTTAGCCGAATAATAACAAAGAGAAAAAAAAGCCGATCGTTTCATTTGAATTTTTTACGCGTGGAAAAAACTCGAAATGTCGTCGACGCCAAATCGCAGCACGCACACAAGCACAAACCATTCGGTGAGACATAAAAATTGCAAATTTTTGCGTTGAAAATAGACAAAATGCTAATCGACAATTGTCATGGGAATTGATATTTTCATTAGGAACATGCTGAAGGTGAAATGCACGAAGAAGACCATGTACACGTCGTGGAAAATGTTATTTCAATGTACCAGGCAAACGTAAGTACATGCCATTCATTTGGTTGTTGTTGTTGTTGTTGGTGGATTAAAAGTTTGGTGCATGGGTTTGGATTGGCTTTTCATTAAAATTATGCATATTGGCGGTGGTTATTCTTCGTTCGTTGCCCTCTGACTAAGCATTGCGAATTGCGATTTTCATTTTCACCGAAAAAAACTTAACCTAAATATCGGAATCACGTGGCAATAGACTCAGTGCTTAACAGAAGTCAATGCAAATTACCATCGAATATTTCACTTTCATAAAATTTCATCGATCAATTCAGAAAATCGACAAAAAGAATGTTTGGAATGTTGCGTTAATCGATGTACTCGACACTTTAGTACGGAATCACAATGCATACATACGAAATTTTCGGAACATTGGCATTTCCTTGGATGCTACGATGAAAATTTATGAAGTGCGGGTTGATTCGGTTTGCAACGACGTTCATCGGCTGAGATATGGCGTTGGATCGAATGGTAAATATTTTGCATCACACAAAATCTGTCAAACATTCAAATGTCAAATTTCTTGTAGCTAGAAATGTGCCAAATGCAAAAAATGATCCAGCTGACATCAACGATCAGAATTGTGATGACCAGATGGAAGAAACTCCACAGAAAAGACGAAAACAGCGTAAGAAACGGCGAACAGTTAACATGAATATTGCCCGTGAATATCATATGAATGCTCCGCTAAATATGATATCACTACCAGACGATTTGACATACCGATTGAATGAGATAAGTGGCGATGCAGCGGATGCAAATCGATTATTCACGACAATATTGCCAACCAAAAACGCACTTCTTCAACTGTTTGCCAAGGATAAGTTCTTCAGTACAAGAGTCTATGACCCGCTTGAGGTAAACCACAGCAATTGATCAGACATTTTCCACTCATTTTCTTCATTGTTGCTCGTTCAATTTCAGTTTCAAGATGATTGCATGTACGAAAATATGGAAATTGTCATACTACCGATTGATCTCAGGTTTGGCGAGCAGTTACCCATTCGGCAAATGCTGTCGGGCTATCGCATTCAAGATAATCCAATCGACGATGACGACGACGAACCCGAAGAGTAAGTTCCAAGAATGTTGTGTGAATACACGATTCAAGCTTAACCTGTTTTCTCCTCTAACTGCAGCATGTCGTTTGTTCATAGTGATATAGCACAGGATTATGCGTTCGACCCCGATTTTGATGTGAACCAAGCAAATCCTATGTGGGTGTCACAAGAAGACGTGGTCGCCGAACAAGATTTAAATAACAATTTTGATAACGCATTAGAATGCGATGATATCGAGAATGCGGACGCTCTGTCGGTGCATGACATATCGAAAGGCGAGTATTCATATCGGGCAATTGCAAATATTCGCAATTACTGGGCAGGTCCATCCTATTGGAAATTCGCATTGAATCGCCAAAGTTCACACAGTACTCAAGCAACCATACGAAGTAAACGCGGTCAACGAGTGAAGAAGAACCCAGAAAAGCCTTCTTTCAACGACTGTCCGGACAACGACTCGTCGGACAATGATGGTTTTATCAAAGTCAAATCGAAAGAAGCCAAAAAAATCCGACGTATCAATTACCGACGATGGTCACCAGAGAAATTGATGCTTCCAGAAAAGTGTGATATTTCAAAGGATTTGTTCGAATTCTACCAGTTTGAACCATCGTGTAATGTACTGCAGCATCGTCACTCGGAACCAATGGCAGAGTCTAATGAGAATTCAAATCATGAAGACGATGATGATGACTTTTTCGTGAGTAGAAGTTTACATATAAATATTTGGTTAATTGTCACGAATTTGCTCGATTTGTAATGAAAATAAAACACCTTCTTCGCAATAGCAAATGGATTTTGGAAGTCCACTTCCAGCGGGAGACTCGGACGAAAATATTTTGAATTTTGAAGCAGCAGAAGATGCAGCAAATATAAGCCAAAACTGGGACCAGGCACCTCAACCGGTAAGCCGAGTTTTTTTTCAGCACATGAAATTAATTAATCACATATCTCATTGAATTCTTACCCGAGTTTAGATGGAAAATATTCAAATTGCATTCGATAAAAAAGCAAAAGTCGTCAACATCGGACGATTGAACAGAGCCACATTGCAGTCGATCGATCGACAACTGGTTTCGACGGCTGCGAATGAATCGGCTCAGAATTTAGACGCAACACAGCCACTCGAACCAGGAAGAGCCACATTCTCGGGCATTTTCCGGGATCATCGAATGAACTTCCGAAAGTTTGTTAAAACCAAATCGGATTTGACGACCGGACTGGTTCTGTTCTCCGTTCTGAATGCAGTCAACAAGGAACGTTTACACATAAACAGACGGCCAGATGATGACAATGATTTTGACATCGTCCAATTGAAAAAGATTCAAAGATTGTCTTAATACAACGAAAATTGTCCAGTTTTCCATTGCGTTGAGCAATTATTTATTATCAGAAATAAGAATGAACTGTGTTTTTGTACAAATCAAGCATAATGCACGAATCACATATAAATAATTTCGGTTTAAAATTGCATTCCAGAGGAAGAATATCGTATCATGTGAAAGAAAATTGTTTGTTGAATAAAATGAAATTTTGTTATGTGTTTTTGATGTGGGAATAAGAATTCCGTTTCAGAAAAAAAAAACATCGCATTTGTATTTCAATTCGTTGCGGAAAAAACATCGCACACTCTGACGAAGAGAGACACTACTCTCTCAGTGAAAAACGCTATGACGTTTCTCACATTGTTTTGATGGGTGTTTCTTCTGTCAACTACATGTGACCGCACATACTTGACGACAAAAATTGTTTGAAAACAAATGCAACAGGTTGAAATGAGAAAAAACGTCAACGCATCATGAGCCAAACGTCAGACTCAGTGTTTGACAGTTGAAACGTCAAGCAGCTCTTCTATCCGTCAGAGTTTTCAATGACAATTGGTTGGATATTTTTGTCTTTGTCATTGATAGATATTGTGAAAACGTAGCGAATGAGTAATTTTTATTTTGTAGAAAAAAACCAATCGAATCATCTCAATTAACAGATGAGTCGTTTAGTTTAAGTGTTTTGTACGCGAATTGCGTTAAGTTCTTGCCATGGACGTAAGTTTCAATGTGAATTTTACACTGTGCAAGTCATAATAAGAATGTTAAAAATCTAGTGAAAAAGTGCTGCAATAATGGCGACGCCATTTATTGAGCTGGGATCAAAGTTGAATTTTTTTTTCGTAAAATGCCTTTGGCCCGCATTTTATTTTGTTCATCACTCGGTATCTAATCAATTGATGCGATTTAATGGATAATGCCCGAAAAAAGCTGAATTTAAAAATTTCTTGTGATTTCGTTTGCACATTATGTGGGACAATAAATACAATTAGAAATTATTGATTTTTCATTTAATTGAAAAATGTGTTTTTTTTGTTTCTTTTCCATCCAGTTGGATTGAGTGAATTTAAACGCAACTGATTCAACAAACAACAATGGCAGATATAAGCACTGAAACGTCCGATTTGCTGGGCTTACCCAGACCTGCACAATTTAACTACGGTAACTTCAGCCACAATGTGTCCCTGGATAACTTGGTTATGAATGCCAATCTGGTAAGAACGCAATGTCATTTCGTGTGATTCCATTCAATAAGAATCTAATAATCGTCGACAAATATAGGCTTGGCTCGTCGGTTCGTTAGCAACATCAATTCTATGGGTAGTCTATATAACATTCTACAATTCACGTGTTGTGGGATACTTTCTGACGAAAATCATAAATCGCATGTTTATGAAAGGATGCTACTTTAAAATTGGTGTGTATACGTAGACTAAATCACGGTCACAGACCATGATATTGCATTTGTGTCGATACTAATTTCAATTGTTCAACAGGTTCACTGAACTTGAATCCATTGGCGGGAAAAATTATGTTTCGTGACGTCGTGTATATTTGTTTTGATTATTCTATTCGTGTGCAAGATGGATATTTTATATTTCGATGGTGGCGTTCGTATGTCCCAAAAGATGTGTCGGAAGATTTATCACATTCAGACACTCGACTTTCGGTGATGCTGAATGGATTCGAGCTGCATGTTTTCAATCGATCTGAAATGTACTCGAAACTCGAAAAAATATTCGGATTAAAGCCATCAATTTTGATTCCGGTATGTCAAAAATGATTCTTTCTCATTTTCAAACCTTTTTTTCGCATCTTTCTCTTGACTCTTTCGTTACGTTATTTATTTTTCTTTCTTCTGCACAGAATGAAAATATGACAGCTGAAGAAGCCGCAAAAATGCGTGAGGTCACCTTGAACTTGGAAAATGAACGGAAAAATAGTGTGTCAACGAATAAAAATAAAAAAGCCAAATCAGAAGCAATGGCAGCTAAAACGTGGCGCGATTTAATTCCAGTTATCAAAATTGACATTTGTTCGGGGCGTTTTGTGTTTGGCAATCGTTTGACGCCGACCACATTGTCACTGTGTGTTGAAGAAGCGAAATGCGTATACAGCACCAAGCCAGCCGCTTCGCGCTTGGACCATTTTATGCACTTTTTAAAGGCAAAAATTGAAAATGCCAAAGTATTATTAGCACCATCGCCAAAATATACTGGCTTGGTTGATGATCCACCCAGGTAAGTTTTATTTGAATGAAGGAAAAAAAAACGCATAAATAAAACATAAAAATTTGGATTCAATTACAGATATATGGGCGAAGGATATGTTGTGATGATGTCTAATTTAGTAGAATTGTACTATTATATTGATGAACCGGGAATCGTGGAAGAGGAGCCGGTTCTGTTAACATTAGCGAATGGTGATGTGGTCGAAGCATCGCCGCCCGTTTGGGGCCTAGACGTAAAATGTGGAAAAGGAACCAATTTCAGTTATGGACCGTGGGCTGACCGACAGAGAGATCATCTCTTTAAATTTTTCTTCCCGCCCGATTGGCAAACGATGCAAGTGACTACGCCGCCAAAGCCAGGCGATCGACGTGAGTATCAATCGTTCGATTTGAGTCTGAGCACTCTGAACGAAGCAACAATCGATGTATTATTCTCCAAGAACAAAGAAACGAATGCAATGCATGTTACAATCGGTCCTGGGTCGTACTTCGAATTAACATTGCCATGGATCATCCTACAAGATGGCTTCACAACGAAAGTAGCCGGTCAATTGTTGCATGTGGAGGCAACAACGAGTTTGCAATACCGTAGTTTAGCCAAATGTGAATCGCTGGAATTCAAGATCCGAGTACATTACCCCCTGAGATTTAACGATCATCAAGAGTGGATCATCAATTTGACTGGCTGTAAAGCGACAGCCTATTTATTATTTGCACATAAGCTCTTCTTCCAAGATTTGATTGAAGATTGGGCCTCGAAAGCCCGACCTGACATACTGGAATTCGTTCCATACACGTGGAAATTCTGCGTTTTGCTAAAAGAATTCGAAATACTCATGCTGTGCAACGATTACAATTGGATCGATTGCTCAAGCACCAACCAAGAAAATAATCATTTGGCGTTCTGTGGCGATTTATTCGATTTGAGTTTTAATCTGCCGTTTGACGATTTTCTACCGAAAACAATTCCTATTCGACTGTGGATCCATGGCGAAGATTTAGATCTCAGTTTGTATTTGCCGGAAATATCGACAACAAGACCGGTGGTCTTGGGAATAGATGCAAATATGAAATTCCTTACGCGCGATGGCCAAGTCAAAAGAGTCAGCGATATTCCTAAGAAAAAATGGCGAAAAGACTGCCTTCGAAGGTACATTTCCTAAATTTGAAAACAAGTCATTCAAATAATTTTAAAATTTTGTCACGATTTGAATTTTCAGTGCCGGTTGGATTGACTGTTGGAGTGTTAGCATCGTTGCAATAAAAATCAATTGGATTTACCACTTGATTCCGCCACTGGGGCCTGTTCCTCAAGCCGATATTACTACACCCGAAAAAGAGGAGATCCTCTTAAGTCCGATTCGAATGCCCAAACTCAAATCGCCAGCATTAAAATGGGTTCAAACCGACTCTGCACAATTCGATCCAAATACACTGCCACCAGACAAAGTCAATGTAGAAATAGAGATTGGATCATCGGTTCTTTTTGCCTATGGTACCATTCTGAGAAACTTCATTAATTTGAAGGTGAGTGAAACCATTTTTGAACAATTGATTCAATATAAAAACTAACAACGATCCGTGTACCTATCTTTTAAAGGAAAACATATTTGGTGAAGATCAAGAATTCACCGACATGAGCGTGAGCGTAGTAAATACAAAATCATCAGTGCTACCGAATCTAGCACAATCAATTCTGAAAGTTCCACTAAACTCTTCGAATAAGGATGATGCATCGAAATCCATTTCGGAAGTGAGTGCTGTTGACGAAAAACCGAAACCGTTCGACCCACGGCTCTATCGTCCACTTGAAGTCATTGTTTCGTTTACGATTCATGACGTTCAAGCTCATATTGTTAAGGTAATGAAATCGAATTGGTTTTGGTAAACTGGGAAAGATTTCAAGTTTTCCTTTGTTTTACAGAGTTGCAATGATAACGACCCACCGTGTCCGATCATTTTGATTGAGCGTCTTGGCCTGGAGCTCAAAAAACGGTTCTACGAAACGGAAATTCAAATTCTGGTTAGCCCGTCATTCTTGATCTCGTCCGACACCGTTGTTCGGCCAAGTAAAGAGAAGCATTTGAAACAGGGTCACTTGCTTTTATCGGCGATGCAGGTGAGTTTCAATCTAATGACCATAAAAATCGGATTGAATTGAACTTTCTTCGAAAATTATTTTCAACTTAGGTGCGTGGCCATGCAATGTTCAGTATGGAAGGAAGGTCATTGGACGAAGAAACTGTCGAATACGGATGGTTGCTAGAAATTCATCTGGGTAAATTGTCAGGCAAATTAACCATACCGCAATTGTATCACATTGTAACGGGATTGGAAACATTCCTAACGCTGGCAATCGATGCTGAAAATGAGTTGCGACCGCCAAATTCCCAACGAGACTGCCATCACGGAGTTTCATCGAGCCAATGTGCCCATACGAAAGACGAAATCAAATACCGTTGCCCAACATCGGAAGATATTAAGTATCGCATGACTCGTGTGGCACTTGATGTTATTGACTTGTATTTGATTGATAGCGGAACGGCATTACACACATGGGTAATATCTTATCGCACATGAAAATGTCATAATCTAAATATAAAACTCACGATTCATTACTTTGATTCAGATATCTCCGGTGCGAGTGTCCACGTGCAATTTACATGGACAGAAAGTGAAATCGGGTGTCACTGCGCTCATTTCCACGGTCCTGATTCGTCACTTTGTGTCAACAAACGGCCATTTTAGTCAAGCAAACAACGGCAGTAGTTCATATAGCAATACAAATACAACGGGAAGTGGCCGATCATCAAAAGTACAACAACCACACAGTCAAAACAATTCGGATGAGAAACGCGAAGATTTGAATATTTTGGTGAAAAAAGATGCAGGAAGTTCAGTGAAATATAAAAAGGAATCGGATTATGGATTCATCGGTAGTGGACACCGAAGAGGCTCGCGAGATAAGGACGATGTTCATTCGCATCGGCGTTCACGCGATAACGACTTTCACCATCGACGAGAGAGAGATGAGTTCTCATCAATGCATTCATCGGGCCGAGATAAGATTCGAGATTCAGAAACAGACCCGTGGCTTGAAGTGGGATGTAAGTGGAAAACAATTGGCTCGTTTGAGAATTGAAATTATGGAAATTGATTAATTTTTTTCTTCAATCAAAAGGTGTCTCTTTTGGACCAGTCGTTTTGGAATCAGCATCGGCTTTGCCTATCCCAGAGCATTGTCTGCATCTTGTGCAACACAAGTAATTAATCTTCTTGAAAGAAGTCAAACGAATTTTCGATACTGATTCTTGCTATTTTACAGTTTCCTAAAAGTGCATGACAAAAAACATAAACGGCTATGGTTCCTATGGAATTCGGGCTTTGATGCAATGCGTTGCGGTTGCATTGGTGGTACCGCTTTCTTTGGCAACAACATCAATGGACCGAAATTCTTCAAACCATCGGCTCAAGACATTCAAGATGGCATCAATATAGCACGATACCAGTAAGTTACTCGGTTTTTCTTATTGAAGCTGAACGATAATTTGAAATATTTCGAAAACATGAAAAATATGCGCATTATTGAAATATTGTCGAATGCATGTGATTTGAAAAAAAAATCGTCATTTTAAGTACATAGCTCATTTTAAACTAAAAGCTGTCAGATATGGTACAAGTTTTTGCTTGACAAAGCCAGAGTCTATTTTTGTGTACAGAACGTAGTGTAATTCGACAACATTTTTAATTGCTCGTTACACCCGTTTTTCTTTGTAATTTATTCACAAAATAAAAATACCGATTCAATAAAACCACTTTTACATTTCAGTATCAACACAAATTCGAAAGAGTATGGCTTTGGACAAAGTATACTGTATGAAAATCAATTGGTGTTCCATACACCACCGTACAGTTTACAACCAGTATCACTGCAAGAGTGCTACGAATATATCGGGAAAACGAACATTTGTGTATCGAAGTATGATCCTGAACCGAAATCACCACACAATGTCGACACCTTGTGTACCAGCAGTATTTCTCCCATCGAAAAGAGCGACCGACAATCAAATGCAGCAAGAAATGTCGAGGGTGGCTCACCAAATGTATTTGACAGAAAGCAGCTACGCAAGCATTCAACATCGTGAGTATTAAAATCACCTTGGGGAAAATATCAAATTTTGAGCGCTAATTCCACCTTTTTGCAGCACTCAACGGCAAAACAGTAGCTCAAGCACGCATGAGGTGCCATACGCTCGACTGATCGATAGTCCAAACAGAAAACCGGGACAAGCTGCAAATAGTTCGACACCAGTTCCTAATGAGTCCGATGTAAAATTCAAAACGAATCGATCCATTCGTGTGCCAACACCAAAGTCTAGTGCATCCGAATCTAAGCTCACTGTAGACTACTTCCAGAAGAGTGACATATCGGTATGTAGTTGAATATTATTCACACGAAGTGCATAAAGCTAAAATTCTCTGTGGTTTTCATTAGATTCCAAGTGAAATAATGTCACATTCGGCACCACAAACACATCCGCTCCAATTTGATTCCGACCAATCGATTGACAGTAAAATCAAATCAGATGAATCGTTGGCACGTGAAGTTCAACGAACGATATCGCTGACCTCGGAAAATCCGTCGGAAGCATTCTTTTCGGCAGATGAGGATATGCACTCGTCCAGTCTGCGAACAAGCATAACCGATCGCGTAATTCAGAAGAAACGATTTGCATCCGATTTAAGGTGAGAGTTTACTATTTTTCAATTTTTCGTCACAGTCGACTGAAATTCTTCCTTTTTTGCAGTATTGGAGTGCCACCAGACGTGAATGGATGTTTGTCAACGCATCGTAGCGATTATGAAATTCATACGCCCGACAACAGAGACTATCGAGTAAATGCAAAACGACCGCAAAGCACAGCCGAACTCGTAAGTAACCAATTGAACTACCATTTTTGCTTTGCTTAACTTATTTTGCTTCAATATAAATCTATTCTTGGCACCATTTTGCATGTCAACTCAACGTTTTCTTATTATGCCAATTACTAACACAATTTCACAACATTGTTGTCCATTGTTATTCAACGTAAATTATCCAACACCAACAAAATCTCACACACACACACACACCAACATCATTATCAACCAAAAACCATCATCCATGCAATTGCCCATAAATTCAGAGCAACGACGAACGTCGTTGTCTTCATGGTCTTGCCACGCCGCTACGGAGATTGTGTAGCGTTTCACCAAGACCAGAACAATTCAGGCACTTTAAACCAGTCTATGATGTGAGTAACCTTTATTTTAAAAGTGCAGTGTGCTTCTTAATTTCTGTTTTGTGGTATATTTTTGTGGAACTTTTTTTCTTTTTCTTCTTCAACTGTCTGTGTAGTGTGTAGTCGTCTTACTTCAAAAACCATTATTTTTACTTATTCTAAAATTAACATAGAATATATAGTTCGTTATTTGAATTCATTGCCAATTGCATAATCGAATCTCTTTTCATAGGCTGAATCACAAGAGTCATCATCGGATACGCCGTCACTGTCATCGAATTCGTTCATATCGGCAATGTCATCGCAAGAGGATATTACCTTGGTCAATCTGCATATGCAAGTGAATAAACCTATAATCGATTCACCGTTGCTGATGGCGAGCTATGTGTCACACCTTGCTCAAGTTCGATGCACAAATTGGTCCAGTTGCTGTTTGCCATTGGGTGCCGACGCCTTTTCAACACCTCTGTTTCAGCAGAATGACGACGGTGGTTTAACATACATTGGTAAGGCCGTTCACAGTATCCCATCACTGGCAGTTACTAATTACATTGCATCTTGTGTTTAGGTTGTAAGCTGGTGCCGAATTTCAACACATACTCAAATTGGCGGGAAATACGGATAGTTTCACATTCCGATGCAGGCAGCACATCATCGATGCACGGAACTCAATCAATTCCGCGATCACATCCGTGGGATCCAAGTGTAACCATTCGATCTGCTGACACTGGCAGCCACGTTGACAGTATGTGCTACAGTTGTAATTAAGTTAAATTAAGTACTTTTAACGCATTATTTCTTCTTATTGTAGACGACGAGAAAGAGTTTATGACCTCGCAAAATGACACCGCAACGCGGAATTCAGTAGTTGTCAAGTTCAAGGGAAATCTCGAAGTAACTCTAACACCACTTCTATTGGAGGGACTACAAAAGTAAATCTAAAAACATTTACAATTGAAATGTTTGAATGTAACTCGAAATTGTAATTGTTTTCTTCCAGAATGATCGAATCAGCGATACCTGTTTTCTCCACCATGCACCCATTGAACGCAATCAATTCAATGCATGCGTCTTGTATTCGAAATGTTGAAGCGGCAAACATATTGAAAAAGGATCAATCGCTGAGCTATTGGTCTCGAGTGCATTCTAATTCGAAACGTTCGACAGCAGAGCGAAATCTTCAAGGGCCCGGCGGTGGCTCTGGACCGGTCATAACAGATGTGTACGAAGAAAGTATTTCGACGCAAATCCAAGGATTGGTGGTATTGCAAAGAGTCAATATTTCACTCATTCAGACATCGGTGGTGGAAGAAGTAAGTAATACATCGTTTTGAAAAACGAATAAATAATTTTTTTTCGTATGTGCGCGCGAGAGAAGAAACGGTGGAAGCGACGACTTTCATTATTTGCACAATGCACCGATACTAAATTTTACCATACTAAACTGGTGTTGTTTCTTCAAGGTAATATCATTCTCTGCATTGGACAACGTTCAAGAACTAAGTTGTGCATCCCTTTTGGCCGTTAGTTTTGATCAAATATCGGCGCGTTTGCATTTGGGTAAAACCACGAAAGCAGCTATTCACACCGTTTACACACCAACGGTTCGATCGAGTGGATTGAAAAAGGGACGTATTATGAAGGGAACGAGAGCTCTTTTATGTATGTAACCACATATTTTATATCATTGCATTCGATTTTGCAGAGGGTTAAATTATTCAATTTCTTCTCTCATTTAGCTCACTTGTCGTCACATACTCGGAACGACAACATTCCTGGCGAACCAATATTAATCGAAACATCCGAGAAACAGCAAGAGGAATTGGTGATAACCTGTGACATATCCAAGGCACACGCTCAACTGCGACGGTTAAAGAATGAAAGCGTTGTTTTGCAAGATGGCCAGATTATTGTCACAGCCATTCCAATACATAAGAGTCGTGCAATGTTCGATTGCATTAAACTGCCCGAAGAATCGAATAAGGATATAAATGCATTCGGTCTGATCATGTTCGAGTGTGGCCTGGAAGGCATTAGAACCAAAATGGTTAAACGGTAATATTTGACATAAACAATTTACAATTGAAATTCAATTCCTAACAACACGATGCGATTTGATTTAATGCAGATCGCAATTTGAAAAGTCTGAAAATAACGAGGATAATATCAAGACTGTTGTCGACTCGACAAACAAGCGCGACGCATCAAATGCTGATAAGCATACAGGAAAAGAAGAGCCATCTGGTACAAAAGGAAGCGAGGCGATGATGCCGAAGAGCAATTTGAAAAATCCAACAACGCCAAAGACGCCTCGCGATAAACTTCAACCCAATTCTGAGATTAAATCGAAAGAAGGAGAAACTAATGTAAAGGACAAGATCAAGTTTTCATTCATATCATCCGAATCAGTTCACAAGGCTGGAGGAAGTGATCTATCGCAGCAACCATCAACATCAGCCAATGCAGCTAGCCATGACAAGGAAACAAACAAGGCTGTTGTTGCAGTCTCGAATAATAATGGACGTGCATCGTCCTGCGTGATTGACTTGAAAACCGTATGGTTTAACTTTGCTGCACCGCCAAGCGTTCCAATCACACGTAAAATCGATTATACGCGACTGGATTGGAATTTGCTGAGTACTGCATCACCTGCAATTACAGCGTGGATGAACCCCAGCAATCGATTTGCCATCAAAGTGGTCGCCATGATGAAGGCGTTCCACTTGAGACGCACAGCGATTGCTGCATGCATTATGGCAGATGGACTCGAAGTGCAAGGCATACAGAAACATCCGAAGGTGGGAGAAATGAAAAATTGAGCTAAATTTTGTGTAAATAAATGCTTTTATATCCCTCAATAGACACGATATTCGGCGAAATTCACACCGTTGGCAAAGACACTCCAAGAGGATCCAAGTTGTCAATTGTGCACGGTGATGCAGAAGTTTGTTATTCAAGAAACTTCTCATAAAATAAATCACATACTGAAACATCCAGATCTACCACAGTTGACTACACTGCGTCAGGTTCGTATTGATTCAAAATTAATATTTTACGAAAATTGAACTAGAATTGAATTGAACATTTTTTCCGCTAAACAGGGTGTTATCGTACTGAGTCGTCAATGGAAAAATATGCTGTACAATCCAATGTTGTTCGAACATCAATACAAAAACAAATTAACGCGGCCGTTGAATGTCACCTTTGCCGTTCCGCAATCCGAAGAGGTAAATCTGTTGTCATATTTCATGTTCACATTTTTTTCTTTTGGTCGAACCTTTAACATCACCCCACGTTACAAAATTATCTTCAACGTTCATTCATCGATTTAACGCGTTTACTGAATTGAACCGAAAATAAACCTAATCGCATGTTTCAGCACACTGACTCATCAAATGATGAGATTTATGGATTTGATGGTGAATCCCATCATGCAAATGGTAAAGGACAACAACATATCAATTGGTTTATTTGTGTCGAAAATATTTAACACTTTCACATCTTAATTGTATCGCTTGGGGGTATCACGCACACATCTATTAAATCCATGCACTATTTTCCCAAATGCTCTCAATGTTCCTTTTTGTATTTGCGAAAGAAAGTTTGTTTAATTCCGTTGAACTTTCTCAAATTGTGACTACGTCTTCTGATGTGAACTCATTTATATATTTGAACTGTGACTAACAAAGGCAAAAAAAAATCTATCCACTATTGTTTAATCGTTTTATTTTGTCGCAATTGGTTCCATGGCTATATTGTGCCTATTTGTATATATCTTTTCTTGCATTGAACCGATTTCCAGGAGGGTGAAGATGAAAATGACATGGATGGAAATGAACCAGCCGAACATAATACGCTTATCAATGATGAAGAGAGTGAACATACAATGCTCTTGGGCCGTGGTGCAAATCAACAATACAAGGGTAACCATTTCCTCCTCAAAACCTTTTCCATCCGTCCTTGTCCATTCCATACGTTTTGAATTAGTCTTATGCTTTGATTGTTTAGTTCTTATGATGTACAGTTTATGTTTTGATAGTTGTTTGTGTTTTGTGATTTCTAAAGCTATCATTTAACTAGGCTTTGAATGTTTTCGCATCGAATCTCAACACAGTCTTTGGGCAATTCTTACTAAAAAATTTTTTTTTCGTTTCTTCAATATGAAGTGTTGAAAGCACCTGATGTCACGACTCAGGTAAAACTTTCAGATTCGGCCAACACATCGCCATCGTTTAATTCGATGAAAATGCGGAAACGACCGAGCAAGAATTCACTGCCACATGTTGTCCATTCGTCGAGGTCCAGTTTGCATATGTTCCCAATCATATCCGGATTGGTTGAAAAGCAAAATCTTGAGATTGGTAAGTACACGATCAACGCATAGAATTTTAGGCAGCATGAAAATTGAAAATGACCATCGGTTTTCATTTTAAAGAGTATGGAACACTTCGAGATGGATCACTGCAATCGTGTTATAGTTCGAATACCTCGTTAGATCGACCATGGTCGCCTACACCGAAAGACGATCTTTATTCTTGGATGGCAAAACAGCACAAAGAACGAAAGGAATCAGTCAACAAGGAGAATGCAGGAAGTATTATTGTAAGTTTGGAACGGATAGGCTTTAGCTATGGCTAAACTAAAATATCTACAAAAGTTGGTATAAAGATTAATAACGTTCAATCAATTTCAGGAGACGAAACGAACAATGACACCGACACGACCATCGTTTGGTGCATCGGTGATGCAAGATTCGCTTCGCTTATTAGATGCGCATTTGATTTTTGAGCCGATTTTAACATGTTTGGGTGTGATGCCCCAACAAATGGTTAATAACATAACAAATTCCGGTGAGTTATTGCTAGTTGGAATAATCGAATCCTAATTCAATGAAAATATTCTAAATTCTGAATTATTTTACAGACATGCCATCGTTGGATAGCCTTGGTACGAATCTTTCACTCGTCGGTTCATTCGATGTGATGCGTATCGATATTGTAGTGAGCGAACCGAATGAGAAGAAGTTGAAAAATCGTCCAGGTCCGCGCAAAACAAATGGAAAATTCCCACATCCAAACCTAGAGGAAATGCCCGCATTCCTGTGTGAACGAGTCGGCGTTGAGCTGGAAGTTTTGAAAGTGACTGATGGTCTAACCGATGACAATAAACCAAATGCACTCTATGTGTCACGCGGACAGCTGAAGAAGCTAACAAGCACCATGATCAATTTCAGTTTCAACGTTCGGTACATTTCACAACAGGTCAATATGCCACTGTTGCGACTACTGCATCAAATCACGAATATGTATCAAAATGTAAAAGATGCCCAAGATGAACTATGCGATCAGCCGACAACCTATCGGAACACATTACCATTGAAAGACGAATCCAGTTTGGCATCGGAAATGAATGATCCAACAATAATGGAATCCATACAAGAACCACTGGATAGCACATTGCAAGATGAACATTATGATAAATTTAACGAAGGCTATCAACTGGGCCATTCGAGTAGCAAAGGTCGAATACCAACTGTGGCACTGACACCATCACCTGGAGTACGCAGACCACAAAGTTTTGCGCAAAAACTAAAATCAACAAGCAAAACCGTCAAAGGAAAACTCGGATACACAAACCTAAATGAAAGCATCTTAACACCAATTAAAAAGAGCCCAACAATGTCCATTGATAATCCGTTCCGAACATCAAAAAATTTTGGTGACCATCAAAAATTCGCAAACGGTCTTCCATTTGGTATTGCACCCGATGCGCACACGCACCGATCATCATCGTCGAACATTTTACCTGGCACAAGTGGCTTAATGGATACGCCGATTTGTTGGAAAACAATGTTCCATTTGCTTGAACTATACGCAACTATGCCTGAAACAAAAACCGTCAAACAAAGGTAATATTTTGAATTCATCACACAGTTTGCTGAATATTGACCAAAAATATGTTTTCTCCAATTAGAGTGTCTATATCACCCGATCCCACCGAGAAAACGGCTAAAAAGTTGAACATTTCAAATGAATCCAAAACGATTGACATCGAAGAAGAAATACCAACGACACCATTGCCACCACACCGAGAGACTACGCAGCCTGAAAGGACTCGCTTGATCGTGTTCGGTGTGGCTAAAATCCAGAAAACACGTCTACTGGCTACATTAAGCGGATTAAAGGTAAAATAAGCATAGTTTGAAATAACAGATCGAAAAACATACTAAAACTGTCCTTTTTTCATCAGTTGGAAGCAGAGATAAGTGCTTTGCACAGCAGTGCAACGTGGCGAAAGAAAACGAGACCAATTGCTCTAGAGTGTTCACACACTGGTCAATTGGGACGAGCAATGATCGTTTTACTGGAAGGAGTTGCTCCAAACCAACAAACCGTCGTAAAAGTCACCGTAGGCAAGAGCCAAACATTATACTCGAGCGTTTCGAGACGAGGCAAAGATAAGAACAACGGGTTGTTGTCAATCGGAGCTGTTAATATTGACATTCCACAGCACCCAGTCGCTTTGCACGGTGTAATGACACGAAGTTCGAAGCAATTGTCTACAACATTGCAGGTAAGATACTAAAATCGCCATCAAATTCCACAAACATCCTCATGAAAACGCTTTTGAAACTCGATAATACAATCTCACTTCTATCTTTAGGAACTGCGAGTTACGCGCAATTCAGCCAGATTATCGCGTCAAAATGAAGAAGCGGAATCACCGACACATTCCAAGGACAATTCCAAAGAGAATGGACGAAATATCGAAAAAACCACACCGTTCCCGACCAAAGTGAAATCGGCCAGTGGATTGATCCAGCCACTAGTGATGCAATTCAACATTCTTTTGCAAAGCCTATCAATATCGGCTGCGCTGCTTCCATCACTCCAAGCGCAGTATAAAATGGATCGCGTTACGTCCAACGGAATCAGCGGCTACAAGGCCAAATTCACAATTGATTTGCCGAATCACACTCTGAGCTTTACAACAAAACACTCTGTGAGTATACATTTTATTTTTTCATTTGATTGTTCTATTTTAGTCATCAATGAAATATTTCGCTTCATTTCATGAAGACAACGTCGTCTGCGGAGACCATTCTTCCACCGGAGGCATCGATTTCATTGCCTCCGATTCATGTGAGTGCACAATATGTGACCGAAAATGCTTCTCAAGACATTCCTGTCGATGGTGTGGTCCTTCGACAAGGCGGCTACGTATCGGCTTCGGCAGAGATTGGAAAATTCGAACGATGTTTGACCACTGACCTACTCAACCATTTAGTATTTGCGCAAAAGGTGTTTATGCGCGAAGTGAACGAAGTTGTTCAAAAGGTATTAACCGGCGAAAAACCAGTACCACTTTGGCTAGACGATGGCGAACTCAGTACATCGCCAGTCAAACAGATTCTTTTTTCGCTCAACATTCGCATGGAACGTATCCAATTGACTGCAACAACTCCATGCTCATCGGCCGTGCGGTTCGAAACGAATGCTTTGGAATTCCATTTATCCAACCGAGTGAAAAATATCGCTGAACGAGCCAATACAAAGCTATTTGTGAAGGCGCAAATTGATTTCAATTTATCACTCGGACAAATCATTCGCAATGTTATGTTCGACGAAGCCGATCCCGAATTCCAACAGTATGCCTTCTTCAATACGACCATCGATTTGAGAAATGCATTCCAAGATGAAATGCTGAACGATGACCAAGAATTGGTGCTAATTACTTTGAAACGTCCACTGATCTATATTCAGCCAGTTGCTGTTGATAAAGCAATTTTAGTGTGGCTTAACTACAAAAATGCCTATGAATATTGGGCGGAGAGACGCGCCAACCTGAATAAAGACGTGCTAACAGCCACACAACAAGTTTTAGAGAAAATGCCATTCCAACATTTGAGCGCATCGAATTTATCGACGCTGTTCTTGCAATTGACAGTCGAAGACATGGGCATTTGTTTGCCATTGAATCAACCGCCAATGGTAAGCGATTTTATTTTAAATGTCATTTTTTGCTTTCGCCAAATCGAAATTGTTTCATAATTATAGACCAATTGGACGGCCCGATCATTTGCTGACTTTGAACCACGAGGTGCTGTTGTGATAACACTTGAAAATACAAACATAACCGCATGTAATTCCGGATCACTGGTATCAACCGGTAAATTCTTTGGACTTTGTCTTCGATTCACTGATGAATTTGAAACAACATTGGATGACTGGAAGCCAAACATGAATGAACCGATTATGAATTTGTGCGTGGTATCCGAGGGTACATACGAAGTTTGTTCGCGTACAACAGTCGCCAAGAACTCCACAGAAAATGCCAAGTGGCTTTTGAATGTGAAGTGGCAAATGGAAGGTGTCGACATTCATTTGGATGTAAACATTGGAAAGCAGCTGTCTGCATTGGGCCATACACTGACAACGCTTTCAAGTTTCGAAGAAGATGAAAGTACAACGATTTACAGTCAAGACAGTGACGACGGTGATGGAAGCGTTAAAACGAATAAGGTAAGCTGCAGTGATATTCAGACAAAAAGGCATTATCGTCATAATGATGTGATGATTATAAATGGTTTCTTATTTAGGAAAAGCAGAACAAGCGACAGCAAAAAACCATGGAAAATATCCCATCGTTTATATTCGATCCGACACTGGATTCGAAGAAACGGTCGCTGATGATGAAAAAGGAGATGAGCGAACAGGTGAAGACAATAAATGATTTACGAACATTGGGAGCCACCGCAGCAACCATAGCCGCTGAAGAAAGACGGTTACAGGAGCTACAAGCATTATGCTACAAATACTTCCGCCGAGATATGATTCAAAAATGGAAACGACCGTCAAAAGTTATGCTCAGAACTGCAAATCGATCGCAATCGTTCGTTGCAGCTTCTCCAAGTGATGAAAATTTTTTGGTTCAAGAACTGGCCGATAATGACTTGAACAACATGTTCGATTATGACAGTGGTGATTTGCACAGTGAATCATCGAAATCGGGTCCAACGCGCAGTTCATCGTTGAAAATTCGATCAAATCAAACTCAACGAGTGTCGTTCAACGATACGATGCGTCAGTCATCATTGCCGAGTGGTGATTCTGTAACTTTCGATTGGAAGGGCTCACAATTATCCGATGTTATTGATGTCGACGGCGAACGAGTTGAATTGCGGAAAAAGAATCTGACGTATCCACAGAAACAACAGGAGCCGAATATTGATTTCGAACTGGACATCAAAGTGCTGGTCAATTCCGGCAAGTGTGTTTTGCACACAAAACCGGTGAACGATGAAAAAATTAATGTTAATACCTCTGCAACGGTGAAGCATCACAAACGTGAACGTAGCATAGGAACGGATTGGGGCAGTCCAGTTGCTGGACGACGCAACAAAGATAAGACACGTTTGCGGTACACAACTCCTCAGAATACTGTGTTCGTTGACTTGACCATTTTCCATATTCCCGGTTTGGACGTAAAAGTACACTACGAATCGAAAACAGTATCTGATGAAGCGATGCCACGTTTGAGCGTCACCGATACAAGTACATTCCGTAGAAGTGGCTTCAAGCGAGCATCACTTTTTGCTTGGATGACACTGCAAAGTGTGCCGGAAGAGACTATCATTTCTCCACATATTTTGGAATTTTTGGAACAAACACTCGAACCAATTCCATTGAAAACCGAAGAACTGTTTCCGTCCAACAATCCGGTTAATATGGATCTCTTGCAAGAGAACTATAACTATGTGGCCTATGCATCATTCCCCGTCGATGTGATCGTTTACTTCCATATGCAGCCGTCAACGTTCCGATTCAGCTGCTTACCTGTTTCCCGTGTAGAGTGCCTACTACAATTGCCCAGCTTGGACATTGTGTTCAGTTCGAAGCGTCAAGATGACGATCAAGTGATGAATGATGCTGATAAGACACCAACGGGTGGACTGAGGTAAGAGAAGAAAGTTCGATATTTTAGTCGCATATTGAACTAAAAGCAAAACTAAAACTGAAATTTAAACTTAAACTCAAATTTTAAACTTGAACTGAAAACTACAAAATTGCTATGGAATGATTGATATGGAAACTAAACTATTCATGTATTCATGTATTCATACTGTTAAACTACATTCTAAAGTCGGCTTATCAAAGTAGACTATAAAATCAATAAATAATAAATAATAATAACTAAATCTTCATTCCCATTTCCAGTATCACCGGTTGCCTTGCCGATTTCAATGTGTACATTTTCCATCCATATGGAGGTGGAAAGAAGTCTGGACAAAGGGAGCCATCGCAATTCTCCCCACTGGCCGATAGTGAACGCAAAGATTCGTTGAGCATCAATGTGGAATTCGTTAAATTCCATTTGACCAGAGCAAGAAAGATTAATTTCGAAACAAACTTCAAAAAGTCGAGTGAACAGCGCGCCATTGTTCGATTTTCAACAATCGTTGACATTGGAAGCGCTTCGTTTAAATACGATATGCGTCGTCTTACGGAGATTTTAGCCTTTCCAAATGCCTGGTACAGACGACGTATCGTACGACGTCTATTCTTAGGCGATATTAGCACGAAAATGAAAACAAATCCAACGAATGAACCCGAAGCACCTACTAGTCCGAATCCAAGTGAGCTAAATAAGGACCACGCCAGCATCGAGAAACCCGTACGAAAACCAGGCGATCTGCGTTTGGACATCAAAACCGACAACATTTCACAAACTTCAAAACTTCATTCGGAAAAGTCAAGCTTCGACTCGAGCACTTCACTCTCCGAAAGCAATCAAATCGCATCGTGGGAAACACTAGTGTTATTTGCTTTCAATTTCACAAAGTTGAATGTGCAAATGAATATGGGCAATGTTATGGGCAATGTGGTATGTATCTTTGGGTCTCGGGAATCGTCGCATATTCATTGGGAAAATCTAAAATTTTGATTTAATTTTTCAGATTTGGCTGACTAAAGCATTCCGAAGTGACGGACGCTTGAGCATCGGCAGTACCGGTCGCAAAAATATGTATATCGGTTTCGGACTTGGTGGTTCAACGCTCGATGCCAAAGGCGGTATTGTTGGTGGAACAATCGATTTGAACAAAATCAATACATATACTCATATTTGGGAAGAACAAGGTGTCGAACCACACCATAAACTCGGACTGACGCTGGCCGCGCTAGAACTTCGTTTGGACTATATGGGAACCAGTGTTTTAATGACTCGAATAAGTTCTCTCAATGTTGCCATGAGAGATGAATGGAAATGCTCAACAGAAATTGGCAAAATGCTTCCGAATGAACGGCCCACAATAATTCTAATACACGGTGACTTGAGCTGGGACCAGGTAATTTACCATTGACTAGAAAATCCTCTAAAAAATTTGCTAGCAAAACCATATTTTATTCATGTTTCAACAGTTTCAAATGATGATATCGAAATCAACAACAGCTGACCTATTGAAAATGTTCTACAAGCTTGAAGAGTTCTTTAGTCAGCAGTTCAAGTCATCGAAACGCGTATTTACAAATCTGGAACCACGGCTATCTAGTCGATCATCAAGTAGCATATCACGTCGACAGCGAAAAACAACACTAAACTCGGAGAATTCATTCGAGTCGCGAGAATGGGGTGATGCTCATCATCATAGACACTGGCAGAAGCCATTAAAAAAAGTAAGCGCCACAAAACCTCAATTATTAGAAGGACATAAAATAAATTCCACTTTCTTCCGTTTTCCAAAAGGCAATGGGACTAATGCTGACAACATTAAGCGTTCCACTTCCAAAAACTGGTATCGTTTTGGGCGGTACAATTGAGCTGCATGGAACCAACATTTCACTGGCCTGTTTCCATGGAATTAATTTCAAGGTAAACCTTATAATAGACTGTTAATTTGCAAATAGTGACTCACCATCAAGTTCAATCATTTTTCATACACGATTCTTTTTTATTTCAAGGCTAAATCATGGGCATTGTTCAGTTTACGTGATCCTTGTATTAATTTCGCCACCGAAGCAAAACAAATTGATAACACAAACGATGTCATGGTTATTCAAACGTTAACTTTCGGATTGGGCATTGCGAACAATACGAATCAGACCCACTCGTTGGCAACAGTTTGTCGTATGACGCGCAATATAATATTCCCGCCACAATTCAAAACGTTGCAAGAATGGTTTAGCTACGCATTTGCCAGCAGTGAAATCGATGGTATGTTTATATTTATATTTTTCAATCCGACTCGGTTCTTTAAATGATGTTTTTTTTCTATTTTTTTATTGAACAACTTAGCGGTTGAACGGTTCCCGGTGTCCGAACGCGAAAAAGAGCAAAATACAAACTCAATCGAGCGAAGTCGAGGTCAGTCGAATAAAACTCAAGACCACAATCACAACCGTGAAGTAATATTTGCTTTACCAAGCCTGCGATTACACTTCAAATCAGAGCACTTGCAAGGACCCTGTACGCCCGACTCCAATTCAGGTATGTTTCATCCATTACAACAAAATTAAGGGAGACAAATGTATTTAATCGTGTGTTTTCCCGCTTAATTTAGACAAACCATCAGTACAATGCAGTTTCATCACGGAGTTTGAGGATCACATTTTCGTGACAGTCGACGCGGACGCATTCTTCTTCTTACACGATTTGATCACATCATATGTCAAGGAGAAGGAAAAAATGGTAAGTTTTTTCAGCAGAGGAGTTTTCTTTTTCTTCCTCGAGACTAACGATTTGGATCTTTTTTCAGTTGATCTCACAAAATGCACGTGCATCATCACCAAATCCGTCGCAGTCAAGCAATTCACCCACGTCGCCTAACGATGTGAAAAAATCTGATCAAGCTCCTACAACCAGTTCATCGCCATCACCAAGCACCTCAACTGGAGAAAGCACGCCCAATCAGTCGAAGAAAGGATCAACGGATAAACTACAAGCCATGCTGAACAGCAAAACGATCAGTGCTAAGTTGAATAAATCGGAAATCGAAGCCTATCTGAGAGATTGGCGAAACTTTGAGTGTCAAACATGGCATTTGGAACCGACAGTACGTTTACTGTCTTGGGCTGGTAAATCGATCGAACCGTACGGTATCGATTACATTCTCAATAAATTGGGATTCAGCCATGCACGAACAACAATACCAAAGTGGCTTCAACGCGGATTCATGGATCCGCTCGATAGCCTGGCAGCATTACTCATCATTCAATTGCTCAGTTTAGTTAAAGACGACAGCACATCAAGTAGTGATGACGCCAAAAAAGATAATAAATAATT